TCACCCGAGTACCTGCAACTGATGAAGACGTTTCCAGTGGCTGTGGATCGTCAATTGCGAGACTACGAGACTATGCTGCGGTAAGCATTGGTCAGACACTTTCGCTGTGATACTAACTGGTTTGCAGAAAGCTGGACATGGATGAACGTGCACTAGACGTGCCAATGGCCGAGCAGACGACCATAGCTTCAACTGCCCAGGCGTCAACGGCTAAGAACTCAGGAGCTCCTATCATGCGCAATCAATCGGAGCGAGGGATGGTGGGCGCAACTGGCAAGCAGTATGCAGATAAGCGAAGCATGGAACGAGCTCGCGTGCAGGACCTTTTGCGTATGGCTATGGGCAAGTACAGTTTCTTGATGTATTTGAGCCTTCTGATGGATGTTAACTAGAACGTTTGGGAGGGTTCCAGCTGAAGAAGATGAGCTGGGATATCCTGAACCTCTGCCGGCGCCATCAACTGAGGCTTATCAATTGGCCGGATGGCTTCAAGCTGCCGCAGCCAAATTGGAAACCCTCTGCGGACTTGGTACAACGGGTGCTTCCCGGCATGGAGTTGCGTGCAAAACCGGATGACTACAAAATCTTACAAGAGGATGATGCGCAGTCAATCGCAGAAAAGACTGCCAAAGAGAGACTTGCGTGCACAGCGCCCCACTTCGTGAAGTGGACGGACGGTCAGTTCTACAGAACAGCTCGTCAACAGCCCACTCATACCTGATGTAGAAGAGAAAGAGGCTGCAGACAATCCAGACGAGGTGGCCAACATTGTGTTGGCCACGCGTTTGGGGGATAACAACGAGATTGCCTGGGTTCGGGACTGCACGTCTTACAAAAAGGAGATCAATGACGCCAACGAGAAGAGAGAGGGCAAGCGACCAATGGCAGCTCGCTCACCCACTCCAGACCAGTTCTCACATTTGCGGGCGTCGAGCTTAGCTGATAATCTCAACAACAGTGACGTGGATGGCAGTGAGCCCCCGCGCAAACGTCAGCGGATCAACAGAGAGTTGCTGATGCAGCAGCTGGAGAAGGATCCCAGAGAGGGCGAGCGCATTTGTCGTTACGTCTTTGGACACCAGTCATCCAAAACGTTCTTTGTTACACGATTCCGCAGACGGAGTGTAGGGGACGCAATGATCGTAGACGACTACATCAGTCGGGGATTGCAAATAGATCAGGACGGTCAGTGGAAAAGCGTAGACCTCCGCCTCCTTCCGGTTGTTGCCGACCGGCACAGAGGCTTACACGAGACACTATACAAGGAGTTGCTTGACACCGGATGCTACGGCACAGTACTGTGATTGACATTCCTCTTACGCGTTTTCTGGACAATTATCTTTGTTTTACATTTACTACACTGTAGTTCTTGACCTAATGACTCTGTTACGCATAGCTTTACCTTGTGCAATGTTTTTGTTTCCTGCATGGCAGAGCAGAGGTTAATTGTGTAAACTTTTTTCAAAAAGAATTGTCTCAAATCCTGTACGTGGTGAGTCCTTGATGGTGAATATCTGGATCTGTGTCATTTTTTGGCAGATGTTTAAGCGTCTATGGGCGGGCCCATTTTTCTCTTGGCAATTGGCGGGCGGTCCCACAATTCTGCGGGCGGGCCCATATTTCTCTTGGCAATTGGCGGGCGGTCCCACAATTCTGCGGGCGGGCCCATATTTCTCTTGGCAATTGGCGGGCGGCCCCATACATCAGTGGGCGGCCCCATACATAGTTTCCTAGGCGTCATAAAGTCACATGGAGTGGTCCCGCGCCGGCAATCGCCGCGGTCACTGAGAATAAATCAATCTAGGTTCAAAAGAGGTATGAGAAAAATGTTGCACGTGATCCAAGTCATAAGCCTACAAGATAGTGATTTTAAGTCATAAGCCTACGAAATGGTGATTTTATATATCCATGACAAAAGCAATAAGGATTTTTGCGTGCGTCAAATCAATATTATTGCATACACTCACCCGTATTATTGATTAGACTGCAAAGGATAAATCTAGCTCCTATGTACATTGTACGCCTGTATTATCGAATAGATTGCAAATATATACTTGACTTTAACTTCCCAAATAGGTCAAAAAACGGAAATTTTTCTGGCGCTGCGCGCGCTACAAGGACCCCAGGAGCCATGGGCCCGCCCACATGCCCGCCCAAGGACGCCCGCTGGACGCCCACAAAAATGTAGCTGGGGCCCCCCAGAGCATTGGGGGGCGCCCGGCTGCCGCCCAGCCCACGGCCGCCCACTACCACTGAGGTACCTTTTTTGGGCCTCAAAAAGGTACCTCTCGAGGTAGAATTATGGGGTGTCCAAGGTGGTCAATGATAAGATAAAAAAGGGCTGAATTATGACAAAGTCGTTGGCATTGTGTGGCTTGGAGATGGGCAGTTGGGCGTAGTCAGGTCGCGGAAGCGCTGTAAAGATCTGCAAGGGTTCAGGCATGACACGTGGAACAAGCAGCGATGAGTCAACAGGGAAGAAACCATGGGCGTTAAAGCCAACAGACTGCCCCAGCACCCAGAATGAAGTTTTCGCAGTGCCTGGGGCTAGACCACACTGGGGGCGGTACTGGTGATTGACCCTGAGCGCTTCTGTCGCAAAGCCGTGATAGCAGTGTCCACAAAAGTGCAGTTCCTGCGGCGAAACAGAGAGCCCATAGATAGGACTTGTGAGTGAGGTGGGATGGATCCAATTGGCTGGCTCGATGAGGTCGTATTTGAGCTGTGCTCCATGCCCAGGTTTTTAGGGACATTTATTCCCGTCCAGTGCTCCACGAGGTGTCTGCCCAAGCAATGTGGAGACACGGCTTTGCCACATGACAGGCATATGACTAGCCTGAACACAGTGTTGATTATGAGATTGAAGCAAGCAAGATCGTGCTCAGCATCTTTGGTGATCGTGTCCGCGCTGAGCACCACGCAAAGCAATGTTTTCAAGGGTGGCTGACTGTGCGGAATGGGTGGCTCGCCTGGCAGCCAAACCCTCTGGCGGATCGGTTGACACAGCTTTGCTTGTAGAGGTTGATGTTGTTGAGGGAGAGCGCGTGTCCCTGACTGTTTGACCAGGTGTGAATGGAGACGGAGGGGCGGCAGACACTTCCACCGCATGCTCAGTCATGCTGAAGTGCGCAGAACGCAGGGCATCTGTGTCAGCAATTGCCCCATTGTTGCGGAGATGGGCTGGGCATCTTCCAGGACAACACACGTGGTCCTGTAAAGTGTGAGGTGTAGGACAGTGTGGTATCTGCTAGACTAACCCCGAAGGTTTGGGCGTTGAGATGGGTGAATGCACAGCGAGTGCACGAGAAAACGCCCGCTTTGTTGCAATTGAAAAGCAAGGCCTGCATGTTGTCTGGGAACTTGGCTGAGACCTGAGCTTGTGTCATGGATTGTGGACACGACAAAAAGGCTCTACACAATCTTAAATAAGTACATTTTGTATATTTAAATACGCTGTGAAGCAGCTGCTATCAGAATGGAACATCATGACTCATCATCAGTGAGTCATCTGTGATGCTGAAGGCCTTGCGTGTTTCGTGGTTCTGAAACACGTGAGGGATTCATGTTTTGATGAATCCGAAACACTAGCTAGATAGTATAAAACCTGCTGTGAGGGACATCTTACTTTTGATTCAAATCCACCACCTGCTCACAGTACTTAGTGCACCCTGTGCCTAATTATTATCCAACCTAGTCTTAGTTATACTTGAATTGCCAGATTCTAGTACCTCAAGACTTATCTTCTTATTCTTCTATAAGAATATACCCCAACTTCGCAGCTATCTTGCTAGAGCTAGCCGCTTCGTTGGTTAAGTGCTCGTTTTGCCAAACTCAAGCACACCCTTTGTGTTGCTAGACTCAAAGGTTCTGAATATCATTCAGTAATTCGCTTTACTGAGTCTCGTTAAAACAGTAGTAGAGCTACTGAGGGTAGAGAACAGTGAGATCCAGTATTTAGACTCAAAGTGCATCAATTTATCGAATTTAAATTACTAATCGATTTGCAGATCCTGCCAAATAGCTATATCCTTAACAGCTTGATGGAATATGCGGCGATGTTTCTTTTTGGTGGTCCTGTCCAGAGGTACGTTGGCCTTGCACAGCTCACAATAAAAGACTTCATAAACAGGCATTGCGAGAACAATAGGTTTCGAGGCAGAAAGGATGGGATGGCGTACGGCCCGGTTGCCAACTGAGAAGGCTAGGGTGGACAGGACAGCGCTGAGCATGACAGAAGACACATATTGAAGGTGTCAATTCAAGACCTATTACGTGGACAGGTACCTATGAGCACCTTGGTGCACATGAATGCCCTAGTCAAGTGAGTGGGGAGGGGGTGAGGGGTATGAGCGTCTCCTCAAGGCCTTCCTTGTGTTGACTCGGGATCTGAGGGCTAGGTGGGCTGGCATGGTCAGCGCTCACCCCAAGTCCCTACTCTGACCCCCTTTGCCATGTACTCCAGCGCCTTCCGGAAGATGTCGTTGTCCTCAGATTGGTCAGCCAGTTTGGGTAACACTCTGGCCAACCATCTATACGCCTCCCCTGCTCCTGGTTGCCCTGGATCAAATACGCAGTTTTCTAGACGTTCTGACTATGCAGCCCAGTATGTAGAGTAAGCGGACATTGAGAGGCAGGTTTAAAGAAACACACCTGCGGACTTGGCGCGCAGATCCTTGGTCATGTCACCCCAGGGAGCTCCAATTCATTACGTAAAAGTGCTTCCAGGCCCCCTCCGGAGGCCATCAAACGACCCCCTGGAAGCACTGATCGGAGGCCATCACTGGAGGTGCCTGCCTCATTGGTACCCAGCAGTATGGAAACCCGGAGCGGTCTGCTCATGTCAAATGGTTATGCAACGATGATCTTTGATAAGCGATGTCAAGACCCCAGAACCATTACACTAAGCAACATTACGAGCACACAAAACCGATAGATTCAATGTATTGAGTACTAATACTGAACGCTGAATCGGTGGAAATATCACGGCCCGCAAACATAAATTAAACAGGGACTTGAGCAAGGGGTTTGAGACCGAAGAACCGGCAATAATCGGAGCACACGTGTTGGTTACAAAACACGTTGAAGAGCTCACTGACGTTGCCACCGCCAAACATTGGAGTTCCACGCTGTTTGGCAATCTCGCTGTAAGTGATGAGTGAAAGTGTGATGTGGTACAAAATGAATGCCGCACGGAGTGGTCATGATCTGAGGGTCCGTGAGAAGGGATTCAGAGCCTGGTTGATCAAATTAATCAGTGGGAGTCGCACAACGAGTGAATGCTCACCTTGATAGTCCGACAAGAACATGCTCCGTCCAGTGTACACGTACTGAACGTGCTGCGTGAAACAGAGATAGAGCGCAATGTGATACGACGGGTGATCAGGATCTAAATGAGGAACAGCAGCGCGATTATGGACAAATTTGACAAAGCGAGAGGGAATCAGTTCTTCAATGATGAAAGAACGGCGCAGGGATGATGCCCGGACAACATTGGTACCAGTGACAGTGTCGTGGACTTGTGCAACGCCGCCCTCGACAAATCAAATGTCCGGGATGACAAGATTGGAGGGCGGCTCCCCGAGCTTACTGAGCTGATGATGGACGAAAGTATCTGTGAGGTCGAACAGTGAGGTTGCCCAAAGCAGCAGATTCCCTTCGCAAATGCTCTGCTCAAGTTCGACTGCCGGACTGAACCGTCTGATTCCGACTGTATCACGTCGACTGGCCTTTGTATCGATCATCCGTTTGGCCGCAACGCGTTGATTCACAGTTGATCCGAGCCCAGTGGGAGACGTTGATGGTCGAACAAGGGTGAGGAAACCTTCGTATGCGTCCTTGAAACTACCAGACCCTAAAGCAGCAGACAGGACAACACTGAGTGTGCCTGGCTCAGCCACAGCCGGATCGCACACAAACTGCATCGCCGCCTCATCCTGAGTGAACAGTGCGTCCATGGCTTTGGGATAAATGCGGAAAAATAGAATCTGCTCGCAAGTTGGGACATCTAGGCAGACAAATTCAGCCAAGGTGAGTTGATTGGAACATGAGATTCCGTACCGCGAGTGCCTGATCGAGATACCTGACCTCCAACACTAGCCACCTTTCGAAGCCGGGCAAAGTCCGCCTCATCCGGTGAGCGCCAGCCAGGATGTGAACGCTTTGATCGAAGCTGTGGCGACGAGGGAGGTGTCGAAGGAGCACCAAGGCTCAGTGTACGTTCATGGCGTTTATTGGGGGACCATGTTGCCGCTCCGAGAACTACGGCACTCGATGATGAGGAACCAGAGCGTTGCGAAAGCGCCCTAGTTGCCTCACGATCAGTGGATCGAGCCAGACTCCTGATGGTGCTGGCCTCTGTTTGATCAGATGCATTCGAGACGGATGCTGTCTGTGAAAGTTATCCACTACGGACACAACACGACTCATATGGATCACGTACAAACCGAGTGACCCGAGTCTGGACGGCGCTCGCTGTGGCACTGACAGAATTTTCATTTGAGTCGGCCTTCACGTTGTTAGCATTATTAATGTAGATAGAACAAGAGTGGAAATACGCACATCAGGTTCAGACGCTGCTAACATTTCCGTGCGTCGTTGCCACTCCCTGCCCGAAATCACTAGAGCAATCTGAACAGATGCCCTGGGAGCCTTCCATTCTGGTTTTGTCGCCTTGCCCGAGATCTTGTAGTACTTGTCCCAGTAGAACACGTGGTCAGACTGGAGAGCCTTGAAATCTTGCCAAGTTGTCACGTCCCGGACAGTGAGCTCGTTCTCACGGAACTGGAAATTGGCATCTGCGACGAGACGGTCATACAGGACCTCAAACACGTGGTTGAAGATGAACTCGGCGCTTGCGTCGCCGGGAATTTCGCTGCCTTCGCTGATGGTCTGCGGTAAAGTGAGATTGTAATATCGGACTGTAGACCTGTCGGAACTCACTCCATAGCTTTCGCCTCTTGGTTTCTTGAGAATCTCGTATCGAATACCAACCAGGATGGGCAACATCTTTGGAGAACGCCCCACATAACTTGAGCGTGCCCATGAGCCACGAGACGCTTGGTACTGTGCGTGATTCTTCGAGTATCCCTTGTCAGACCACTGATTCTGACTCCTCGAGCCTTTTTGAGACACAATATCAGAGTTGCGAGAACGATCCCAGGCACTCGGAGCTGCAACAATCGGGCGTGCTAAAAATTAATTTGGCATTTAGTCCTGAATGGACACCAGAATCGATGGGAGACATACCGGGAACAGATGACGGTGGGCCCATTGTGCCACCCGAGCGAGGAAAAATCGAAACGTGCTGCTGAGCACGCGAGACATCTACATGGGTGCAACATGAGGCCGGACTTGTGAGGATATTGGATATTGTGACACGTACCTCCCAAACGGCCCTGATTATTCATGCGTTGAATCTCTTTGGCATCTGGAGCTGGGGCCGAGGATCGCGGAGGTCCAGCAGCATGCGAACTTTGAGAGTCTGTGCCGATGTTAACACCACGAGTTCCAAAACGTGAATTAAATAAAGTTCTGACGTACCTCGTTGGCGATCACGGTAGTACGAGTAGCAATTATAACACACAATGCAGTGGGCATTGCGCTTGCCGCTCTCCGAAACACGATAGCCTTTCTGCCCAATACGAATGTATTGATCGCCTCGACAGAACTGTCCGGTGCCACAGGAGACATCCTGGAGTGCAACATGCTTCTCCGTGAAACTGGCCGCCACAGAAGAATTCCAACACTGAGAATCCTGTCCTCGAGACATGAGGCCAGGCAGGTAGATCCCAGTGGGAGGAGACGACGAGGACTTCAAGAGAGTTGTCGCGCTTATAACTGGCGATTTAGTACACCACGGGTCCCAAAATGCAAAATAAACTAGGTTTTGATGTATCTCGTTGGCGATCACAGTAGGACAAGTAGTAATTATAGCACACAACACAGTAGGCATTGCGCTTGCCACTCTTAGAAACAAAATAGCCTTTCTGTCCAACGCAAATAGATTGACCGCCTCAACAGAACTCTCCGGTGCCACGAGGGCAAAACCCTATTGGCACCGGGGACATTGTGAAGTGCAACACGCTGCTCTGTGAAGTTGGCCACCACAGAGAATAAGACAACTTCTGACGCTGGAATTGTGCTGGTCAGGCAGGTAGATCACAGTAGCAGGAGACGACTAGGACTTACAGCAAGTTTGTGTGCTTATAACTGGTGATTTAGCACAATCGTATCGGACTCAGAGCGGTGCATCTAATAATTACACGTGAGATCCACGCACTACCTCATTTCGCTTGCAGGAACGTGCAAGATACACGGATATTGAAATTAAATTGGTAGTACAGCAGACCGTGTTCACGGAGTCATTTTGGTGCCTCAAGGAATGAAGTGCCGCACCTCGAGGACCATAAGTGCCACACCTGGTGATCACAGCGTGTTGGCCATGAGCTTGCTAAGTTCGGAGGTTCATTACAACCGACGACTAGCCATGAGAGGGTGCAAGCTCCGCTGGATTGAACTTTCACGGGTTTCACAATTACGTCCAATGGATATGTATCAGCACATAATCTGTGCGCATTTAAGGCAAGGGCCTCTCGATAGTTCTTTACTATCAATTCTGTACTTGATTCTCATACTCGTCTCTTTCATCTAAACCTCCTGCCGTCTCGTTGAGAATGCCCAATCAACATAAACCACTCCGTCAGCTTTTCAAGATTCACATCCAATTCTAATAGCTGATCCCCTCACTTAGCACCTGAGACCCCCGAGTTGCGGACGTTGATCGAGTATTATTGGAGAATGAAGCACAACGACAGGTATATTCTGGAGCAACTAAAGAAACATCATATTGATCTCTCCCGGTACGGACTTGAGTACGTCGCTCATCTTGCTTCAGATCAGCTGTTTTGAGAATTCTGCAGAATCAAAGCCTTTCGGAAACTCCGAGAGCGAATGGGTTTCTTTCGGGTTCGCAAGCAGGGTCACACTGTCGATTCAATTATGGGCCCTATTGCGAGAATCCGTATTGTGTATCCTCGTGCCGGTGCCCGTGACATGGTGAACTTGCTCTTTCATGAAGAGGACATTCTGGTTCCACGGTACATGTTTCTTTTCTCACAGATCAGTCGTCGTTTTCATCCAGTTGCAGGAGTGTTGTGATCGAATACTTTCGTGCGTACGAGCCGCATCTAGTCCGTGAACGTCGCCATGGACACTTCAAGCGAAAACGTTTCTGGGCTGCCGGAGTGAACGATATCTGGGCTGTGGACCAGCACGACAAATGGAAGTATAAATTTGGTCTTGCACTTCACACTGGGATCGATCCATTCATTGGATACATCCATTGGATGAAAATCTGGTGGAATAATAGCAACCCTCGTCTAATTCTGAGTTATTATCTTGACGCGGTTCAAAATCTTCAATGCAAGTACAGATTTTACTCATTCTTAATGCTACTGACACCTTGTTCCAGTCATTCCCTTAGTAAGCCAGAGCGATCCTGGCTCTGAGAACGTCGGAATCGCAAATGGACACACAACGCTTCGCCATCTCCATGATCCTGACCTTGCTGGAACGTCCCAGCACCGTTACATGCGTGAGAAGAAAAATGTCATGCCCGAGATCACTTGGAGCATGATGCGTCGCCGATTTACGCCCGGGTTCGAAGATATCCTCGATACAGGTGTGGACAACGGATGGTATGACCCAGGGATCGTTCTCGAATCGTGCGCTTTTGTAATCACTGTATCTTTCTCTCTTATAGCTGATCAACTTCACAGTCTTATATTTCGTTGGGTTTTCATCCCCTGGCTTCAAGCCGAGCTTGAAGCGTACCAAAAACGCGTGAATATGACTGCCAAGCATCGTGATCGCAACAAAATCCTGCCTCATGGTGTTCCGCAGCACATGTTGGAATTCCCAGAGGAGTACGCGATTTTGGACTTCAAGGTACGTTGGTCCCCCCTCATGTTTCCCATAATGAGCGAGACAATGTTCTTTTATGCAGGTGAAAGTCAATCAAGCTCACATTGACACCGTACAAGAGCAGTACGCCCCACCAGCTCACGACATCTTCCACCTTGTGCCGCCGGATTTTGCTGAGTACATCAGCAGGTTCTATGCCGACCTTGGAAGCCCCCCAGTGACCCGACAAACATGCTGGGACGTCTATAGGCAACTCCTGCGATGCTTTGAGGAGCTAGATCAGCTCCCGGGCACCGCGGGTCCCAGTGTGGACCAGATCTGGGGTTTTGCTCTTACGCAAGCTGCGGATCAATATTGTGACAAGATTCAACCCATTGCCGGCCTGCGTCCACTTCGAGGAGGTGAAGACGTGATCGGACAGGATGGTGCATACTACATGGGTTGTCATAGTTCGGCCACTTTTTCATCTTATCATCGACGATCCTATCTTATCTTGGCACGACTTATCTTATCACGGATCACGGCATCAGACGGTCCGGGCTAGGGGTTCCAGGGGTTATCTCTATCGATTCGAGGCTGCGCGACATATGCTCCGGAAGGTTCTACTACAACCCATGACCAGTGCTCCATGCGGTACATAGCCCTATGACTCATTAAGTTGTAGATATGACTCAGACTGGATTTGGGTATAAATACTGTAGCTACTTGGTTGTATTCTCCAGTCTTGGAATTCACTTCTCTTTTCGACTTTGTTTTTGGGTTGATTGTCACATAATTCCAAGACTCCCCTCATACCTTCCTACCTCATACCTCTTACCCTGTATCCTGCACCGCTACGCCCGCTATATCCTCTTAACCCTTATCACCCCACTCACCCTTTTACCAAATCATCTAGTCGTCCTCCACTATCGCAGTGAAGGGTTCATATCAAGCAAACAGCACCAGGCCACGGGTAACGTTGAGCCCAACCCAAGCCTTACGGTAGCTACAAGGAGTGCTGCGGAGACCTTCGGGAAAACGCACCTCGGGATCATCGGGCACGTGAAGAGCTAGGCCCGGGATCTTTTTGCTAGCAAAAGAACCCTCCCTCGAGTGCTTGTACAGCACACGATTCCACCATTTCGTACCGATTCCCATCGTCGTCTGGGAGTCCGTCCCCTCCCCCCATCGTACCATCGTCGCCCGATCTGGCGCATCAAAACCAACCCGGGCCCTCCAACCCCTACCTTGCCCTGCCACCGTCTGAAGACGAGATCCCCGACCTCGACGAACTGCCCTCCAAACAACCACCCTCGCCCCCACCTCACACGCCTGCTCCTACCATGTCAGGGCATCACCGCATCACCCTCGCCGCCAACCCCCCCTACTTCGATGGCGACAAGTCCAAATACCTGGGCTTTGTGGACGCGTGCACCACTTACATCGGTGCCTATCGATCGGAGTTCTCGCAGGATGAGACCAAAATCCTCTTCGTCCTCTCCTACCTCCGTAACGAGAATGGCACGAGCTGCGCTGCCTCAAGATGGGCGATGAACTGGAAGCAGCACAACTTCGATGGCTTCCAGGGACTGAAGGCAGGAGTCACATCAAAGAACTTCCTGGAGGAGCTTCAGAGGGCGTTCGGGGACTCCAACGCAGAACAAGTCGCCGCTGCTCGGCTTATGGCCCTGCGCCAAAACAAACGGTCCTTTGCGGACTACATCTCCGACTTTGAGATGTTGGCCGCGGATGCAGGCTACAATGTGGTCGACACCACCGACGACAAAGGCGAATACAAGAAGGGGGACCAGGATAATATCCTCATCGAGTTCCTGGAGCGCGGACTCAGCAGCGAGATCGCCAGTCGTCTCTACAACACCGCTGTCCCTCTGCCCAAGGCCTATGGAGCGTTCAAAGCCTGGTGCATCAACATCGAAGCCAACGCTCTGCGTGACCAGCTGTGCAAAGCGTCGTATGGGCACCCCACACAACGACCACCTCCCCAGTTCCGTCCCCAAGCGGCACCAGTGGCGCCCACACCCGCTCCGGCCCGACCCGCTGCCAACGAACCGGTTCCGATGGAAATCGATCGTACCCACGCCCGCGGCCGCAATATCATCTGCTACAACTGCCAGCAGCCTGGGCACATTGCGCGGAACTGTCCGGAACCAAGGAAGAAGCGCACCTTCTTCAATCGGGCCACGATGCTTGAAGAGATCGAGAACGGGGACAAGGACAACGAGTTCCTCAAGGAGATCGCCGAGAAGCTGCGCGAGAAGGGTTTTTGAAACGCTCCACTCCTCTAGCCAAGGAGGTGGAGCGTCCGGACTATGGACGATTTTCTGTACGTGTTTCGATTAAAGATACAAACAATATTTCATCTACATACACGATCTCAGACTCACTACGTACAAATATTCACGATTTTCTTATTGCCGAGATGGAAAAAGAACGCCAGGAAAAAATAGCTCTAAATAGAAAATACTTACAAGATAAAAAGGATCAGAAGACCGCGGCTGCAGATAAATTATTTTTGGACTCCTACGTATTTATGGCTCGTGGAGAAGGAACCACGTCAACAAAGACCAAAAAGGGGAGCATCGCTCCGAAGGCTCAATCCTTGGAAAAGGAGGAAGCGCCCAAGGAATCCGTCAAAATCGAAGTTCCAGAAGCACCCAAACGCACCAGGGTGCCGGATGCCGTCCAGAGGAAATTGGCGGCCGAGAAACAGAAGGGCCCCCAGCCCAGCAGATTGGCGCAGGAATTGCGCAGTTACCAAGCCGAAAGAAAGAGGCATTCGATGGACGTATATGTCCAGATCACAGGCCTGGACTCAGGGAAAACGCGCGGGGTCAAGGCGCTGCTCGATAGTGGCTGCAGTACCTGCTGCATTGATACCAACTACGCACGGGCAGAAAAGCTGGATATCCAAGAGCTTCCGCAACCCATTGTGGCTCGTAACGCCGACAACACCGAGGACATCAGCGGTCGGATCACGCACTACGTCGACTTGAGAATGAGAATCGGTCCTCATGTAGAGACACGCACGTTCCTTCTGACGTGTTTGGGAAAAGCTCGGATCTTCATCGGCCTGGACTGGCTAACGGAACACAACCCCGAGGTGGATTGGCAGGAGCAGACAATGAGATTCAGCCGATGCCCAGAGCAATGTCAAATGAGGGGTCACGAGGAGCACCAAGCGATGGTCGACATGGATGCAATGGACCTGGACGCAGATGCACCGGATCTGGAAGAGGGAGAATCGATCTTGTTGATCGACTTTGGAAAGGAGGTAGACCTACGGCTGAAGGAAACGCCGGCGCAGAAATTTGCAGAAGAAGCGGAAAAGGAGAAGGAGAGAATGACCGAGGGAAAGATTCCAGATCAATACCGAGAATTCGTCAAAGTATTCGCCAAGGAATCATTCGACTCGCTACCAGACCGACGGGCATGGGATCATGCGATCGAGCTCAAACCAGGCTCCAAAGCAGTGGACTGCAAGGTGTACCCCTTATCGAGAAACGAGCAGGTCAAACTCGACGAGTTCTTACAAGAGAACCTGGCCAGCGGACGGATCAGGCCATCAAAATCACCGATGGCATCAGCATTCTTCTTCGTCAAGAAAAAGGATGGCTCGCTACGGCCTGTTCAAGATTACCGGAAGCTGAATGAGATGACGATCCGAAATCGGTACCCGCTACCACTGATCTCTGAGCTGGTCCACAACCTATGCGGCGCCAAGTTCTTCACGAAGCTTGACATCCGGTGGGGATACAACAATGTACGGATCAAAGAGGGCGATGAGTGGAAGGCTGCGTTTCGCACAAACCGCGGACTTTACGAGCCCTTGGTTATGTTCTTTGGTCTCACGAATTCCCCGGCAACTTTCCAAAACATGATGAACGACATACTCCGGGAACTGATCAACGAGGGACATGTAGTAGTCTATCTGGACGATATACTGATCTTCACAGAAAATCTGGATGAACATCGACGAATCACCAAACGAGTACTCGAGTTGCTCCAAAAGCACAAATTATACCTGAAGCCGGAAAAGTGCGAGTTCGAACGCACGGAAATCGAATACCTGGGTGTAATCATTGGACACAACTCGATGCGGATGGACCCTGTCAAGATCAAGGGCGTGATGGAATGGCCGGAACCGAAGAGCGTCAAACAAGTCCAAGCCTTCCTCGGATTCACAAACTTCTATCGACGTTTTGTTTGGGGATATGCGGAGGTCGCCAAGCCGTTGACGCGGCTGACAGGGAAGGCAGGATGGTCATGGGGTCCGGATGAACATGCGGCGTTTGATGGGTTGAAGAGGAGAATCGCGGAGGATGCGGTCTTAGCACTGCCAAACGACACCGGCCAATATTGTCTGGAAGCCGATGCTTCGGAAGGGGCAACAGGATCCGTTTTGAGCCAAAACCAAGACGGCATTTGGCGCCCAATCGCATTTATTTCGCACGCATTGACTGAAACCGAGCGAAATTACGAGATCTACGACAAGGAAATGCTTGCAATCATGTTATCACTTGACAAATGGAGGCAGTTACTCCTGGGAGCCACGGAAACGTTCGAGATCTTCACCGATCATCAGAATCTCGAGTACTTTCGGAAGCCGCAGAAGCTCAATCGACGGCAAGCACGATGGATCACGGAGTTGGCGGAGTTCGATTTCACCTTACGACACCGGCCCGGGGCGCTCAACCGCAAAGCGGATCTCTTATCCCGACGAGCAGATCACGATCAGGGCAAGAACGACAACAAGGACGTCACGCTACTAAAGCCCGAGTTCTTCCGATCACAAGAAGTCACATTCGAGGGACAGGATCAGCAGCTAATCGATGAAATCAAGGCCATTCGATCAATTGATGGAAGCGTCAAGGCGGCCTTGGAGAAGTCCCTCGTCGGATGGAAGAAGGAAGAGGGGCTTATCACGTATCATGGGAAGCTCTATGTACCAAGGGACGAGGAGTTGCGGGACAAGATCATCGGACTACACCACGACACCCCTTTGGTCAGACACGCTGGGATCAACCGAACGCAGGAGATGGTGGAAAGGAATTACTGGTGGCCAAGGATGGGAAACCAAATTCGGAAATACATCCAAACGTGCGAGGCATGCCAGCGGACCAAGACCAGGAGAGCAAGGACAGGGAGTCTACACCCGCATGCAGTCCCAAACGCGCCGTGGGAAATCATCTCCATGGATCAGATCGGACCCTTGCCGGTCAGTAACGGGTATGACGCAATTCATGTGTGGTGTGACACCTTCACCAAAATGATCCATGTCGAACCAATTAGTACTGACATCAGCAGCGAAGGAGTGGCACGGTTAACCAGGGATCGAGTCGTCCGCTACCACGGGATCCCTCGCAAGATCATCACCGACAGGGATTCGCGCTACATCAAGGGCTTCATGAGGGAGACGAATCGGATGTTGGGCATAGAAATGAACCCGGGGACCGCATATCACCCGATCACGGATGGGCAGACAGAACGCATGAATCAGGAGATCGAGCATTATCTCCGCATCTACGTCAATTACCATCAGATGGACTGGTTGGAGTGGCTGGGAATGGCGGAGTTCGCATATAACGACAAGATGAACACGTCTACCAAAATATCGCCATTCTATGCGAATCACGGATATCACCCGTGGAAGGGAGTGGAGCAACGGATGGAGTCAAGGAACGAGTCGGCGGAGGAATTCGTAAAAAGAATCAAAGAAATACAAGACGAAGCAAAAGCAGCACTAGAAAAAGCAAAAGAAAAAATGAAAAAATACTACGATAAACAAAGAAAAGAAGTTCCGGAGTTGAAGGTTGGAATGAAGGTGTACATAGAAGGGACAATATCAAGACGGACAGACCATCAAAGAAGATGAGCAACAAGAGATTGGGACCATACGAGGTATTGGAGAAGGTTGGAGCGGCCGCATGGAAGCTAGATTTGCCAGACACGGACCGGAGACACCCGGTGTTCAACAAGTCACTGTTGACACCCTATCATGAACCACCCCCCCATTGCCGAGAGAAGAGACCTGTAGCCAAGATGATCGGAGGAGCAGAAGAGTGGGAAGTCAAAGAAATCATGAAGGAACAAAAAGTCGGCCGGGGAAAGCAATACTTGGTCAAATGGAAGGGATGGCCGCATAGCGAAAATACCTGGGAACCATCACGTCACCTTACCCACGCAAAGAAGGTCCTGAGAGATTGGCAGAGGAAACAATCCAACCCAGACACACGCATCCGCTCCCTGCCAACGTTCAAAGCCGGACACTGGGATTATCTCATCCATTGCTACAAACCCAAAGACGAGCCCCTTCCATATCCCCGGCGACAACTCTTCGATCCCTACGAAAACGTCTTCACGCCCATTGGCCTAGTCGATGAGGACATCGACCCTAGAGAGGGGGTAATGTCATAGTTCGGCCACTTTTTCATCTTATCATCGACGATCCTATCTTATCTTGGCACGACTTATCTTATCACGGATCACGGCATCAGACGGTCCGGGCTAGGGGTTCCAGGGGTTATCTCTATCGATTCAAGGCTGCGCGACATATGCTCCGGAAGGTTCTACTACAACCCATGACCAGCGTTCCATGTGGTACATAGCCCTATGACTCATTAGTTGTAGATATGACTCAGACTGGATTTGGGTATAAATACTGTAGCTACTTGGTTGTATTCTCCAGTCTTGGAATTCACTTCTCTTTTCGACTTTGTTTTTGGGTTGATTGTCACATGGGTGGTGTAAATGCTGGTGCTGGATTAGGTGAGTCGTTGCACCCGAATCTTCACCTCATGTTCACTTTGGCAGGTTTGGATCACTGTGCCGCGCTCGAACAGCTCATTGACAATGTTGAGCCGCGGATCAATGACAACGAGACAGACACCAACGACGACGAGGAGATTTTTGCTTGGTTCTCTGATGAGGAACGTCCCGATGCTGAGCCAGATGAGTGGTAGATTACTAGTACCTAGAGTCTTCACATTGGTATTTAGTTGCGTTGACAAGCAGTGATGCACCCTGGCCCCGCAATCAGTTGATCAGAGGCCACATCAGTATGACGTAGGAAGCTGCTTGAGCTGACAAAGCAGCCACAATTGATCTGGCACGTGATGAATCAATCTATCACGTGCACTGAAAGATCTCAATGGATTTGTCAGCGAGCTTGTCAAGGTTGTTGCACGTGATCATTCTGATCATCACTGGATGCCTCAAACCCCTTGCTCAAGTCCCTGTTTAATTTATGTTTGCGGGCCGTGATATTTCCACCGATTCAGCGTTCAGTATTAGTACTCAATACATTGAATCTATCGGTTTTGTGTGCTCGTAATGTTGCTTAGTGTAATGGTTCTGGGGTCTTGACATCGCTTATCAAAGATCATCGTTGCATAACCATTTGACATGAGCAGACCGCTCCGGGTTTCCATACAGCAGGCCATTTGTCTACTGCATGCATGGTGCACTGGGCATGGCCTTAGGGGGTTGTGATGTGCTCTGGTAGTTATTATTTAGGCCTAGACAGTGTTTTAGCTCACAAAACCCTGTATATATTGCTTCTGGTTGGTGTATCATCACTGCATAAAATCTGTGGTTTGTGCAGCAGAGCACTCCACCTGTGTATGGAGAGGCAAGCTCATGTATTTGAATGGTGTAACACACAAGTAGCTCATATATAAGCACCACAATGTAATTTAGCAGAAAAAGTGGTTTGCAGCCTCCATGGCCTCCAAGAACAGTGAAAATAGGTTATAATGAGGCCAGACCATCTTGGATAATACTGAAACATCTCTGTGCACTCTCAGACTTTGTTTGTCAGACACTTGAGCTTAAAAAACACATACTGGAGCACCTAACATGACATGCCTCCACTGCCTCCAGGGTGCAAGACAAAGAGCGGTATTTTGATTCAGCTGCACAGGGATTTATTTTGCCCACTTTCCAACATTTTCAGATGCTCAATCAGGCCTTTTCTTATGTGTAGGACACTCTCTGTGGGGCTGCAGATGAATTTTAGTAGAAAGCATAGGTGGCCTCCAAAGCCTCTCAGTTCCATGACTGCAGGCCTTTGTTTTGATGAGTTGCTTTCTGATGCATTTACAAGTTGATAGGAAGTCTCAACAATGCCGGGATTTGGGCCAATTTATGCTGGCAACAGTGGATGGAAAGTAGCAGAGGTGGCCTCCACAGCCTCCTTGGAGGTGCTGGAGGCGCATGTAAGATCCAATCAATATCATCAATATCATTGTTATCATCAATATCATCATTATCATCAAGGCCATCAATATCATCAATATCATCATGGATCATTGGTAGATTGATCAGCCAATCAAATGATGTATAACCACCTAACATTGAGTATTTTAATTCTTGAGAGGCACAGACTACATGTATGCTCATAGTGAAACTGGATTATTGGTCCCAGAGCATGTCCCAGCAACATATTACACTCTTGTCTCAAGGACATATGATTTAAATTCGGAGTTTGCAAGTGAGCTGAAAGTCAAGTAGTGGAGAGATTTTATGCAGTGATGATACACCAACCAGAAGCAATATATACAGGGTTTTGTGAGCTAAAACACTGTCTAGGCCTAAATAATAACTACCAGAGCACATCACAACCCCCTAAGGCCATGCCCAGTGCACCATGCATGCAGTAGACAAATGGCCTGCTGGGTACCAATGAGGCAGGCACCTCCAGTGATGGCCTCCGATCAGTGCTTCCAGGGGGTCGTTTGATGGCCTCCGGAGGGGGCCTGGAAGCACTTTTACGTAATGAATCGGAGCTCCCTGGGGTGGGTCATGTGTGCTATATCCGTCCGTCTCCTAAGCCTTACATAACAGGTCACCGGACCTTGGAGCCGCTGCTGATCAAACGCCTCACGACATTCAAGCTCTTTCGCTCAAACGCGAGCCATCCCAGTTATATGTTCTCGTAGTTAAGGTACCTTATACACTCCATTCAATAGCCTTGCTCCGGCCCACCGTCGCTCTGAAACCTGCTGGAGGGAAATATTCTCGCGGCAAGGATTCTACATGAACAGCGTTTCGTATAGAGTTCCATGAGAGATAATAGGCTCGGGAACCTACGGGGTCCTGATTTGAGGCTCTGTGCCATTACTGCTTATTCCGGAAATTCCAAAACAGGTTCAAGGATCCGATTAGAGCTTTTGCCCGGTTACAATTTAAGCCACACTCGCTCCCTCGTGAACGTCACCCAATCTATTGTCGGCCGCCAGACTCTCTCTCTCCGTGCGCTTCTTGGGAGATGGATGATATAAAATGGATGAGATGCAGGTCAACTATGAGACAAACCTACTCAACACCAATTCCTCTAGGACCAACTCGCTATCTAACGCATGCTTGAATCACTCTTTTTCCTGTTTATTGCCCTGGCAGCAGGAGCGATTGCAGCCCCTGCGGCCCAAATTCCGCTGACGACCGTGATTCTAGATTGTGAGCACCACACAGGCAAATCTCTGCCGGCTCAATTAATCTCTTCCGGTGCGGTAGATGCGACATTCACCGGCCGCGCCAACGAGACGACCGGGTTGACATACTTCCTCGGGATGCGGTTCGCAGACGCACCCGTTGGCGACTTGCGCTGGCGAGCCCCCGTCTCGCCCCCGTCTACGCCGCTCGGAAGCGTGAACGCAACAGCGGTGACACAGCCCTCTCGTTTCGCGCACACGGACAGCTACTCACGCTTACTAGTACGGATCAGCTTGCATCGGTGCATCGCAGCCCAACGCGGGGGCGACGACAAGCGAGGACTGCCTGTCCACGAACGTTTACCTTCCTACAAACGGCACGACGCCGACAAGCAAGCTGCCCGTCCTCGTGTTCATGTATGGCGGTGGGTTTGAGTCAGGCAGATCGAGCAAGTTCCCGCCGGAGGATCTCCTGCCGGCGTCCGCGCAGCCGCTGATTCTCGTTACGTTCAACTACCGGGTGGGGCAATTCGGGTTCCTCGGTGAGCTGCATTCTGGTCTCCCCCGAGTTAAATATGGCTAAGCACAGGGCACCTGACCGACTCAGCTGGGACACCCGTCCACGACGAGGGCGTGATCAATGTTGGGCTGCTTGATCAGGTGCGTGTTTCTGTTTGTGTGCCTGGGGTCGGTGATAATTGTGCGATTTGTTGTGTGCAGCAAGCGGCGCTGAAATGGGTGCAACGCTATATCAGCCTATTTGGGGGAGATCCTACACGCGTCACACTCTGGGGCCAGGTATCAGAACACGCTCTGGCTTCGCTCTGTGTTATCTGATTGACGCCCAAAATAGAGCGCCGGGGCTGGATCCCTCCTGTACCACGTCAGTGGCTTCTTTTCTGGTTTCTCCGATGAATACCTTGCTGATCGTGTGAAGATGATTGCCCAAGGAGGAACGGCGAACGAGGGACTGTTCAGTCAGGTGATCGGTGACAGCCCACCCACGCTCTATCTTCCTTCCTACGACGATCCCCACGTCACTACCTTATTCAACACCTTCAATTCACTGGCGTGCGTCTAAATCCGTCCGCAGGATATATGCTCTCACGGCTGTACAGAGGATGCGACGATGACGGAGACGACAGCGCCTCGATAATGGACTGCCTGCGGGGTGCATCGACCGCGACAATCGCTTCAGCGGGCGCGTCAACGCTGGACGCTCTACCGGATGCGCTGTTCCCCCTCGTGCCGATTCTCGATGGCGTATATCTTACTCAACGAACATATGACGCGTTGTCGAGCGGGAGCTTCATGCGGGTTCCAGCTATTTTCGGGTCCGTTGAAAACCCATCCCACCCGTCTCAATCTTGCTCTGACGCGACTCGCGACTTACTTCCACAGGTCCAACACGAACGAGGGGGCTCGATGGTCTGCCGATCTCACCGATCCGGGCGCCAACACGTCAAGCCCGAACGCGGACGAAGACACGGTGTTCGCTTTCCTAGTGGGCCAGTATCCGACGCTCACGCAGGACACGTTCGTCGCCGCCGTCTCGCAGCACTACCCCCTCTCGGCGTTCGCAGGGAACGTGAGTCTTCAGGGGCAGCAGATGTACGGCGAGCTGCGGTACATCTGCACGTCGGTGCTGGGTGCGCGGTCTGCCGCAGTCCAGGGGCTTCCTGCGTATGGATACCGGTACTCTTCATTCTTACCGGAGTTGGGCGTCGTTTTGATTCCGCGGTAGTTACAACAATCCCCTCAGAGGGTCCAATCACGGCGACGAGCTCGATTCGTTCTTCCTGACACCGCCGACAGTCGATGCGGCCGATGCGGCCCTCGTGTCGAACATGCGGCAGTACTGGACGTCGTTTGCCACCACTGGGACCCCCTCGGCTGCAGGAGCTCCTGTTTGGACTGTGAGTGATACTGGTCATCAGTCAGTCGAATTCTAGCCCTGAAAGCGAGCTCTTTAGACTTTTGATGTTCCGGCGATTCCTTCCGGCGCCCGAATTCTCCTCCAGCCTGGTGGCGTATCGATGGAAGCGGTCGATTCGGGTTTGTTGGATCGTTGTGCATTCTGGGCGAGCGTGAAAGACGAACTGTCCATTTGAAACTCATAGAAGTGCTGGCTAGTGATCGCCTTCGGTGGCATGACACTGGAACTTCACATTCATAATCCCAAACTCAGACTATTGTACATTACGAGAACGGAAGCGTCTCAATCTTTGTCTTCGTCGCGGGAACTCAGGATTCATGATGATTATCTACCCAAGCTCAGGCAATGCGGAAAGGATGTAGAAAAAAAACCAGCAATTACTGTGTGACATCAGGTTCCGGGCCTTCTCTTACGCAACCCACACTTACTTTCACATCCGTGCTCATGTGCATAGCCAATATATTGCATGTATACTTCTAGACCAGTAATGATTAGGATTTTGAATTACTGAAAGATTGTGCTGTTCAAAGCGGTGAGCGAGGGACTGAAGAAATATTCTCCGCCTCGAGAAACCACGAAATCTTGAAACGATCAGCGTTTGCAATGGCTCTGTGTGACAGGAAGCATACCCGTGGGCAATGTTTTTACGGCGGTCGGGTTGAACGGATCAAGTCCAAGAACAGGGCGAGGTGCACCTCCGAGTTCACCTGATTGGGTAGATTAGACTCAAATATCCTTGTACACGGTAAGGAAAGGGAACTGACCAATCAGTGGATCAACACCGTTTCCACTCACAACAAAGCTGTGATTGTAATGATTTCATCAGAACCTTGTCGCACGCTTTGGCTGCAAACTCACTCGGGGTTATTGATCCACAGTTGCTGAAGAAACTGGAAGCCGTTGGTGATGCTAGACTGATAGGCCACTGATCACAGAGTAAACCTTGAGCTGTCAGACAAAAATAGGGATGGAGGACGTGCCGAATGCCAACCCTCGCTCAGCCATGGTCTGATTCCGGCTTATCTCGGTGATGTTCACTGTCGTGTACGTTTCAGAGACAGCGCACATTGCACCTAAGAAGGACAACGCGTACTTTCTGGGCCATATGGAATGCCGGCACGGACGATGTGGTGCACCGCATCCTCTGGAGTGCCGAGATCGGACCGGGGCCGGGTTCTACGGAGATGCGCCGAGTGCGGGCAGCTATGATTTATTCAGTTTTTCACGCGTCGCAGCTCAGAGTGTCCGTGAGGCGCACCCTTCAGAATTAAGCACGCCGAGCAGCTCGGTGTAGTCGAAGTCGTTGTTGCGGGAGGCATTCGCACCCATTACAGGGTCATCACTCAACGGACTCAGTTGAATCGGAGCACCCTGTTCGAACCCACTCTGTGAGTACTTTCTTCAAAAAGCGTAGATTCAGACGCACACTCTTCCACCGCCCAATAATTCGGGCACCGAGCAGATCCGAACCTTGCTCCGCCGTGAGACCTGAGCCTGAAATGGAGTTGTCGGCCAGGAACTGGTTGAACTCGGGCACGAGCTGCTCGAGCTGCCGGAAGACAAGGAACGAGCCATCGAGTGCCCAGGCTGGACGGGTAACCCGGTCATTGATCTGTCCGAGAAGAATTGTGCCCGCGTCTACAACAGCTTGGCCAGGAAACGGGGCAGCAACGAAGCCATTGACGGCCGGGTTTGAGATACCATCCATGTAGCCGAAATCTGTGAAAGTTTGAGAAGGCTCCAGGCGCTATATTCAACATCAAGTCGGGAGCTTACGTTCATGACCCGCCTCTGCACCGGGCCGAGCTGCACCTTGGATAGTGTAAAGTTTTGTGATAGAGGAGCCAAGGACGGTCTCGACGTCCGCGATCGCCGCGTCTATGTTCGCTTGTGTGTCGGAGGCAAAAAGAAATACGCCGTGGATGCTGGTGCCCGCAAACTCGGGCTGCCAGTTGGCGCTACTGGGATCACCGATGTTCGGGATATCTGCGTGCTGGCCCGTTTTGAAGGGTGCGTCCCCGAGATCGTCTGTGATGTTGAGCGCGAGTAGTCCTGTCTGCGAGAACGCGACATTTAGCGCCGTCGTTGGCTGCGTCGAAACGCTGAGCAGCTGCTTCGTCGAGGTGATCAAAGGGAGGACTCCGCTTTGGAAACCCTGCTTGAAAGTGTCCGGCGCGTTGACAGAGAAGAAATAGAAGGTCTCGCTCGACTTGCGCATTCCAATCCTAGATCGCATTCAGCAGTTATTGAGCAATCGAGTCGGTGGGACGACGAACAGGATGTCTCCTTGAACATTGTCCAGGTTCAGCCCCACAGCGCTGGAAGCGGCCGACGCCTCCTTCACAGTCGGTAGACGGGGAAATGCAGGGGGATCTTCAGGAAATATCAGATTCTGGCGCAAGAGCGCAGACGACGCCACGCACTAATGAGGATGGAAGCTTTCGCCGCGACCAAAGCAACGTGGAGGAGTAAGACGAAAATTTTGAAACCCATGTTGCACTGAGTGAGAGGCCTGAGACGATGGAGAACTTGGCAGCACTCCTTCATCCTTTTATAAGTGAAACCTCGCTTGGTAATTGAGACCGATATACCTCTTGCTCGATATGTCAGCACACAGCTCATGCGGATTCTGTTACACCTTGTCTTTGTGTCGGTCGGGTCCCCATAGAAGCACGTTGCGAGAGTTGAAGATGAGCATCTATTGGCTGGCATCGCACGGTGACCGCTGAGGACCGTGTCCGAGATTTCTTGAATTGACAGACTGATCAGTTTCAAACATCAGATTACACCGAAGGGGCAGCTGTGACATAAGCACGGGATCCTATTGAGTGGCCTGAAGCTCACTGGCCGACCGGCGAGTCCAATATCCGAAGTGTATGAGTCATTGAGCGCGAGTAGACCTGCCAGAATGTCAGTGATGCAACGTTTTCCGTGCTTCGTTCGAGGAACTGCGCACCAAACGAGTACAGCTGCTCGTCGAAGCATTCGGCAGAGTTTTTCAACGATCTGGGAAGCTGCATGGCATGTTAGCCGGAATTCTACGGTCCCGCTGTTCGGGTTAACTGGAGGAATGGTAGCTGAAAATAGCCTACGCTTGGACTTCTCTAAAAGCTTGCGGCTCAAATCATCTGTTCGTAATACAGTTCTTCTCCCTCCAACTCTACCCGTTCCATAGAGGACCCAGGTTGGTAGAGATCGGAGATTGGTAAAAGCGGGCCCGTATTGTCAGAGTGACTTAGTTATCCGCGTCTTTTTCTCACCACTGCACTTCTCTTCCGGAAGATGGTCGTTGACTGCACGTCAGCCCCTTGTTCTAAACGGTTCCTTCGCCCTTCACACGTGGGCGTTGGTCACATTTGTGGTGACCTACCCCTTGATCCGAAATGTCCGAAATCGCGAGGATCTTGAGGCTCGGCAACGATAAGTGCGGCAACTGAGTGTAGATAGAGAGACATACTGCCTTGTTGTACCATGGTGGATATTGCTGCAGATATGCTGCCTCGTCATACTACTTGGTCTCATTCGGGCAAGACTCGTGGAAGAGAGAGAGACGAAGAGAGGGGTTCTGCCCTCGATGACATCTCAGTGCTCACCTGTCAACAAGGATCATCTCGGGCACAAGACCGCGGGCTCATCAAGGGAACCGCGGAGCAGGAGACCGCGACCCAGATCGGCTTTTGTCTGAGCAAGTCTGCATCTCAATGACGCTGCGTCCTCAATTTCAGACCAAATCCGTGGAGGCATCAGACGGTTCGTGGAGTGACAATACGAGGAAGCCAATAGGGCACCTCGTTCAACTTGAATTTTGAGGCTTCGAGGTTCAATGGCTCGGCAGTATTGCTGCTGACCAACTCACAATCTAGCCGCCTAGAAGTGCAAGAGAATCGGTCTTGAACGATAATCTCTTACATCGGATCCGCAGATACGTTACCCGACCAAGAACTTGATCATGCTTTGGGCCTTCTTTCCTATCTCAAACAGCGCTCCATTCGGGTGTAGTGAATGCGTTGATATCGTGCGTTCTCTGCCGCATCACAGAGTGCTGTCTGTGAGTCCATAAAAGGCATATCTCCGGAAGACGACTCGGATTAGCGAGAGTTGTGGCGGGTTCCTGCTTATTTGTGCGAGGTAAACGTCATACAGGTCCTGAAAGTTTGAATCGGAACCTATGTCTTTTGGCTGCTTCTAGATGAAGGGTGAATCTGTTTGGAAAAGGCGTTCGTATCTTTTGCAATCCGTGCCGGCTAAATATAGTCGTGATATATCCAACCTGCGTTCCGAGAAATCGGTCGGCACTTATTTCAACCGTTCATGCATCCAAAACGTTCAAGCCAATGTCACGCAGCAATGTCGTACCGATAGTGCTGGGACTGGCAAGGAACTAGACCTCGGAATGGTTTCTCAGCAGCATCGGGTTGAAACGCAGCCGATGAGAATGACACAAAGAGTGACGAGACGCGCAAACCCTCAGAGCATCCGCACCTACCGAAACTCGTTCAAAGGAGTATCGAGCATTACTATCACGACGATCGCGCCGGCGACGGTGTAGATCATTTCGAAATCGATGCGAGACTCGCCGCCTGCGGTGAGCCGGACAGTCTGTCAGCTACTTCTGTCAATAGACCATCCATAGTGCAGATTCCGTAGCCCATAGGTCGGAGTAAGAGAGCAATAGAGCTTGTTGAAGCTGGTGTAAACTCACGGAGTGATGGGGAGTGAATGGGGCAACCATAGACTTGAGAGAGCATCGAAAAGGACGGGCGGCGGTGATAGCGACATGGAAGACCATTGCAATCCCAAGCGACCATATGAGTCGTCTCCAGCGGATTAACACTCCGATCGCACAGTCTTGTTGTCGCACCTTTTTTGGAATGTCCGCGACACGCTCGCTCTGCACCGGCTTCAATTCGCTCCAGTCTGCTGGCGCAGAGACACTCATCAAAACCGGCGCCCGGGTTGGATACATCTTCGCCGGGGCCATTGCCACGTGGTCGTTGTTCCCAAAGGACCTGTATCTTGGGTTCCTCGGCCTCGGTTCCGGAAAACGATGATCATAGCCGATTCAAAGCTCGCTTCCCCATCTATCGCAGTTTCAGCCGACTGTCGTCCAAGTATTTAGAACCTCCCACATAGGCTGATCTAGGCGGTTACGAGTGCTTGGATAATATCGACCGAGATCTTCGTGCGTCGTGATCATGAATGACTGGCCGTTTCAGTACGGATCCCAGTTCATGGAGACCACCGTCACGAAGACGATAAACGGCGTCAAGGACGCATGCTTGAAGCCGATCGTCGACAACTTTAGTGACCACTCGACCGCCGTGAACAGCTTCGCCAAGAAGCTCAACGCTCGTCATCCATTTTACCAAATACAAATAGAACACAATGCCTACAAAATTCTGCACTTGAGAATTGCTTAGCCCAACCAGTCAGTCATCAAGGAAAAGGGGGAAATGTCCAATCGGGAGTCCGATGTTGATAATTATATCTAATAGCAGGTGCTATTATCAGGCGTGAAAACATCTATTTCCCTTACCATGACGATTTTCACCGAGACGGCGCGCACAGGTGCTAGAAACAAAGATTTAGTTAGTTAGTCGAGAGGAACGGATGCCGCTGCACGAACATTCATTTTCCGCGCATGGTCTCTTTTGTGCACTTGTGTTTTGCAGTTCCAGCCGTACCAGCAGTTCCCCGTCGGCGTCCATCCACCTAGCCACAAATCTCAGTAGAGCTTGCAGAGATTGATTGCGCTCGACTGACCCAGGACTTTCCGCTGATACACCCACCCAACGAGATACTTCCCGACGATCGAATGCAAGCAGTCGAGACAGATACACTGGTCCGCATGCTTCTTCCGCTCATCGAGGTCGAATATCTCTGCGACAAGCGTGCGTGCGTCGACGCGCGAGTGAGCCTTGTCATGCATGAGGATCTGTAGAATCGCTTCGGCTTCGAGGTCGTTCTCGTTTAGCTTCCCCGGGAGCAACGCCAAAAGGTCCACTGCGATGAGGCGGTGCCAATCTGAGTTGGGTTCAGGGATGACAAGCGGGTGATCGTTTCAGGACTTACTTTTACTGCTCCAGAGGGGAGCGACGACTTTGCATTGAGAGCCTATAATATCTCGTTGAGCATTGGGTGATCTTTATGAGGGCGGTAGGGATAGCTAACAGAAATCGTCTTCGGCGGAGAGAGTTCCCTCGAATGTCTCCCACGGTACGGCTGAGTTCGGGACATGTCTTTCGTCACGCAAGATTGCTGTCAAAGGAGCTGTGATAAATCCGCCGAAGAAGGCATTATTCTCTCCTGACGAGAGCACCTCGACCTCGTGTGCCTCTTCGAACGGGGCCAGCGCCAGATCCTGGTGAGCTTTCAAAACAGCAGCAGGGCCTGCGGCGATGCAGATATCCTTCAAGCCTAGACCAAGAGCGGGAGAGTGTGAGCATCCCCCTTCAACTCGATCCATGGGCAGACTGACGTTCGAATTCTTCCTCGACTCCAGAGTCATGCTCCTCCGCTACCACGTCGCGAATGATATCATACATGAAAGCGTGCACAGCGCGCATGTCTAGGAGATCAGACGTAGTGTAGGCTGCGAGGAAGTCGTGCCGTTCCTTGCGCGTGCGGTCGAGGAAGGCCGGCTCTTCCTCCATCGCGTCGATGTCGTCGAGGTTGACAGGGAGGTTGAAAACTTCGCGGTAGAGCATGATGCGGTATACCGAAGCGTAGAAGCGCGAGCGTTGGGCGCCGGGTAGGACGATGTGCGGCGCAGCTGTTTCTTTCGCAACCCTAAGGAACAGGGTCAGAACAATAGGCCAGAGAGAGCGAGGAACGCTACGTGCCATGCTGCAAATGGGTTGAACAGGTGGTTGGCTACATAAGCGATCTCTGTGAGCTCGTATCGTTCCTTTGGCGTCAGGAACCCGATTGAATCGTTCTCCGTTGGCGGCTGGATCACCGCCTTCTTCCTCAAGTTGTGATTGACATCAATTTCATCGTCCTCGTCTGTATCGTCTTCCGTCTTTTCCTCATCCTCATCCTCCCCATCATTCCCTTCCCTGCCTTCCTCGTCTTCGAGTCCCCACATGTTATCCTCTTTCTCTGGCACCGGATACCGCACCCTCCTGACTGCGGCTCCGAGCGCGACCCCGCCCCCATCTCCGCCCACGACGTTCTCTGCAACCGCACGCAGGATCGAAGCCCGTCGCGTTTTGAAAACATGCGCCCACGCCCGGCAGACACCCGACGCTGCGTGAAGGCTGGCGAAGTCCGGCAGCGCGCAGAGGATGTGGTCGAGTGTATCGAAGGGAACTGAGATGTCAGAGAAATGGATGCCGGGAAGAGGTTTCAGAAACGCGGAATGGGACTGGGACATCGTGGACAGGCGCAGAGGTGACAGGAGGAGACGGCTCCGTGAGGCCGTTCGAATGATATCCCTGGAGCGCTCACGTGACGCTGACATCCGCCCAATTGCCACAGACTGGTCACGTTACTCCTCTAGGTACAAAGTGTCCTTATACTGCGTTCCGAAAGTGGCGTCTCTCACACGTTTTTCAAGAAAAAAGAGAACAATTGTTCCTTGTCAAAGACTATTAACTCTTGAAAGCATTTCTACAATGCAAAACAAAGCAAACTGCGATCTCAGAGGGTTACAGTCGAACTCACTTGGGAAAGATCTTGGCCGACTATTGCGCGGCCATTTGATGACTCGGTCATCATCATGTTTCTGACCGGATCGGCACTGCGCCTACGGCTAAGTGAGTCGCCAGCGCCGGTGAGCTACGATGCTAGTGTCGGCGATGCTGATGAAATCAAAATCGCGAAGATCCGGTTGGGACAGGCGACCACGCGACATGTCTGGAATTCATCTGATTATTTCAAGCACGCCCGTGCCGTGGTTGATTCTACAGCGGGTTGCCCTCCCTCTCACGGAGAAGTGCTGATCCCCTGCTGAGTGTCGAAGCTGCCTTGATGAGACATGTTTTACATGAGTGAGGTACTCTTTCTTGATTGACATCAATGCAAGGAATGGGCGGTACGGTCTAGGTGGTGGCCAAGCAGGGAATATCCTGCGGTACTCCATATGAATCCAAGTTCTAGTCCCGTCACCATGTCTGACATACGACTGTGTGTGCTCTTGGAAGCATCGATTGGAGCCATGTCCTGCGTAGTGCTCAGCGTGGGGGGTGTGATACCATCAAGGAGTTTGCTTTTCTTTGACCGAACCGACATAATGGTGGGAAACATGATCTCCTTCTGGAATTCATGCTCGAGATCACATTGATGCCAACAGCTATGACACGCGACATGTCTGACATCTATCTGATACCATCCGACTGCATCGTCGTCCATATCGCAAGAGCGGCTCTCCCCGTCTCGGGGAATCAGGCTGGTCGATCTTGGCAGGTCAGTCATGAGTTCCGCACACTGCACCCCACGGCGAGCCGTGATCCTCACATTCAATGAAAAGCGCGGCTATGAAGATCATTTCGCAGCCTGTGCCGCATCGCCAGGGTTGTCATCCCGATGCGTGATCCCGTTCGATGCGCATACAATGTTGTTTGTCATTGTACCGCCCGAATTCCGTGATTTCCTGAGTTGAGACGCACGCGCGAGTAAATGGGTCATCGAGCACCGGGTTCGACGCAGTTATCGTCAGGATTCCAGACGGTGCGTGAGAGAAAGCAACGGAGTGCGACTTCATACAAAAGGGCTCGAGACGCTAGATGAAGGCATTCAGAGAAATACGAACACATTCCACCTCACTCCCACCTCACATTCCTAAACAACAAGTTCCATGTCGGCACAAAGGGAAAAACACAGCAGGGTCTTCATTGCCTGCCTCAACTGCCGCAAATCGAAAGTCAAGGTACGTTCATCTGATGCTCAATGAAATGCCGAATAGTCATTGAGCGCACACATCTCAGTGCCTAAACAATAACGAAGACAATCAGCCCTGCGCCCGCTGTATACAGCGCAACCTTCAATGCGAATACGTCCCAGTGAACGTATCAGCCAGCAGCGGCATGCCCCGGAACGCCGGAGCATCCACGAGCCAGGCGGGGTATTACTACCCCGAGATGCCGATGCAATCCTACGGCGGAAACGATTACCAATACCACAACCCACCAGTCCAACAAACTCAGCAGCAAGTCTATTACGATCCCAATAATCAGGGCTATTATTATCCAAATGGGACATACTACGGCTCCGCATACCAGGGTAACTAGCATCGCCACATGACGGTAAGCTCGCTATTTCCAATCGAGTTTGCTTCAAAATTCACTGACAAGTTGAATAGTGGGCATCGGATTACCGCCTGGAGGAAACCTGACATAGTTTAGGAATACAGTACTATTTATTATAGTTTAATTTCCAAGATATTATACCACTACATTGATGCGATTGTCAGGGAACTGGACGGCGGAAGGGCACTTTATACGTAGTGGAGAAGCATAAAATTCAGTGAACCGCATGCGTGTAAGGACGGATGCCTCACCGGACAAACTAGAAGGGAGAGAAGATACGAAATGAAGGCAGGTTCAAAGACCAAGGCCAAGCGGAGTGAAAAATTAGCTTGTCACTTGGACTATACCGGAGTCGAACCGGTGACCTCCCGCAACGCCAGAATGCTAAGCGGACGCGCTACCAACTGCGCTAACAGCCCTGTGTGGCGAGGGAATTTCCCGTTTACTCATAGTCTCTTATTAAATTGCTATTGCTATTTTATGCGGACCGGACAACAGTTCTACCGGTAAAATTCACATTGAGCAATGTATTCTGTTCAACGCGCTCTGAAGACATTTCCCCCGACAGGACGCATCGTCAAGGCCCTCCGGTTGATCCTGACTGCCCATCAGTTCCCACGAGCCACGAGTCCGGCTAAATTTGCTTAGCTTCTCCGCTCTGCCCCGTCTTCATCTCCATACTAACACTTACAGCTAAACCCGCTGACGTCCGCACCAGAGATGTCGCAGCGCATCACCATCCGTCCATACCGACCATCTGACCACCCACACATCCGCGCGCTGCTGTTCGAGGGATTCGTGACCAGCAGTACGTTCTGCGTCCCCGTCACACCACCTGCTGCGGACAGCTGAGATACGTCGGGTAGAGGACAGCTTCACATACGTCGCGCGCCGCCGATTCCTTCTTAAAGCCCCGTGTCTCCTCGGCTATCTCCTCAGCGCTAGCGGACTAGGACTCGGGCTGGTTCTGACCCTACGGACGCCCCTCCTTCCTCTTCCGCCCTTCCTCCTCCGCGTTCCTCCACGCGCAGCCATTGGTGCGGGTGCGCTCCTGTTTGGGTTGGGCGCGGCTATGGTTGGCGCGATATGGACCGGCATCCCGCGCGCAATCCGGCATTTCTGTGAGAAGGCGCTGCGCTCCGACCTCGCGCCTGGGAGGGACGGGATCGAGGGCGTATATGCAGCACCTGGAGTATTCCTCGTCGCTACCATGCCGGTCGACGGGAGTAAGGAAGGGCCGGAGGAGGAGAAGCCGGAGGAGGAGGAGATTGTTGGGTACATCGGCCTTGGTGCGCGGTCGCCTCGGAGTTTCCGATTCAGGATACTACTGACGGATATAACTAGCGTGCTACACATCCAGCGAAAAATCGGCGTCGCCCCTGGTCACCGCTGAAATCAGGCGCATGGTCGTCTCTGCCCGCCTCCGGCGCCGTGGCATCAGCACTCAGCTCATGCAGCGCGTCATCGCCCACTGCGAGACCCTATCTCCCATCCGAGTGAGCCTCAGCACGACGGAGTTCCAGCCCATGGCGAAGCGGTTGTACGAGAAACTTGGCTGGGAGGTCGTCAGCGAACGGACGCTGAAGGACGGCATTTTCAGCGCCCGGATGTGGACGCTGAGTCGAGAGCTTTGAGCTTGAAATGCATTTAAAGGGAAATTGAATTTACGACAGCTAGACGATATACTGACTCGTTAGAGGAACACAAAGAAGCACATACTGACTATGTACATAGACCTATCACTGCACTGCACGAATCTGAACATGAAATGATACTTCCACGGCATGCTAGACTCTATAGGTACCCCATGAGAATCGAATCTCCGCCGTCATCTCCCCATTCATTCATTAAAGAATGGATTCAGCGGCAGCAGCTTACTCCCGTGTGAGAAAATAAGGCAGCGGAATCCTCTGAGCCCCTTCTAGTCAAGCTAATTGGTGTGTATTGCTCTGGTTCTAAAATTCTAACAGCTGAGGCTTATGCAAATTGTTCAATGGGTGTGGGGGTTTCTATCAGGATATGTACGTCCACCTGTCGTAGAATAGAGGATGGGTGCATCCTATTGTATCGCATTCGGAGCGTCTCTATGATGAACTCGTTCGTAATTGATGCCAGGGGTCAAAGAACGAGCATGTCGTGCGGGTTTAGACAACTATTGGATCACGTGTTACGGTTGCTATAAACGAGCCGCTCATCGGCCAGAAGCCATTACGCGTTTTACAAGCTGAGTTTCAGTCTTAAACCGGTACATTAGAAATAGTAGCGCTACAGACCGCAAGACGGATGTATTAAGTTCTAAGCTGGGCGATAATTGCCCAAAAATAGCGGTGTCACACCTCAGTTCAATTGAACCTTGTGCCCAGAGTCCCTCCACGGCCCCGCATCACTCATCGTGCACCCCCCACCGCACTCACATGTGCCTCCGTACTCCTTTGGCAAATTTTCCGCAGGGATCTGCTCTAGTAATGTCTGCCGATAGTCGGTCCCGAGCACGACGATCTTCGCAGCGCTGTCGGGGTGCACCAGCGGTTTGACAAAGGCGGACATAGCAGAGATCGCCCACGGCGCGTTGATGATATAGAATTTGCCCATCATCCCCGGGTAGCGGTGCCGCCCGATCGACGCGGCGCGCACGAGGTAGTCCTTGCCGCGGTAGAACTGTCCCAGCGAGAGATTCTCGAGATCGATGATCGTGCAGAACGCGTCGACCGCGTGCCCCGCGCGCGCGGCGCATGCTGGGAGGCGTGTCTGAAGCGTGCGCTCATACTGGTACACGAGCCGCTGCAGCTGCCGCTCGACGCTGCTCACGCGATTCAGCGCGTCGACGTCAACAGTCTTGAAGCTCTCGATGTAGATCGGCCGCCCGTCGCGGTCCGTCTTGTGGAAGTACCGCGGGCAGTACCGGTTGACGAGGGGCAGCTCGGCGAAGTCGAGCGTGGCGAGGATGTCGTTCGCGCCGAAGGATCTGCGCCACGCCTCGCACGAGACGAACATCTCCTTGGCGGCCGGGACTTCGAAGCGCCGCGCGCGGAGGAAGCTGGCGACGGGTGGCATAAAGCATCAACATCATCCGAGACGCACACAACACACAGACGGGCGTGACGTACCGCAGGAGTGTCTCGTCGTCCATCCTCTCCCCGCTCTTCGAGTCCACCGCATCGCGCCTCAGCTCATCGCGTAATCGATCTAGGCTGCTTTGTTGCGCGCCCGTGAGGTTTCCGAGATACCCAAGAGCGGGCGTGTAGGGGGCAGCAGACTCGCTCTGTGGTAGGGTCATAGTGGTCGAAGAAACGGAAGATCAGGGAGGCATAAAGGAGTGTCCAAGCTGGCCGTATTTGTCACCCTCCTGAACCGCACGGCACCAAGGTAGATGCGATGCCTGCACTGGGCTCAGGATCGTTCCGTGATGATGCGCGGTCTGATTTCGATAGTTATAATAGAGGTCGTCCAGCGAATGGGAATGAAGCGGATTATGGGGTTCCGGTCTGCGTCGGTCTCGGATGGATGTGGGAAGAGAGTGAAGCGCGCGTCATCATGATGACGGCGCGGCATCATCTGAGAAGCTTGGCTGTTTCTTGGCCCGTTGATTCACTTGGTATTCGGGACCCGACGTCTGAGCATTCTCCGTGCGCAGTCGACACACGTAATTTGTGGGTACGGAGGGAGAATTCTATTGTTCAAAAACAAGAGCACGTGCAGGCGCATGATGACAAGTTTACACCGTGTACAGTACAACGGCGTACTGTGTAGGATCCATGGCGGGCAACACGATGACGCGGGCGGCAGGGGCGGCAAAGCCATGAAAAAGAGTGGTAAAACATTCACGCTACCCTGAGACGAGAATGCCGGGAACACCCTCTTCCACGGCATACATCATAGACATCGTCAACTGGGACATCTTTCTCGGATGATATGAGGGCCGCAAGAGGTCCTCCGGCGTGCGGGGTGAAAGGCTGCTGCAGCTGCTTGCAGGGCTCGAGTCCAGGTCCGGAACAGCACACATCGTCGGCATCCTTCTCCGGTGACGATTACCCGTCGATCGAGTGCGTCCGGACAAGAGTTGGGCTTCTGCTACTCCACCCTCTCCCGCCGTGTCAGCCCATTTCTGTTTCTGCACACTCTCACACTGTACCTCCACCTCCGCCTCCCTGACGCCCAGGTCCCAGCGTAACACACTCAGTAGATCGCGCTCGATCCTTCCCACCTCACGCGTCGTGAACAGTCCCGCGGTGCACACTGCCCAGTGGCCATTCAGCATCGCGCCGTCCTGCGTGTACTTGCTCGCGAGCACGAGCGCGCCGAGCACAAGACGCTGCGTCAGGAGCCCCGCGAGGCTGCGGACGGCCATGGTCCCGCGGGCACGTGCAAGGTAGATCAGTGCGACGAGCAGCGTGGGTGCCGTGATCTGTGCGCGCGCGACGAGGGTCGAGACGAAGTCGGTAAGACGCCGGCGGTCGTCCACTTCGCAGCTACTGCGGCGACGGCGGCGTGGTGTACGGCCACGAGGGGGATGAGACAAAGACGCTGATTGGGGTACGGGCGGTGCGTCTCCCTCCTCGAGGGCCAAGTGTGCGGCTTCCGTGACGCAGTCGACGGTGTAGTCTGTGCGGAGTGAGTACGGCCGAAATCGTGTAAGAATGACAATGTCTACCGATAAGATGTTGAGATACATCTGCATCGATGATGCGCAGCACGCTCTGGGGATGGGTGGCGGGGTCCACAAGAGACGCAGGGTGGATGCGGCTGGAGGAAGCATAGTGCGAATCACACATGAGCATGATGGCCTGATACATGCGAGTAGTAGAGCAGTGGAAAGGACGAGGGTTGTAAAACGCCCATGCTACTGAGGATCATGTTATATATATGTCGGACAGGTCAAAGAGCAGGTCAAAGAGCAGATCAAAGAGCGTGGTGGAGCGCGTCTCCTCGGATGTCTTGTTTCAATGTTTGGCAGCGAATGATCGATCCCCTTGTCTACTGATCCACGTGACCCTCTTTTTGTGGCCACAACTAGCCCTCGATCTTATCTACGAGCGATCGAAGCCATTGAGTAACTCGCAGGAACATATGCAATTGATGACTTTATCATTCCGTAGATGAAATATTATTCGTCCATTCCGTCGTCCTCGGGAATTCTGCTCGACATCACGCAGGCCTGCCAGGCGCCAACGACCAACACCGCATTCCAGACCAGCTCCGCATACGACAGACTCAGCGTCGAGTGCTGCGTCCCGGGCTGGGGCACAGCCGAGATCTGCTTCAGCAGTTCACTGACCAGTGCCAAGATCTGCGCCACGCGGTATCGCCCCGCGAACACACCAGACCGGTGGTTCAGTGCGAGCTGGGAGACGGTCCCGGTGATAATCAGCGCGTCGGCGAGGGTGGCCGCGTTGTCGGACAGACGGCCGGTGGTGTCGTGTTCGTTCCGGGCGAAGAGGGCCGGTTCGAATATGTACGTGTGCTGGAAGTCGAAAGCCCAGTAGACTAGTGTCAGCGCAGCGAATAGCTGGAGATGGTGAATTATCAGAATACGCGCCCGAATTCGTGAATGGGGGGAGGACTCACAGAAACACGCCAGAGCCATCCCGCATCCAACCGCGCACTCGCTCTTTCCTGGTGCGTTCGTTTGACCCATCGAATCCTCGGGCCCGTGAACGTCCAGGCCAGCTTTAAAGGTGAGATCGCTCGCAAGATAAGGATGGTGGATGGCAGATTCCCGATCAAACTGTATACGATGAACGATACATCCACTCCTGGATCCTTCCCAGTTGATTGCGTGAGGATGTAGTAAATCCCAAAAACGCATGCACAGAGCTCTCCCGACACTATCAGGAGCGTTCCAGGGATGCTGATGAAGGCCGAAGTTGGGCGTGTGAACCAGTAGATGCATGCGAGAAAGAATAAAAGTGAGTTCGAGATCAGACTGGATCAAAATTGGCCTCAGCCACACGGCGGATATGCATAAAGTCACTGACGAGATCGTGAAACGGAGGAGCCTAAAACCGGCAGAAGACTCTGGGCCATGTCGATGCCCGTACACCACGCCTGCGCGAAACATCAGATCGGGCGGATCACGAGGAAACTCGAACTTGATCACCGAACAGCTCCGTCGTCTCTTGTTTCATCGCGCGCGAGAAATCGCTGTCCGTGTGATCGCTTCGCTGGGATGGCAAGATATCCAGGTCACTCAGGAGAAACCTCCGGGGGGAGAGAGTTCCGAATGAAAGCCTCCATGTGATGTTCATTGTTTCCTGAGAGGCTCTGACCGCCTCCGCACAAGTTTCTCGGTTGATAGGAACTGGTACGACGTCCTACGTTCGGTCTCAATGGTGAAGTATCCGAAGGTGGCTTGACTTACTCTGGGCCCGGCACTGGATTGCAGCACATCCATGAATGGCGCGTACGCACTCTCCTCTCGCGTCGTTTCGTTGCCGTCACCGGAGGGCACCGCAAACCAGAGTCGCGTCTCATAGTTGACGTTGTGGATGTACCTCCGCTCGTGGCACCGAGTAACATGCCACGCCTCGCTCTCGGGATAATGCCCGCACTGTTGTGAGGTCAGTGGGCAAGATGAGTGCCGTCCATCCAGAACTCACGGCGGTGCTCTGCAACGACTCGTGCAAGCCGGTGTAAAGACTCGCGTTGAAGAGTCGTGTTTCGCGCACCATTCGCAAGTGTGTTCTAACATTTCAGGACTCGAAACAAGGAGATCTTTTGATTGATTACTCACCTTGTGATGATGTGGGGGTGATTAAATATCTCAGACGTGTCATCGCTCAGGCATATAGGGGCGACGGAGTGATATTCAACCATCGGGATGGTGAAACCGAACGAATCAAACGCCTGTTCGATGGGACGGTGGTACGTGTGCTCAGTCGAGTTGAGTGGAAATCTGAGTATCAGATGAATAACGATCAGATGCGAACGAAGTACACGCACGGGAAAGATTTCAGTTGTGGGCGTAAAAAGTCATGTGGATACCACGACGTGAAGTGTTTGTAATATGGGAGCAGCGGCGACTTGGGAATAACCACAAACGACGCGCGCAGAACATTGTTGTTGCCTTGCATCTCATGGCTACAATCACTGTGTGAGTTGGAGATCATCAGAAAGGGTGCAACGCACAAAATCTCAGTGGGGATCTGTAATGGGACCTCCGCATGTAAATTCGTGTCGCTCATCCGCACGTCGCGAAACACGGCATCCGAGAACACCACCTTTTCCGACGAGATGGCGTCGTGGTACCCGTCTAAAAAGTTCCGGTGCGTCATCAAGACCAGGCTCTTCTCCCAGACCGTCATGTTCGCCGCTGCATCGGGCCCAACGAGCTGCTCCGCAGACAGCGAGCGCCCAGCGTCGTCCCAGTCCTCGCTGTCAAATATATACTCCTGCTCCTCCACCGTCCGCGCCAGCCACACGCTCACCGCCACGTCGAACGTATCCTCCGCCCCCACCAGTGGCTGCACGACCTGCGTGCGGTTCTCTGGCGCGACATCTCCGATATTTGCCTCCGCAACGAAGAGCTCGCGAGGCGGAAATTCGTACATCCGCGTGCGCGCGAGGAGCCTGAGCAGAGGGAGGAACAGGATCAGCAGGCACACAAAGACGGGCGTCGGGATCAGCAGGAGGGAGCACGTCAGGCGAGAAATGCCCCGGCGCGCGGCACGCCGGGACTGCACGGCTATGGGGGGCGTCTTTTCGGGATGAGGTGCTGCTGCTGCTGCTGCTGGTGAATCCATGAGTGTAGAGAGAGAATTTGCTACCGAGTTTTGATTCTGACTAGGCGGCGGGTAGTGACATCGCGCCCGGCAACTGCATCAGATAGTTACCTGGGCTGGACTCAGCGGCCACTGGCTAGATCGACCAAAGCTGTGCAGACGGCTTTCACTTGATGTGGTCAGGGTGGCTTTGTGGTGAGTACGTAGAGCGTGTCACCCGAGAAACATACATGGCTTCTCCCGAGAGATTGTCAGCAGAAAAAGGAGTGTCACGCTGTCAATTCCGTAAGATAACGTGACAATCAGCTTTACTGAAGCAGCTCAAAGCGGCCCCTCATGACGCTCTTTGACCTACTCTTTGGCCTCTACTGGATATATAACACAACCTTCGGCGGCATGGATACTCTATTGCCTCGTGCTTCTCTCCCTGTTCGGATAAGCTCATCATGACCATGCGTGATTTTCAAATGGACTCGTTGAGGGGCATGCACCCTGCGTCTCTTGCGCACCCTGCTTCGCATTCGCACGTTATGCTGCAGCTCATTGGCATGGTCATATCTCCGCCTCTCATTGGTGAGTTGCTTCATCCACGCATCTTCCCCATGTGCTCACTTTTCGAAGAGTATACTGTCGACTGTGTTACAGAAGCCGTACGCTTCGCTCTGGACCACGATACCCGTGCATCCGCGCCGTCCTCCTCCTTCCATCGTAAAAGGAATTCCCGGTATACTGGCTCCCGAAGCGCAGAGGACGACTATCGCCACCTGACTGACTTCGTTACGACCCTCGTCTCGCACGCCCAAATCACCACTCCGACACTGCTTGTCGCGCTGACGTACATAACGCGCGCGCGCGCGATCATGTTCATCCGCTGTGCTTCCGCTTTCGTCGCCCAGCGCCTCATCCTCGGCGCGCTCGTGCTCGCGAGCAAGTACACGCAAGACAGCACGATGCTGAACTGCCACTGGGCGATGTGCACTGCGGGGCTCTTCACGACGCGTGATGTGAGCAAGATCGAGCGCGATGTGCTGGCGGTGCTGGATTGGGAGCTCCGTGTTAGGGAGGTGGAGGTGTTGGTGCAGTGCGAGGGGATGAAGAAACGGGCCGATGAAGGACTGGCGGAATCTGTCCGCTACTCCAGGCGAAATCGGTCCGTAAGGCATCATCGCCGTAGGAGGATAACGACGACCTCAGTCGTCTGTACTTCTCCTGCCGGTGTACCGGATTTGGCCTCCAGCCCTGCAAGTAGTCGGGACATTGTATCACCTCGCACGCCGCAGGATGTTATACCATCGTGGAGGGAGCCTTCGAAGGCCACACGAGTGGCGATGTCCGTCGTCCGCCATGTCAAGCGGAGAATGTCTGGTATCATCGTCCCCGGCTCATAGTGTCCCTGCTACCGGATTTTGAGCTGCATATCTGTGCTCTCGCCCCCACATACACCTTCCTCAGAACATTCTAAAGTAGACTTGAATGCTTCACCTATCTTTTCCCGGACTCTCGCTATGATACCAGCGAAGGCAATTACTTCGATTCGCATCTTCCTTGTACAGTTCGGTACAGTTTGAATCATGTTTACAGAGTAAGGACAGTGGCTACAAAGAACTTGAAATAGAATCCGAGCCGACCTCGAGTTCACACAGTCACCGCTACGCCAAGATCACGTTCTTGGCTAAGATTAAGAATCCTCACCAAGAGCACATCCGAGGTCCTCCTCAATACAACGGCGCGTCATCGCAATGAAACTGGGCCGACCCATCTGCGTAGCTCTTCCTCCGGAACGTGCGCAGAATGCGCTCATCAGGAGTGTCTGGCCCGACCTCGCGCACGACGTGGTACGAGTCGCGACGCGGCAGACACATATTCTCCCGCCCAATGACGTGCGACACGCGGTGGATCTCGGCACTCGGCGTCAGTCGCTCGTCGCTCACCACAAACCGCGGCGCGCGCTCAGGGATCACCGGCGAGCGCAGGATCGCCGCGCCCTCGCTGGGCGTGAGCGGGCCCGGAGGCAGAAGGTACGCCGTCGTCGCCGTCGTTATCATCGTGTGGCTGCGCGTGCGGGTGAGTGCTAGTGGAGCGTGGGCATGGGTGTGGATGGGGAGGTCAAGGACGGGCATGAGAACAGAGAGAGCCGCTGCATGCTTGGCGATCGGGCGTACGTGAATAGCGGGTGCAGACTGGGTCGCGACGAGAGGCGGGCGACGCGTGCCGTGCCCTTGTCCATGCGTGAACGGACTCGCCCGGCGCATCACACGCCGCATGAGGTTCTCCTGGAACGCCGTGCGCGCGGTGGGATCGGCGTTGCTGGGTAGCTGAGCGGGGGCTTTCGGCGTCTTTCCGAGAGTATCAGGGGCTTGCAGGCGATGGAACGGGAGTGGCCCAGCCTCCCGCACGACGCGCTCCATCTTGTTGGCGCGCACCATTTGCAGCGCTGCGTGTTGTTGTGACGGCGGTAGATTCTCGTCGGCAGGTTGACGCGTCGGACGCGACGACTTTGGAGGAGGTGGCGGCATAGGTGTGAAGATCGGAGTAGGCGAAGGGATAGTAAATGTCTGAATACGGGGAATGAGAAGCTTTGACGTTGAGGCACCGATCGTCGATCGTTTCGCCGTAAGCTAGGGATGCACCTCTTCCTCCGGCCTATTGCAAGGGGAGAAACATCAAATAAGATGACAACGACCCATAGGAGAAGTGTTTAACGGGACAAGACGATACGCAACTACGCACATGGCCAGCTGGGCCAAGGAGGCCAAAAACGATCCTTCACTGGCGGAAATGGACTATACCGGAGTCGAACCGGTGACCTCCCGCAAGCCAACATGCTAAGCGGACGCGCTACCAACTGCGCTAACAGCCCTGTGGCGTAAGTCTCGCCATAGCCATCCCGACAGATCAAGTCAAAGTCGCGGGACACCCTTCGAAGTCTATCTAGCATTCTACTCTAGATTTCAAGCAGACAGTACCTCACCAGCAGCCTCGGTCTCCACCACTGGCTCAGTCACTACCCCCGGCGCTGCTCCCGGCACTGCCCCCGTCACTTCTTCAGGCTGTGCTGTCTTCCCTGCTTCCGACCACGGACCAGCATCCGCCAACGAGCACCCCCCAGGGCACGAACACTTCCCACCAAACATGGCGGGCAGATTCTCCGCCGGAATCTGCTCCAAAAGCTTGTCCTGGTATGTTGACCCGAGGATCTCGATCTTCGACACGGTCACCTCGTCCAACCACGGCTTGATGACGCTCCAGACGCCCGAGAAAAGCCACGGCGCATTGATGATGTAGAACTTGCCCAGGGTCTCGGGGTAGCGGTTCTGGCCGAAGTCGGCGGCCTTGAACACGTAGTCCTTGACGCGGTAGAAGTTGGACAGCGACGCGTCCTTGAGGTCGAGGATCGTGCAGAAGTTCTGCACTGGGTGGCCCGCCGCGGCGGAGCACGCGGGAAGGCGCTGGTTGATCGACTTCTCGTACTCCGTGACGAGGTGCTGCAGCTGGCGCTCCTGCGTTGTGACTTTGTAGATGGCGGTGAGATCGATCAGGCCGAGACGCTCGATATATACAGGCCGCCCATCGATATCGGTCTTGTGGTAGTACTGCGGGTAGTACTTGTCCACCTCCGCCAGCTCTGGGTATTCGAAGTTGGCTACGAGGTCGTCGACGCCGAACTCCTTCCGCCACTTCTCGCACGAGATGAACATCTCCTTCGTCTTCGCGACGTTAAACTGACGCGCACGGAGGAATCTGTGCACGCCAAGCGCATATACGAAGCGGAGATGGAATCCGACAGGAGGGAAAATGGACGGAGAGCTGTCAGCCGCTGCTCACCCACACATAGGATACGAGTACTTACCGACACAACTCGGAGTCCGTCATACGTATGGGGCCCTCCACGAGCCAGCCCTCCTCTTGCAGCTCCTTCTTCGCCTGCGCAAACGCGCTCTCCTGCGCTGGCGTCAGGTTGCCCAGGTACCCAGGCGGGATCTGATACGTCGGGTCCGTGATGCCCAGGGTTGCGTGGTCATACGTGGGTGTCGCCATCGTAAAATTTGAGTTTATATGTGTGGTGGTATGCGTGGATGGACGATGGATGCTGGTGTGGGGCAGTCGTGTGATACGGCAGGAGAAAACAAGCTGTGTGCGTGATCGTACTGTAGTGTGATCGGAGGAGGCGCAACGATTGATGTTGATTGATTGATTGATTGATTAGATTACAGACTACTTCGTTGTTACTTCTTCGTATTCGTACGTACTCCCATAAGCTGCTGATTCCAATGGAACGGCTGCTTGATTCAGATAAGTAATGTCTAAATGAAAAATGGGAGACACTGGTGGTGAATTTGTTGCCGCACAAGTATTATTCAGGCTTTCCTGCCGACGGTTCGCATCTGTCGCCCTTGGAGAGTCTGAAAATGGAAACCAAGTAAGCTGCGACGTTCGTTGGATACCAAGGCTGAAAGTGGCCTTCTTGCGAGCTTGGGATTCCGTTTTGAGGGCACAGAAAAATTCCCGTCAATGACTATTTTTCAAGTCTTAGCTCAACGTGTTGCAAGTAAAGTAGCGTCAGTGACAGCGAATCGGCATCCATCGAGGAGACGATCACGAGTAATGATTCATTTATCAATTCCGCCGACGGTGCGGGCAGACAGCTAGTAAAGTACATAGAATGTGGTTGACCATTCTAATTGACTATTCAGTATGATCCTGTTCTTCACGCCGTCTCCCCCATCCGATGTAAGCTCCCAGTCCCATCATTCCCGCTGTGAGAGCCTGGACTGGAGCCGTAGCCACGACGATTCCGCCCATTGCAGCGGATTGCGCCCATGCAAACGCTGAGCCACTCCCGACAGCCGCACCATAAGCGACAGATTGGATCCAGGCCGCAGCAGATCCTTGTGGAATATAAACATACGCAGTCCCGGACGGCAGTGGAAAGAAGACGAACCTGCTGCCACACCAGTGGCGGTGAATCCCAGTATGTTGAGTGTGCCAACGAGGACAGCGGGAACGACGACTGCACCGCCGACTGCGACCAGTCCAAGCGCTGCCGCTCCAGCGAGAAACGGATGGTTGTCCCGTAGTTCCTGAATTGCACCTCCGATATTCGTGCCATTGGGCTCTATTCAGGTCCGATTAGAATAACGCTCAATCGATGAACTGATGGCCACATGCCTTGCTTGTTGTCCTGTTTTACTCTTTCTGTATTGTTTGGGTAATGAGCAGTGCGGCTCAGATGGACCAGGCTGGATAACTTTGGCACTGACCGTGGACCACCATCAGCACACGCGTAAACCAGCCCCACTCCCACACATCCAGCCCAGGCTCGAGCTGCTGCATCATATCCTGCGTGGCACGCACGACGCGCTGGACGTCTTCGCTGAGGAAGTGCAGCGCAATGCGAACCCAGAGTTCTTGCGGCGCCTGGCGGAATTTGAGTCCGAGGCGGATCGTCGCTAGCCAAGTTTCCACGCTCTCGTCCGGGGTGCCGCTGAATATCGGTGCATTCCAGTCATTGAGGTAGAAGGCTAGTTGTGGATCCATGTTCGCTGTGCGAAGGAAGGAAAGAGAGCGGAGGGAAGAGGGAAGAGGGAAGAGCGCAGGTAACTGGCACGTCGTCACCTCATGGCATCTTTATTTGGCTCTACGGGCGCTTGTGTGGCGCATGCACGGGGAACTGCCACCTTGCGACACAGCTCATCCGATGAATCCAAGTCTTCCGGCGGCAGAATCCACAGTAAACTTCCAAGTAACGACAATGTGGCAAATAAATTATGTACAAAGCCATCAAGCCCGTCTGCCTCCAAAGCCAATATATGCGCCCAACCCCATCACTCCAGCCGTGAGCGCTTGAACTGCAACAGGCGCCACGACGATTCCGCCCATCGTGGCTGATTGAGCCAAAGCGAAAGCGGATCCAGACCCCACCGCCGCGCCATACACAGAAGATTGGAGCCCTGCTGCAACAGATCCTTGTCGGCCATGAGTATCAAGAATGGGTGTCATATGCACTGCATGGAAAGGCGGACCTGCTGTGACTCCAGTCGCGCTGAAACCGGCCAAGTTAAGTGCCCCGACGAGCACGGCTGGGGCAACGACCCCATGCCGCCGACACCCACCAGTCCCAGCCCAGCTGCTCTCGAAAGCGTAGGATGATCGGACCGGAAGTTGTTCATGGCTAGATGGACAAGCAAATGGCGTTCAGAAACCCATTTGAAGGAATGGGAGGGGACTGATCACCTTGCTTATGACTTCCTTCGTCTTGTTAGCTGGGGTATTCCTCGGGAGGTCCGAGTAAAAGACGATCCAAGTCTGCTCGTGGGAGCAGGAAGTCAAAGGCACGGGCTTGAAGGCTGTAGCCAACGCCTCGTGTGCGATTGTTTCCCGGGCGGAGTTTGTGCGACGGAACAGACTCATTCCTGATGTGTGGTGCGACAGACTCGTGTATGCCAACGGAGTTGAAGATGAGAAAGTGATGAAGCGTTCTTGTTTGAATGCTCAGCTTGTCTTCTTGTGTCAGTGCGGCGAATCGGTGCGAATTTCAGATCTCAGAGTCGAATATCTCAGAATTTTTAGGACCGGCCTACTTGTTTCGCGATGAGATCTCTCCAAGTGTAACTTTCCCATGGAAGAAAAACATTTATCTACATGCCAGCGGAGGTCCGAGATATTTCCCAGGTCGGGCGATAAATTACAGATAAGAAATTCGACGATGTGCCACAGGATGAAGACTCAGAGGCGTGCCATAGGTTGAAACCTGTCCTCGTCCCAGACTCGTACGAATATCAGATACCCACAAAATTCGATAAATGATTGGGCGGAAGCCATAAATTCAGAGCCTAGTTTATCATTCTGATATGTAGATTGAATAAGATCGATCGAGTTATACGTGAATGAGCGGGAAAGAATACAAACAGGAGAATAGATACAGCGAACTTGGGGACACGCAGCTACATAAGATATGTACAGTACAAAGTCGAAGGATGGTTCCAGTGGGTGTGATAAGTCGAAAATTGAGAGGATGTAGGATGAGAAACGAGCAGTTCCAGGTTACAGTGTCTATGATCGTGAAGAGGTCGTAAAGTCAGTCAGTCGTCAAAAGAAAAGACGAGAGCAGCTAGTGGTGCCCCCAGTCTGATCCCGTATGATAATCATCGGTTGGTGAGGATGCAGAGGCGTCCTTGGGAGGAAAGACGTATCCGCTGAATGCATTCCAGCTGGAGGCAGGAGCAGCAGCCCGGGAGCGGTGCTGGTCCTGATGTGGGCCAGCCCAGCCAGATAGAGAAGAGAAGTTGGAGATAGAGAACTGCGCTGGGATGTCCATCTTCACCTGCAGCGGAGAGGCATGGGCTGACATCGTCGGCGAAGGCGTTGCCTGACGCCCAGCTTGCTGTTCAACATCGCCGTCAGCTCCGGTAACAGAGAACGGCGGCAAGCTTACAGAGAACGACCCCAATCCTCGATCGCCCCATCCGTTCTCCTCCGCAGGCGAGTAGTCCGTCTCAATGTCATGTGTCTCTCGCGCCCGATGCCACCATGCACTTGACGTCGCCGTCTCGCGATATCGCACATTCGGACCGGGACCCGGATGTACAGGCACGTGTGTAGGATCCGGGTAACTGGCGTGCCCGGGCGGACGATATTCGGAAACGCTGACGGGCAACGACTGGAAGTACTCCTGCTGCATGACGGGCAGCGAAATAGTGTCCCGGCGCGTGTGGCCTGGCGCCCAAGGCTGCTGCTGCTCCTGAGTGTACACTGGGTCTGGGCCACGTTGGGTCGCTGGCGTGATCATGGGTCCAACGCTCGGGACGCTTAGACCAGCGGTGTGCTGCGTATGGCCATCGGGACACGATGCCCGACCGCGGCACGGAGCACTCGATGAGCGTTTGAACATTTGAGTCAGCGGGACATCTGGGGGGAAGCTCGTTGGCGCATAGGCTTGAACCTGAGCCGGCACAGGGGACTGATGCGGAAGGAACGGGGAGGACGGGGTGTACGGTGACGTCGGGGACATCTGCTGTGGATAAGGCGACGACGGCGGGCCCCAGGGCGAGAAGGTCGACTTCGACTCGTCGTACGTCGGAGTTGTGAGGTGGAAATCCTCTTCGGCAGACGATGCACCGGAAGATGGACGCCTGATCAGCTTGGGTACAGCAACTAGACCTTCAGCCGAAGATGAGCGCCGGCGCTTATGATGCTGCTCAAGATCGACACGGCTCTGATCTGCATCCCAGGCAGCGACAGCAGCTGCTAACGCCGGCCCAGACTTGCCCTCGACTAGCAAATTGGCGATCTTCTCGCATCGAGCATTGTCTCGATCTCTCTTGTCTTTTTCTTCTTTCGTCTCGCTGGCCTCCTGGGTCTTTACTACCGCATCCTGACTCAGGGCACGTGCCTTGCCCTTGCCCTTGCCCTTCACTACGGCTACACGGCTCTTGCTTTTGGGAGACTTGACTGTGGGAGGCGTGACCGTAACAGTTGTCGCTCGTGTGCGTCCCGATCGCGTGATAGGTCCTGTTGTTGGTCGCACGACGGTCGGTGAGGCTGAGGCGGAGGTCGTAGCACGTCGTTTCTTCGAGCGTCCTCGCTCTTCTAGCTCATCATTCGCTAGCGTCACCGCTACGTCATTTGGCGCGACGGTATCTTCGTCCGCAGCCTCATCTGAAGCAGTATTCGCTGGAGGTGGGGGTGGGGGTGGTTCTCCACCCCCGTCGTCCTTGATACGGCCTTTCCGCCGGCCACGAGGCTGCCCAGTATTCATGATGAATGTCGTCTGTCGCCTTGTTATATGCCTCGACATGAAAAGACACAAAACCAAGACACGCACGCTCTTGCTGACGTTTCCGGGTCGGAACCGCCAATCGGGATACCGCCGCCGATGCTCGGCCTGGGCTGCACGTGCCTTGTCCTCCCACTGCGCCCGCTCTTCGGGCTGTAGCGCTTTCCAATACTTGCCTGCATGACGCCTTTAGCCCTGCAGAGAAGTAGAAAGGACTGGAGAAAACACCCACCGACGATCTTGCTGAGCACGCTGTGATTCCCCTCCACACGCTCGGGCACACTCTGAGTTCGGATGAAATGCGACCGGAAGAGGATAAACGCGTTGGGCGGACGGGGGATGTACGAGGGTGCACGCCGCTCCGCGGCCTTGCTCACGGGCGGCAAATCTGTGTCGAAGTCGATCTGGTCGACAAGGCCGTCGTCAAAACCATTGAGGGATGTGGAAACGGCTGCGGAGGTAGAAGCAAATGGGCCGGGTGTCCGGTTGGCGAAGGTGACGCTGCTAAAATCGATGGACGACATCATCGATTCCTGGGCCGCCACGTGCGACCAGTCGGCGTCAGGCAGGGCAGTCGCGTCGACGAGTGGGGGCATGTCGTCTGCGTCGTCTGCGTCTGGTGCGTGTGCACGCATTCGGCAAGGGAATGGAGGAAGCAAAGAGCGCAAAGGCTAATATGAGCACATACTATGAGCTATTGTTGCTCGTTCACGCACCAGCCTCGGTCCCAACAGCACCCTCATCAGCATCCTCCAAAACCCCGACTTTCTTCCCTTCATCGGCCGAGAACGAAGAATACAGCAACCTCGGCTCTCGCAGGCGCACAGGCGGCATATCGCTGGTGTCTACCCGAAAGCACGATGCTCGTCCCGAGACGCGAGTCGGCAGAGGATGAGGGTATACCAGCGAGGACGAGAACAAAGAAAGCCTAAAGACAAGGGCAAGGCGCGTGTTGCTCCGGACATCATCACGAAGCAGGGATCACGATTCGAGAAAAGCCTGAGAGGGCATGTTTCCCACGCTATTGTGTCCCGAGACAACGGGTCTGATCGATCGCTTCTCGCCGAAAGTTCCGCCGCCTTTTCCGCCGCGTAAGGCCCCTTCCGCGGGCTCGGGGTCAGTCGGCAACCCATTTTTTGGGCGCTGATTGTGGGTGCAGGACAGTGGGTGCCTTGCAATAAGGCTAGCGCAGGAACGCTCGGATTCTCAGCTGCGCTGTATGAATCTAATTGAATGGCCTAGGGAGAATATTCCATGTGGGTTGATTTCATAGATCCCATAACCATGATCTCATGTATAGCACTGTTCCTTATATTAAGTCGAGCTAATGATGGGGGAGCTATGAATATGACGGATCGGACGTTTCTGGTCTTAGACTCCACCCAGGGAAAAAAGAATGCGACTTGTAGAACTCGGAAGACGCGGAACCAGGACAGCCGCCAGCGGCATGTATAAATCTGCCAGTTTGGATTGGATCCACTCGACTGCAGCACATCGGATGAGGCCCGCGATCCTCGAGGTGCATGAAATTCCAGAATGAGCTCAACAGCACTGATGATGACCGCAGCAGGTCTTGTGCAGCAGATTATCTACGATGCATCATATAATCGATTGCCTCGGAGAATACTCACATCGGTGTGATAGCTGACGCCCAGATGTCGGGAGCGGTGAGTATTCCCATTAATAACACCGGTCGGCTGATATTGCTCATGTCGGATCGCAACGCGAAATGAGATGAGCGCACAAGTTTCCACTTGTCTCAGGGTCGCAGCATGGAAATAGATAGCATGACTGGTGCAGAGAATCCCCGAGTGAGAGCCTACGCTCTGGGAGCATAAGATTCTTCGGGAACGGCCGCAGCTGCATGCGAGATCAAGATACAGTAGGACCTCGTTGAGAGCCCCCCGCACAACTTGGGATGAATCAAAGATCATGATTTCTACCCGTCGCGGAGAAAATTCTGACGCAGCACAGAGATGCTGTGTAACGATCTTGCATCCAGCCGCAGCAGACCGAGCAGTGGGTGCTCAGCAGATGGTGCTGCATCGCAGTTATGCCCAGTTCCCAGCCGTAACACCGACACGATTATCTGTTCGAGAAGATAAGCACCGCAATCAAAGCTTACCTCCACGCGTGCTCCCATTCCCCGAACACCCGAGCCTCGTGTGCCAATTCGCTCGCACCAAATGCCACGATTCCCAATTCGGCAGTCCCCTTGTTCGCTGCAGCTGCCAAGGCGACATCACCATCCGACAGCAGAAGCCGAGATGGTCTCGCTGGTATCCGTGCATTTTCGGATCTTTGCTGACGTGTGCATGTAGGCTGCTTGATGGTTTTAGACAAGGTCGCATGGTTAAGTCCTAAATATCTTTGGTGATGTTTGGGAGAGGTCCGCGTGCCGACTCATCAAATGAGCCACGTGACATCTGCAACTGATGCCATCTGCCCATTTCATTTGCGCTCTGTGGCAGGCACCAACTTATTCGGCTGGAGGACGTGCAGCTAGCTAAGCGGGCACAAAGTGCACGAGCTAGCGAAGCCCACTTGGCAGCTTCTAAGCAAGCTTGACAGCCAGCTCCGTGGCTTGCGCGACGTTCTGGTAACCATGCCAGCGTCGGTTTGGAATCTTCTCTGGGGAATTGCGTACACTTCAATAAACAAGGGCGCAACATTCGCGCGACATACTGTTTCGGGTTAGCACCCGCGCTCACTGTGCTTCGGGAATAATATGAGACAACGTGTCGTAGGAACCCTTGACCCAGGGCCCCCAACTCAATGAGCAGCTGCACAGATGAGTCCAGGATTGGCCGCTGCTGCCTCGAGGCAAGGGCAGATGGACTTTGTCGCCGCTCACTAAATTCTAATAGGTGCAACGTTTCACGGCGAACTTGAACAATGTATGATGTCATTACAAGTAGATATTCCCAACGTACTTGCTCCCTTTTCTATGTCCTCGACCCAATGGCGCACTGCAAGGTTCCTCTAGACAGGCTGTACATCTCTGCCCAACAACGCGGTGCATTAGACTCCCTCTATGGGAATCGACAAGAGTTCCACGGAGATTTTGTTATCGATAACATACAATCTCAAGAGACCGCGCAAAAACTCCTTCAAAAACATGAGCTTGACCGCTCTTCTAGAGATCAGCTCGACAATCGTTGGAATGTACAGTGGTCGACCTCTTGGCCCAGCCATGGCCTTACAATGAGGAGAACACTGTTTCAATGGCAAGTATTATCCGATCTTATCTCAATCTTATCTCTAATCTTATCTCCAGCGCTTCCGGTTATAGCTCGGAAGCCCGACAAGCAACAAAGCTTCGATATTCCACACCGCAGCAGCCCATTTCAGCGAAACCATGGGTTCGACAGAATCCCTATGACTTTACGGGATGCCTAGCGCACATTGATCTCAGCGAATACGAAGAAACCGGCCAGATCTTGCGCGTCACGGGTTGCCTTGACCATAACTCAGATTGTCGCGCCTCGGGAATCAGGCGAATACCTGCGATTCCACTCCATCCTCACGTCTTTGAGATGGCGGTCGAGCAGCTAGCGTCCGGTGCAAGGTACGCCTTTATCTTACTAAGTTTGGACTGAATTGAATTTCGGCGGATTGATAGCATCGCTTCTATACAAGCGAAGAATGTTGAGATGCTATCCAACAGAGCTTACCGAGACATGTCGACTTATGATCCTCGCACAGCAAACGTTCGATGTCATTTCCTTACTTCCGATTCGCGCCAGCTCTACCGCTTGTTTAACCGTCGCAATGGGGTTGATGTCTCTGTCAAACCAGAGTACAACATCGAGCAATGGCTTGATCCTCGTTCTTCTCAGTTCCGTCCGGAGCTATATAACGCCATTTTCTACTATTCTGCACGAGCTGAAAAGCACGATCGTCTCAAAATCTGTATTGCGACAGCAGAGATGGTGGAAGCGGCTTGGAAGTATTCACATCACGGGCAGCTGATCGTGGACAGAACCTTCGGAGTTTGTTCGTCTCGGCTGCTCCTGTTCATCGGGATGGGAGTCGATGAGCAGAACAAGGGTGTTCCACTTGTATTTCTTCTGTTTTCGGCACCAACTGGGACTAGGGCAACACACGCCGGTTATAACACCGAGATCTTACGGGAGCTTCTGATGGAGTGGAAGAATCATCTCTCTCAAGCTCGTCCGGGAGCTGAACCGTTTACTCCATTTGTTGCGATCACAGACACTGATCTCTGTGAGCGCGCGGCTCTTTTACAGGTCTGGACAGAAATCTGGCTCTTGTTGTGCAAATTTCATCTACGACAATGCTGGGCCAACAAACAGAGGACACTTAAACTCTCGGCATTGGGGAGCTCAGTCTCCGAGGAGTTCTGGGATGGATACATCAGTCAGCAGCTGTTGTCGTTGGAGGAAGGGTGCGTAGCATGATTTCTCTCTAATATCTTCATTCTCTATGACCGTCTACAGACTTATCGCTACCACTGATCATGCTGTTGCTGCATCATTGATCACTTCCCATCGTTCAAATCTGGAAGCCTTGCGTGTTCAGGCACCGGAGGCCGAGCGAACTGCGATATCCGCCTGCGCTTTTTTGGACTATCTTGTCAGTATGTGGATGCCAAACTCGATGTGGCAGAGTTGGTCTCAATATGGACGGGTGATCGCTTCGAGATTGTTGAACGTCCCCATGGATGGGGTGCTTCCCACAACCAACCATCTGGAGGCCTTCAATGGTCTTCTGAAACGGACACCTCAGTTACCACCGCCATCACGCGGTTCTCCCCCCGCGGGGTACCTACTGGGTACCCTCAGACGTCTTGCTGAGGGTACCCAGTAGGTACCCCCTGGCGGGGGTGGGGGGGCCATTTAGTCGATTTTGTAGCGGGGGCATATGCGGGGGTCAGGAGGAGGGGGGGTGTATGTAGCATGTGACTTGTCGATAAGAGCGGGTAGCTGGGCGGGAAAAAAAAATCCAATCACATGACGCGCTGCATGGGCGGGATGGCGGGATAAAAAAAGCACGTGACAGCTGAAGTGATAATTTTTAAAATGTTGGCGGGGGCTGGCAGGGTGCTGGCGGGGTCATTACCGACCCCCCCGCATGCCACGGCGGGCGGTAGGCGCACATTCACGTGACCTCCTCCCATCTTTTTTGCCGCCATTCGGTGCGATTTTCAGGGCTCTCCACGGTGCACAATGCGCGGGGGCGGCGGGCAGTTTGGTCACGTGACCGAGCGCAAAAAAAAAAACAAAAATAGCTGCCGGAAAAACCGGGATGCTATTCCAGTCTGTCCTGTGCCTCAAATATCGAAAAAGCGAAGCACTGAATGCAAAACCTGGACCGCTGCGCCCCCCGCGCTGCAGCAGTGATGGGCATGATCCCATCATCTGGCGGGGTCATCTGCGGGGTTGATCTGTTCCATATTTGTACGCTCACGCCGTAGTGCCGCTGGGTTCCCTGATATATGATTACTTTGTTTCCCATGACGATCTCCTTCTGCCTCTTCCTCCCAGGATGCCCCCCAAAAAGCCACCACCAAGAAAGCAGCCAGGAAAACCTTCAGGGCAAAGCATTCGACCCACCAGTCCAGTGAAGGGACGGCACAAGCTCCGAAACGTCTTGACAATACCCATGGGCCGCAACGCTCGCGCAAATCTTCTGGCTCAGAAGATGAATTCTTTGCTTGACCCAAAATCAGCAGATTTGAAAACCGAACCGTCTGGACAACGGATGGAGGAGCATATAATCCTTGAGGATCGAATGGAAGTGGATGAAACAAGCGCAATGAGCGAGGATCTATGGGAAGATATTGCACATGACGCAGGCCCTACCGCGGGGCCCGCCGCGGGGGGTGCCGCGGGGGGTGCCGCGGGGGGTGCCGCGGGGGGTGCTGCGGGGCCCGCCGCGGGGCCCGCCGCATGGCTGGGTGTTGGGGCTGGAATGCCGCCATTTATCCCTGAAATTCTTGCGCGACCACATGCTTTGCAGAGGAAGCCACGTGCTATGCAGGCCTCTTCTGTGTGGATCAATCTCATCCCTGATCTTGCCATCTCTCTGCTGGCATTTCGGAAATCATCCTTTGCATGTCCACCCGCATCACTCGCTGAAACCATTCATCAAAATTGTGAAAATCCTGCCTGTACCCCAACTAAAATTCGTGTCCTATGTCTCCACATCTCATGTGTGTTTCAATTTTGCCTGAACAGATTTGGCCTGACATTTGACCAGATTTTCAACATATCAATGTCCGAACATGTTCTTGTGTTCCCCCTGCAACTGTTCTACTGGAGCATGGTGCTCTGGCCACCTCACCTAGCAAGCCACAAATTGCTGTTACAGTCAATACATTGGAGATATACCAGGCATTGTTTCAACGCTCCTGCATCGCCATTCAAGCATTCACAAACGCTCTAACAACCCTCTATAATACCAGAGGATTTGAGCTGATGTCCAAAACCGTGAGTTGCTTCTTTCATTCCGCTTTTTTTGCACTTTATTTCTGATACATATTCCAGTTTGATGGTGAACATGCTGCTGATCCTCTTCGACAAGCCTTATCCCAGGCAGTGCATGTGTACAGCAGCATTCAACAGCATATCCGAAAAATGGTCAATGATGCCTTGGCCAAAGAGTATTGCCGTAGCAGCACCGGATCATCTCCAAGAGACTCCATAGCTTCCACCTGTGAAATTTCCCCTGCACATGCTGAGCCACATCCATCAGTCTCAATCACAGGACCTTGCGAGGTGTCCATGCTCGGTGCACCCCCCGCCGCACCCCCCGCCGCACCCCCCTTCGCACCCCCCGCTGCGTCCCCCCCTGCACCCCCCGCCGCACCCCCCGCCGCACCCCCCGTTGCACCCCCCGCTGGGTCCCCCCCTGTACCCCCCGCTGCGTCCCCCGCCGCACCCCCCGCGTCATTTACCCCTGCCAACCACACCGTCAAATCTGATGATCAACTCTTGCTGGTCCCTGGATCTGCAAATCGGGTTCTACAGAGCCGGTGTCCCTTGTGTTTTTCCCTGAAGGAATGGGGCCGTCCGCTTGCTATGTTCGATTTTCCTCTGACTCTGATCACCAGTGACTGACTTATATTCTCAGCGGTGGGGATGTCCAATTTGGTGCTGATGGTTGCTTCAACTATCGTCATCTCCGAGCTGCTGGCAACGGACCATCCTTGTTCAGTCAGGAGTACTTCCTGACACCTGAAGAGGTTCACAAGGTCAAAGAGACTGTGCTTTTGGCGAGGAAATCTCCGAAGCCTCTCAAAGAGTCTCTAATTTCAGCTGATATTGTGGATGCCTGTGGAGAGTCATGGACTGCCGCAAATGAGCACAAACAAAAGGGGGATCCAAAGCGCTATGACTCCACTGGCATCTTTGCACTGACATGTCGTCACTCACAAGTCCTGTTCATGTGTGATATAGACACTCCAGGAGAGCAGCAGCACTACATAATTGCGCTCTTGGAGAAGGTGGCCTCACTCCTGCCATCCAATGCAACCATTACGCAATGTTATGATATCGGTTGTGTTCTTGACCGGAGTAACAATTTGGTACGTGCATTCCCATTCACAGTCTGTCACTTCTATCCCCGCCGCACCCCCCGCCGCACCCCCCGCGACACCCCCCGCGACACCCCCCGCCGCAACCCCTGTGACACCCCCCGCCGCACCCCCCGCCGCACCCCTTGATAGAGTCCATATCAATGCTGACTATACTCCGAAGTTCCCCATCCTTTCTGCCCATTTGCGATCTCGCGTATCATTCTCTCTGAACGCGATGCATGCATTTGGACATCAATGGGCCTGCCAATTGGTCTACAACCCACGCATGAAGTTGGGTATGGGTCTCACTGATTCAGAAGGTGTAGAAAGACTTTGGTCAAGGATAAGAAGATTGATTCCTCTGACTCGTAATCAATGGGTATCCCTACATATTTCTGTTGCTGTTTATCATTCTGACACATCCACAGACCTCACGGCGCATAGCCACCCTAGATGAATTTGTTTCCTTTGTCAATCATGAAGGAATCATCAGTCTAGGTAGTTGGATTGAACGGCAACTCAATAAGAACATTCCCCAAAAGATCAATCAGTCCATGAGACGGATCAATGCTGCAGGCGTGGCCATTCATGACTTGCGATCACACTGGCAGGCTCAACTGAGTGCCCAGGTATCACTTCATTCAAGTATATCATCTTCCCTTGAGAAGGATCTTCACTCAAAACACTCTCCCAGGCCCCCCTGTTCGAGTCCAACGTGAGCTCGGCAAGATAGTCAGCCTTCAAAATCAAATTGAAGATATTGATGACACTCTGGAGCAACTCCAAAAGACTGTCGAAGATAGACAGAGCTCGGAGTCAGCACATATTGCGATCCAGGATCTGCAATCCACTCATGTCAAGCTCAGTCAACAAGCTGAGCATCTGTTCACTTCACTCAACCTGGAGACTCATTATCCAGAGCTGGCTGGACTTCCCTTTGAATTTGTGCAGATCCTGCTGCTGATGAGGGACCTCAAGATTCAGATTCGCAAACAAGCAATTGGGACATTTTTGGAATGGGAGAATTTAGACCGTGCTGTCCAAGGACGACGGGAGCCACTGGGTAAGTCCCTCCCCCATGCGCCCCCAAATTCACCCCCGCCCCGCGCGCACACCCGCGCGCACCCCCGCGCGCACCCCCGCGTACACTACGCCACCGCACTGACATGTTTCCATCTGCAATCTAGGTACGAAGCTTCATCAAGCAGCGCGTAAAGCTCTTTCGAAACGTCAGCCAACGCTGCATCGTCTTATCGACAAATTCAATTCCTTTTGCTCTCGACTGGAAGAGATTCAGCCTCCACACTGCTCTGTTCCCATCCCTCTCCCACTTCCTACCAAGCTAAACGAGCTCAAGTCTCATACCAACCTCTTCGAAGATGTATGGATCACTCCCTCGGAAGGGGATGTCCCATTGTGGCTCTGCGATGAAAATGTCCGTCAGGGAATTTCAAGTCTCCATGTACTGGACCGCTGTCATGAGGAAGGGCTTCGCCTGTCCCGAGAGAGCGAAAACATGCTGCGTTGGATTGATCAAGAGTCTTTGCTGCTTCTTTCAGCAAAGGATTGCATTTCAAGTGCGTTGTTCATTACTCTCTGTCAAGTGACTGGACACTTCTTATGCTAGATCACATTCTGCAACATGAGCTGGAGCAAGAAATCAACTTTCTTCGACGTGTTGCATCAAGATGGCGCCGTCAATTGCAAATTCCTCAACCTCGGCTGCTGGCTATGGACCCGACACTCTCTGTCAGCTCCCACAATTTCACCCCCGCTGCGACCCCCGCCGCAGCCCCCGCCGCAGCCCCCGCCGCAGCCCCCGCCGCGACCCCCGCCGCGACCCCCGCTGCGCCTCTGAACCCAGAACCCACGATTGAGGAACACACAAACCAGGTGGAAGCTGATCCTCTTGAAGATGACATGAATCAGTCTCTATGGGTTGATTCTGAGGACATTTCCGTCGATGAGGTTGCAGCCTGTCCCTCAGACTCAGAAGAGGCTCTTGCCGTATCAGATATGATGGAAACAGATGATGACGAAGACACAGCAACACTTGAACGTGACAATTGCCATGTCAGAATATCCTGGGCTTCATTCACAAAGGTATGTGTAACGCTTCCACGAAAGCAAATAATGCTGATCTAGAACAGTCTCGATCCACTTGTGACAACAATCTCCTGAGAGATCTCACAGCACATGTTGCCAAATTTTCCGTGATACGTGATCTCCAAACTCGTGTGGTTGTCCTCCCTGGAAACCTGCCCGCTGTTGCAGTCTATCAAAGTGATTTAGCACTACTCACAGGATCAACAGCCCGATTAAATGGACACATCCTCAACAGTGTGTCAGCAGCCATTCTCTCATGGTGCATGCAACCCTTCTCGCTGCATGCCCTGTCTGCACAGAGATGCGCCCTTCTTTCTACGTATGATCTACATCGAGTCCGTTTCAATGCTCCTGATAAGGTTATCTGGAAAAATCTGGCCCCTACGGAGTATTGGAATAAGTCAATCTGGATTATTCCAGTCCACTGGCAAGCCCAGGAACACTGGGCTCTTGTCATTGTCCTGGTACATGAGCAAAAGCTCCTCCTCTTCGACAGCTTGGCTCAGAAGCGTCCGTGGTATACTGATACAAAGGTGTGTTTCATTTTTTTTCTCAACATAGGAGCTGAAAAAGACCAGAATGTCATGTTACTGGTGACCCGCATGACACTCCTGGCACATCGAAACGGATATGCGCTCCCTTTGAGTTTGGATGGGGAGGCCTGGACTGCAGAGCCCATGATTTCCACTGCAGTTCAGTGCAACAGTTACGATTGCGGTGTTTGGGTCCTTGTCATTATTGCAGCTGTTCTGCGCGGAATGCTGGGATCTAACATCGCTGAACCACAAATTCCGTTTCTACGGCACACTCTCACCAACTTCATGCTCACGCTTCCATGCGTGCCGGCCTGACTCTCTGCACGCAAGAGCCAGGGTGCTGCGGGGGGTGCTGCGGGGGGTGCCGCGAGGGGGGGTGCCGCGGGGGGTGCTGCGGGGGGTGCCGCGGGGGGTGCCGCGGGGGGTGCCGCGGGGGCACAGTCTCGGTGGCTACATACAGTCCAAGATTCATTTGCCCAGGAAGGCCAGATTGTACAGTTTCATGTAGCGCTTTGCTTCCCACTGTAAAAATATCTCCAGCATCTCGCTCTCACGTGAGAACTCATCCTCCTGGTAACGTCCCTGCTCTCTCAGCTTGAAGGCCCTCTCCCAGCGTGCAAGAGTAGCACTCGCATCCCCTGCTAAATGAACTAGCTCCCCGCTCTCAAACATTTTCCTGTTCTCTGCATCAACGGACTGCTGGATGCCAGCATGAATTCCATGCATGACATTCTTGAGATTTGAAGTATAGGCCTGATAGCCTGGGGAGTTGACGGGAGTTGTGTCCTCCATAGAAACGAAAGGAGGTTCACAAAGCCATCGACCACAATCCGACAAATCCAGCGCTTCAGGATTGGATAGTGCACGTCTGAAGAAATCATTTTCGGTTGGCACTGCCAGTGTCCCGTAGTTGATCAACTGCTCAGGGGGTATAGCAGCGTCAGGTAGGGTCTTTATCGCCCCGCTTTTCTGACTCTTCTTGGCCACTCTTGTGGATCTACGTTGGGTTTGGCCGCTGTGGATATAATGTATCAGGGAAAGATCGACTTCACCGATAAGGCCTTACCGCATGCTGGAGACATATTTGACGTCTCTGGCAGCCTTTGCAACTTTCCGATCGGCAACCGTAAGGGAAATTGCACGGCGACCCATTTTCGAGATGACGGTGAGTGATAAGTTCCTGTGAGACTTGAGTGCCCTTGACTCACTTTCGAGAATCAACTTTTTTCTTACAAAACTGCATGAAACTTCTATTGGGAACAAAAGGAGTGATTCATTCGAGACCATTCCGTACATTTCCGAGGTCCAAGCACCCTCTACTGAGCTGAAATTCATTTGTAGATATGTGTACGACGTTTATTCTCAGTCCGATTGGCTGCCTGGTGACATGTTCCGGGACGTCGAGTGTGTGAAAATTACGTGTAAGACTCGGAAGGAACCGCCATCAAGTGCGCGGGGGGTGAAGCTGAGGTGCGGCCGGGGTCGCCAACAGGGCAGCAATATAGCGGGCTCATGGCGGCGGCCGCGGCGGGGGGTCTGCCTATGACTTCACCGTGACACATCGTGATTGATGTGACATGCATCGCAATTGAACGCGCTCTCTTCCTGTCCTCCCACTGCAGCAGTACCCTTCCTGTAGGTCCCCATCTGAAACCCAATTCGCGTCTGCTGACCATGTCTGATCTGCTTAGCGCGCGTTTCCAAAAAAACCGAATCTTTTCTTGCTTGCATTCTGGGCCAAACGGGCCCTCACATCTGAACCACACGATTCACATCCGACAACCTCTCCTCTCGCCCTCAACTTAGTGACGCGTGAAAAGACTCTAGAAATGAAGACCGGTGGTCGCGACGGAGCTGGTGACGCGTTGAAGGCCGGTGCCTCTGGTGAGCACAATACCGGCTCCGACATGTCGACCAACACGGTCGACCCCTTCCTGAACAACTTCTCCTTCCCGTTGCCGCCTCCTGTAAACGACTCTGCCGATGCTTCGGGTGGCCGACCCGCCGCGATGGGGCCATCGCAGCCTTCTCTCCCCTCATCCAGTCCTGTTTCATCCATGGACGCGCGGTCTCCGCAGGCCATCCCCTTTTCCATCCCCGCTTCGGCTCTGCAGCAGGTCTCGATCTCTCGTGGACTTCGCGTCGGGACGAGAACTCCGCGTGGGCAGCCCAAGACGCCTCCTCTTTCCGTTCCACCCATTGCCACTCTTTCCGTTCCGCCCATCGCCACTCTTTCTCCTGAGGCCCCCCCCTTGGAAGCTCTCCGCGGGCTCTTTGCACTTCCGGGCAACGACAACGACAGCGAGGAGGTCCCAACGCAGGAGGGGGGCGGGTACGAGCTCCGGCAGAAGATTACCGCGTCGCGCAGAGGCCACAGTCTGGCTCAATCAGCCAACGCGGCACGACAGGCTCGGGTCCTCGCAAGTGCCGGAGCTGAGGAAACCCCCAACAGCTCCATGCCATCCCCTCAGGATGAGCTCACGGCCCAAACTGCTGGCGAGCATGGAGCCGCCTCCGGGGACCTGGCGCGTCCGAACGAATGGAGCATCTCTGAAATCGACGCGGAGGGAGAGGAAGACATTTCGGCCGGCCCCTCACTTTCCTCACAGGTAGCACAACCCTCTTTCATTGTGCGGCCGGTGGTGGGCATCGACACAGAGCAGAGGATGGCCCAACATTCGGACGCTCACAGGTAAGTCTTCAAGCTTCTTGATCCTCCCTTACATGTTTCCTTACAATGCAATTGCAGCGAAAACGTGCTCCGTATGCCGAGCCCACACGTCCCTTCTCTTGAGGTAGGCCCGTCCGCTGGCGCCGCTCCCAACCCTGCTCCCGCCGTGGCACCCCCTGCCACAACCCCCGCCGCGTCCCCCGCCGCGTCCCCCGCCGCGTCCCCTGCCGCGTCCCCTGCCGTATCCCATGCCGCACTCCCTGCCTCTATCGCTACCCCCGAAAACGCCGCTGCGGAATACGAGGAAGACGTGGAATTTGGGCGGGTCCTGAAGGAGCGGTCGCAAGAACAACGCAATCTCTTACTGGCAACTGCCGAAGAGATTGGGATGCTCATCACAAAGACGGCGAAGCTGACCGGCTGGAACGAGAATAAGGTTGAGGCCAAGCTTCACGAGCAGTACCTGCGGCTTTTCCCTGCACGAAACTACTACTGGAACGTCTACCAGCGGTACGCAAATCATCCCCGCTTCCGTGGCCGCGAGTGGCAACGACGCACTGGCGGGGATCTCAGCCAGTTCCCTGATCAGCTCCCCCCGGCCCAACAATCGAGCGAGCTCTCAAACTCGTGGTCGGAATTTGTCAAAGCGCACACTCCTGCTGCGCTGGTGGAAGTACTGGACACATTCGTTGAGTGGGAGCAGGTGACGGAGCTGCGTACCTTGGGAAATCGGCAGAAGCTGTTCGATGGATGGCTTGGTGAAATGAAGGCCTTGGTGAGTGCACAATCATCTTGTGATCTTCTCTAACTGGATTCAGATCAAGCGCGGAGAGGCCGGGGGCAACTTCAAGGTTCTGATGATTGCATTGGGAGGTTTCTCTTCGCACGAAGCTCGGCTTGCATCCATCGTCGCAAGCGGAGGACTGGACGATGTGAGCAAGCTATCTTTCTATTGGAACGATCTCACCAAAATTCCAGTTTCTGTCCACTCTGTATCACGGCGAGCTGAGTGACGAGGAGGTAATCAGCCGTGCTCAGCATCACGTTGCGTAAGTCCTTGTGGTTCTCATGTGGATGAAAGAGTCTGATCTGTTTCGATTACAGCAGCTGGATGATTCAGGACGCGGATGAGGCACGCGATGCGTTGCTTGCAGTCGACGACCATGCGACTGGCACGGGTGACCTCACCACACCAGCAATCACCCCCGTCCGCGCCTCCGCTGTCACCCCCGTCCGCGCCCCCGCCGCCACCCCCGCCCGCACCCCCGCCATCGCACCGACGCGTTCTTCCACTCGGGCCGCTGCTCCCAGCTCATCTGCCAACCCCCTGGCTCAGCTGCGAGCACGGGTTCCCCCACGTTACAAACTCCAACCGCTGTACGAGGCTCCGCTGACGCAACGGGAGGTTGAGGAGAACATCCAGAACATCTGCGATGCGATGGAGGGGGACTCCAACCAGCGCTCCAAAAGGTCCATGAAGGTGAACCGTCTCTGGGACAATCTCCTCGATGACTTGAGTGCTCTGTCGATGGCCCAGATTGGCAGTGAACCCGTTGGGTCCATGACCAATATGAGCCAACGGACTTTCCAGTGGAAGAGCGCCGGTCCAGCCCTTTTCAAGGGGGGATACATGTTACTCGGATGGCCCCATCTGCTTCCCCTGCCGACCAAGCTCGGACAAACTGACAAGGGTATACGCTCGCTGGCGGCATCGCAGCAGAGCATACTTGCGACCGCCATCAAGTACTCGCTGAATGAGGTGTTCGAGGGGCGTGAGCCAGCGGGAATATCCTTCTTTGACAATGACTGCCGGGATCCCCGTGAGTGTATCTCATTCATGTGCCTTTTGCAAAATCTGACTTCTTTTCCAGGCATGCCCGTGCTTGCCGCGTTCCCCCAAGGCGTTGGATCTAACATCGCGTTCAGTGGCTCTGAATTCGTACTTGGGGTGACTGGCCAGGGAGACCCGTGCTACTTCAGGCTCAACCTCCTGGATCCAGACCCAACACGACGATATCTGGACTTTAGCATTGTGGTGAAGAACGAGTCCGGCGACTATGCTCTCCCTGCACCTCCCGCTGCCTCCCCCTCCGATCCTGCACCTGCTGCTCGTGTGTTGAGCACACCAACCCGAAAGCGCCGCCGTGGACACGCCGCCGCACCCCCCGCCGCACCCCCCGCCGCGGCCCCCGCGGCGGCCCCCGCCGCACCCCCCGCCGCATCCCCCGCGCCCAGCTCCCCAACTGACTTGGGGCTGTCTCCCACGCCAAAGCCTGCTTCACCGCCGCCTGCGACGAAGAAGGTCAGTGGCAAGAAGCGAAAGGCTGATACGGCAGTGGAGGCTCCTGCTCTCCGTCGCAATCCGAAGCGCACCAAGGCGAATACTGGCGCTCCATCCAAACCATCTCAACAAGTCGGTGGAGGCAAACAGCGTCAAGTTTCGACTCCTGGTTCGGAGTACGTGCCAACCCCGGCTGCTCCTTCGGACGCATCGGATGTTCAAAAGGACGCTGGTCAGTACCTTGCCACCCTTTATGGACATGATAATCGTCCTATGGGCTTTGTCCTCCCCCAGAAAAAGCGCCGATCTAAATTATTCCCAGTGGTTTTGACGCGCAAGGTGCCGCGACCGAACAAGCGCCGCTTGCAAGAGATGAACGCGCCTTCCCCTGAGCTCTCTTCCCCTGAGAGTGAAGAGGAAGTGGTGCAGGCGCCTCCCCCAAAACGCCCCCGCCCGCGCCCCCGCCAAGCCAACGCGGTCGCCAGCAGTTCGCGGCACACGCTTGATGGTCCCCCGGCGGTGCAGGTGCCCAGCGCTGCGATCGAACAGCAAGAGGTCTTCGGCTCGGGCCAGGCACCCAAGTTGGTGTCACAGTCGACAATCGCTCATCTGGAAACTGCGGCACCCCCCGCCTCTTCACCCACCGATGCCCCCGCGGCCAACCTTGCTGCATCCACAGCGACGAGTTCCACGGCAACTCCTGCTGTTGATCCCGCCGCCGCGATGCTAAGCATATTCAGTGCTCCCTCCTTCCAAGCAATGATGGCAGGGGTTATCCGCAGTGCGGTCCAGGAGGAGCTGGCCAAAAAATGAGTTTGAACATTGTATCCTGCAACAGTGTATTCTGCATCTTGTGTTTGGATGGTGGACAGTTTTCTTGCACATCTTCTTTGTAGATTACTTTTGGGATTGTTTTTTTACAATATCTTGTTCTGTATCTTTCATACACGAAATCGATCTGCCCTCCCCCCCCTTCCGGCTGTGGTATATTTTGTGAAGAATGTGAGAAATTTTCCTCAACCATGGTAAGTTTCGGTAATGCTTGAACAATAATCATATCCACACAAAATATTATCGATGCAGCAACATGTTGCTTGGGCCATGCATCGTCTTTGGGTAGAAATTTTCTCTTCAACAGACATCGAGGAGTGCACAGGGCATCCATTTCAAACTTTTACTGACGCGTGCCAATTTGCAAACAAAGTGTACTGTTGTATTGAAATGTGGCATTCGCCCTGAGGCAATAGAGGGCTCCACTTAGAAACCAAAGATTTCATTAGCTGATCCGGCATGTTCCAGCAGCAAGCCAGCCCAGCAGAAACCCAACAGGAAACCCGCGATCAGCTCCCACGTGCACCGGGCGGTGACCCCCGCGGCGACCCCCGCGGCGACCCCCGCGGCGACCCCCGCTGCAACCTCCGCGGCGACCCCGGCAGCAACCCTTGCGGCGACCCCCGCGGCAACCCCCGCAGCGACCCCCGCGGCCACCACCACAGACGCCAATGGATCACGCGCCTCACCAATCCAATGATCAAGAGTGAGCTCAAATTCTTGACTTCATGGCTTTCGAACTCTGCTACTCACGTTGGATTATCACTAGGATCATGTTCAGTTTGGCCATTTGCCTCTGTGTAAACATGAAAAACTTCCTCCATGAGGCAGATGGCTACAGAGAAGAGCGGCGCATGAAACAAAGCAGCCAATTCTGCAAGGGATGTCCTCAATCACAAATATGAACCACAGCGTGAGCGTACAAGTATGGAACAGATCAACCCCGCAGATGACCCCGCCAGATGATGGGATCATGCCCATCACTGCTGCAGCGCGGGGGGCGCAGCGGTCCAGGTTTTGCATTCAGTGCTTCGCTTTTTCGATATTTGAGGCACAGGACAGACTGGAATAGCATCCCGGTTTTTCCGGCAGCTATTTTTGTTTTTTTTTTTGCGCTCGGTCACGTGACCAAACTGCCCGCCGCCCCCGCGCATTGTGCACCGTGGAGAGCCCTGAAAATCGCACCGAATGGCGGCAAAAAAGATGGGAGGAGGTCACGTGAATGTGCGCCTACCGCCCGCCGTGGCATGCGGGGGGGTCGGTAATGACCCCGCCAGCACCCTGCCAGCCCCCGCCAACATTTTAAAAATTATCACTTCAGCTGTCACGTGCTTTTTTTATCCCGCCATCCCGCCCATGCAGCGCGTCATGTGATTGGATTTTTTTTTCCCGCCCAGCTACCCGCTCTTATCGACAAGTCACATGCTACATACACCCCCCCTCCTCCTGACCCCCGCATATGCCCCCGCTACAAAATCGACTAAATGGCCCCCCCACCCCCCGCCAGGGGGTACCTACTGGGTACCCTCAGCAAGACGTCTGAGGGTACCCAGTAGGTACCCCGCGGGGGGAGAACCGCGTGATGGCGGTGGTAACTGAGGTGGAAACGGAAATATCTTCCTCAGTGGCAACAGTCGGGAACGCGCCTTCGTTTCGACTTTCTGATCTTCATTCTTGTCACGAAGATCCTGCCGCAGATCTTCTCTCGGCGCAATGCCTTGTACTCTTACGAGCAATGGCTTTGTACTCGATTCTCCGGTGCTACAAACAGCGATCTTATCCGACACTCCGGCCCTGTGCATCCAACGACGTCGAAAACTGCAGGCCCGCTTGCCTGGTGGAGCTCAGACGCATCCAAGGATCGGGAGGCCGAAGGCATTGCGCGCCTTGGCCGGATTTATGCATTTCGACAAACAATCCATCCGGGTGAACAATACGAAGCAACATGTGCGTCTTCCCGTGGATCACTTACTGACCCATCCCACCTGCGTTACGAACTGTATATTCATCGAGATGGGCATTCCTCATGCACCTGTCCTGGCTTTCAACGTCACGGAGGAGCCTGCAAGCATCTGCGCGCCTTCCGACTGGTCATTAACGATTGGGTTGCACATGGTGTTACGAAGCCATTCTACTATCCTCCTGACCTCGCTTCCGTGCGAAGCTTTCACTCCCATGCGACCGGATCAGACTTGGTCAATGCGGCAGAAACGGTCTCTGTTCTCCAGAACGTACTTGCCTTGAAGCAGATGGCCGGACCAGAGATTTCTGAGGAGGACGAGGAATTCGAAGTGAACAACTCGGAGATGGGAGGAGAAGCTGAGATTTCGAAAAGCGAGCCTGTGCCAGCGGTGAGTCCATCACAACTCTAACTGCATGTTCTGTGCTTACTGAACTTTGTTGTCAGGCCCTTGGAATCCGACCGTCGACTCCCAGCTCCGAATCGCGTTATGGCCCTGCTTGCTGCTGGACACGCACCCAAGCTGATGTGCTTCTGCCGTAAACCGGTGAAGACCTTTGTGACGATCGACCCTCGCTCGGAACATGTAGGCAAGACTTGTGTTGCTTGCAACAGTTGGGACTGCACATACTTCAGTACGTCTCCCTTGCATTGGCTTTCCTATCATATCATAACGCGATTCGGAGCTGGGAGTCGACGGTCGGATTCCAAGGGCCTGACAACAAAGTTCAGTAAGCACAGAACATGCAGTTAGATCCAAGGACGAACATAGGGACGATTGCAAGGCAAGAGATATGTGACTTGAGCACAACGGTCGTGACCAGATTACCTGCTGTGGACTGCTGCGACTTGAGGAAAGCCTGGTGCTCCTTACGAGCCGCAGGGAGTAGGAGGCGCCGTTCCAAGGCGCGTTGTCGAAGTGACCGGATAGGAGACTTCGAGACTGGAGAACCGCCCTCCGAAGCGGCGCGATGGAACGACTTGGAGCGAATGGCTGGCATAGCTAGAGAAAGATCAGGGGCGACAGGAAAGTGCAGCGAACTCAACAGTAAACTCGACCCAATTCTTTATACCCCTTCGTGTTTTCATCCTTTGCTCGTTGGACCGAGCACCGAAGCCGGATTGAGCGTTTGTGCAGAAGAAAGACCACGTTTTCACGCTGGTGACAGGGGAACCAGGTGGCAGGGGGTACTCAGCGGGAAACGAGGCCTCAGAAGCCCTGGCATGGCCGCGGACGTCAATGACAAGGAGGTCTCCAGGAAAAAAAGAGCGGAGACAGGCTTGATGGGGAAAAGGTTCTGGACCGGTCGCGAGGAAACCCGAAATCACTCCCGTCCTGCTCCGAGTGCTTCGTGAAGCCAGCCCAGTGCTTCCGGAAGCTGTCACAGCGTGGGAGACTTTGTGCCCGCTCACTGATGGGACGTGCATGAGACCCGAAATATCCCTCTGATTCTTTTTGTTTGTGCATGTGTCACGAATGACACATTGCCGCTGTGCTCCGGGCGTCATCCAAAAGTCTGGACAAACATGCGGTTAATTTGCCAGGTGTGGGCATGCCGTTGCACAACCTTTGTCACTGTAGCACCGGCAGGCTTCGATCGGAGCACACAGCGGAGACGTACGCATCATGTTGCACAATTTCCCCGCTTATTCGTACGATGACTATTCCCGGAGCATTACAAAAGTGGGTGGGTTGGTCGCAATCTTCGTGGTATGCTCGTGTAAGACCATGGCTGTTTGTAGATTTACTGGAAAGCGTGCGCTCAGCACGGGTTTACAAAGTCCAAAGGAGTTGGCGCTTGCAGAACAACAGCCAGCATATGCGAGGAATATTCTATTTGGCAAACCCGCGATTGATCGCAATTGAGATATTTGAGAGGACGAGCCATGACGTCTGGTCCGCCGCATTTGGATTTCTCATCCACCTGCAAAGATTCAAGGCAACCTACCAATATAATCCCCCTCCCCATCCATTCTCTCAAAATCCAAATCCATCCCTTCTGGTAACGTATCGGTCAAAACCTGCTGAAAAGCACGAAAAGTCTCCGAACGCTGTCCGTCCCAACCAATGCGTTCGCTACTATACCGACCGCGGAAATGCAAAATGCAGGTCATCGATTGGATTTTTACATGCGTGTCCGCTGCGCGGCCGTCGCTTGTCCACCCGATCTCCAGCATCCGCGTTGTCACAGAGAAGACGGTGGTAAGCGAAACGGTCCGAGGGATCAGGGCGATGGTGGGAAGCAGGGTGTATGGGATGTGTCTCACAAACCCGGAGAGGATGCGGAGCTTGAGCTCGGTGAGTTTGGGGAGATCGGGTAGGATGATCGGGAATGACAGATCTATTAATGATTTAGACAGATCTGCATTCTTGGTGACCACGGATTCAGACTAGTACCTCCACAATCGAGTTCGAGCGAAGTAAGCGTGCTAGAAACGGATGCAATGAACCTCTCGGCATCAGGTGTCATCCGAAGATAGAGGGCCTTCAGTTGAGTCAGTCTCGGTGAGCCGGGACAGAAGAAGAGAGTCCATGTGGGACCCGGATCCTTGCTCAGAATCAGGTGTTCGAGCGGAGCATCCATCACAGGCTGCTGCCTATCTTCATCTTCCTTGCCACGAAACGTACAGCGGTGCGCCGAAAACGCCGTAAGACGCACCATGACCGCATATATCGTTTGAATCGGCACACCATGCATATCCAGCAGATGCATGCTCCTCAACGCCGGCGACTGTCCCAGCACCAACAAGACTGACGAGCTCAGGCTCTCCGAAAAACCATCCCATCCCACGCCTAGTCCCGATATCACCAAGCGCCGTAAACTGACGCTCATCGAGCGCAGGATCTCTGCGAGCGGTGCATCCTCTTCCGCCGATTCGGGTATGTCGAATGTGAGGTCGCGCACGTACTTGATCAAGTGCGGAGCCTCGAGCACCAGAATCTCGTGAGCACGCTTGATTGTGCCGGCCGCGGTCGTCGAGTCGAGGTGCTCCTCCCGCTGCGCTGCGGAGTAGTGCGCGTGCAGCCATATCTTACGGAAGAGATGCTGTTGGCAAGGGGCACAGAAGGTCGATGCCACTTGCGCGCAAGACTTGAGAGACTTACGGTCGTCGGAAAGCTCGTTGACGATCGTCCGTATGAGCTCGGATGGCAGAGAAGACATAGCAGAAGGGTAGTCGGGGCCGAGAACAGCCGAGAACATGCATGTCTTTAATTGACTCAGCAACCCATCAGACCGATGATTGTAGAGGCGGTGCTAGCAAGTTTCAACTTGACAGTGACATTTTTGCGCCAGTACTGTCGCTGTTGACGACGTTGGCATATGCCAGTGAGGCAGTTGGCTCGAGTCCGAGGGAAAATTTTGCTGAAAATATAAGATGAATGAGGACTTAGCTTTCCTGTGGACTTGCTCCTGTATATGCACTGTATTTCTAGGTATCTGGAATGTGGTGGAAAGAACGGTCGGGCGTTAGTACTCGTTGAGTAAGATTAGTGATTTTACATTAAGTAATGAGCAATTGCTTCCGGACAACTTTCATGATGCGCAATACTCAAGAAAGAAGCGCGACAGTGTACAACGAAGCGCGACAACCAAGAGCGCTCATCAAGGTCTGCAGAGCTGTCTGCAGCGGTCAATGGTACTTGACATCAAAAGTGATGCACAAGCCAAATCACACAAGCCAAGCCCGATCAGCCAAATTCAAACTCCGAGATGTGGGGCAAGTTAAAGTCTGTTTCAACTCCGACCCTTGCAAAGCGCGTGCTGTCATTATCAACTCCCACTTTCCTATACTCCTCGGGACTCAGCTTCAAGGATGGACACATCTCACAGTTCAATCTCTCGAGATCATAGGTTGAGGATTGTCGAGTTCTGTATTCAGAGCTGCACATAAACCATGGTCACCCACTGTAACTACGTCAATCGGCAGTGCCAACCGGTGTCCAACTGTCTCGGTGTTCGAACAGAAGCGACCCCAGCGTTGGGGGATTCTGCTGCGCTTGCGCAGGCATGTAGATGCTCGAAGGAACGTCCCCACGGGCCATTCTTTGCTGCCATCCGTTCATCGGCGTGATCCGCACCGTCTCACAGCGCACTGCATTACCACCGTCATCCAAGAACCGATGCACAGTGAGCCCAGCATGCGTCCACTCATTTAGTCGAGGAAGCGGCCCCAAGACCGCATCGGGATTTCGGTGCACGACGTAGATCGCAATCGCATGTGTATCTGTGGCGAGCTGCTGCTCGTGGCATAGCACAGACTCGAGTGACCGGGGAACAAAGAAGCGCTGGTTCCAGTGGTGAAGAAGGCCGGACACGGCCGCTTCATGATTGTGCTGTTCGTTTGACCAGACGCGGATGACGTCCTGCATGTAAGAACTATCTGAGAACCAGCACGGAGCCCTGGAGAAACAGCGAGATACACACCTCAGTGAAGCTGATCCAATCGGTGTCATGCACATCTCTCGCAGCCCACATGCGGTCCCCAGGAATGGTCCGCTCCGGGGGTCCCATTTCCGAGTCAGATGGAGAGCCAAGCATGAGCACCCGAGTGGGCGCAATCTCCTCAACAGGGAAAGCGAAAGATGCAGCAGCCCGGTCAAGAGCGTGCGTGCCCTGTCCTGGGCACGCTTGCTCCAGAAACAGGCTGCTTTTTGCTGTTGAAGCTCTTTGAGCTGCGATCGATAGCGGCTTTCTTCTGGTAGGAGCCACGCGAAGACGTCGATGTGGTTTGTTGCCTGTGTGGATTCTTCTCAATGTGAGGATGACAAACACGAAGCAGCTAAGCCCTAGCGCCAGCAAGATGCCCATCCCGATGCGCAGTCCACGCGCCGCGCCTTTAGAGAGAGGATCGTGTGCTTCTGATGTCGAGCGAAAAGCAAATACTATCACGCATGTCACGAAGAGGATTATCGACCTGTGCAGAAGTCCATTATACGGCATCACACAGGAGAGTCGACGCACCAGCCCAGCCAAATAGCAGGGACAGCCAACACCGTGCCGGTAGATGTTCTCTTTTCCTGATGACGACACTGAGCATGTGGCTGACCGTGGTACCTAGTTCTTCACCTGAGTCCAAGTTTCCGCCTTCGCGCCCTTGAAAGAAACAGAGTGTAAACTCCCAAAGAACAGACTCATCGCCGTGCAAAGCAGCGAGATCTGCACCAGTATGCGCACAAGAGGGTCAAACGCAGCTGTCTGCTGGAGCATCGAGAGGATGGCACTTGGATACTGTAGCGTCAGCAGACATCCAGTTGACAGACTTCGAGGCACACATACGAAAGAAGCAGCGCAGAAACCACACTCTGTGTCCTCCACTCATTCACCAGATCGTCCCACGTTGCCCGAAAGGTTGGCGCTAGCTCCTCCTCAACCTCGAAGCGCGCGACGTACAGCCTCGGCAATCGTAACAAGAGCACAGTATGAAGAACCTGAGCAGATAATCCAAGAGCTCTACGGGCGGTAGATGAAAGGCGCCTTGTTTTCTTGGCCGGGGACGGCGAAAGGATCGGTCGCGGCAGTGCGAACTGAGCCTCTTCGTGTGCGCTCGGATCCTCCTCCTCTTCGATTTCATCTTCACGCCAACCCTGTCCCCGTCTCCATCTCCGTTCTCCGTCTACGTCGATAGCAGGAACCGGGTACCGCCACCGCGCCGGCGTCCCGGGAAACGTGAAGGGGCGTGAGCGGATAATGCGCGGCGGCTGGTGCACCGTGCGCCGCCTACGGCTCCGGTCTGCCTGGGGCTGAGACCGACGTTCCCGGCGATTGGATTCGGCTGGCCAGCGCGGTTGACGTCGTCGTGATGCAGGGGTGGGTGTACGGGACTTGATGCGCGAGGAAGATGAGGTGCTGGTCTTGCTCTTCTTGAGCTGTGTGATGTGGGGCGATTCTTCTTCACCTAACTCCTCCGAAGCCACTGCCATCTCCATGCTCGTGTGTGCTTCTGCGCCCTTCGACACCTCCCTCTCCTCCCTTTCAAGATGCGCGACTGAACCCGTCATCGAGAGAGCACTCCCGGTCTTCTCGGCGCTCCGGCGCTTGTAAGTCGCCGACATGCAAACTAGACCCAGGTGCGCAAAGGCACGGGTACAGCAATACGCAGACAGGATCCGAAAACACGAGGCGCATGCTGACGGCGGTAGACAAACTTGGGTATCTATCACGTGTTGTATTTGCTCCGGAACTACTTACTTAGTCCATTATCACTTGGACTCGAATGTGTGCATTCAGCACTACGGACGTCTGAAGACTGATGGTACCAGAACCCACTATATTCATGCGTTAAGCGCGAAGCCCAGAATAGGAAACTATGATATTCCGAAAACAACACTATGTATGCAGGGTAACGAAGTGAACAACGAGAAGAGTATGCAACTGGGTCCAACCAGGGGAGTGGGCGTAGCAACGGTACCTATACCTATGCACCAGCCCAGGGGTCGTCTGGAGGGGGAGCGACAGCCGTGGGCGGAGGAGACAAGTTGTCGTCATCTTCATGTACCAGGTCCAGCGGGACGATGACCCTCCTGGGCGTCCGCATCGTATCGACATGAGACATTGGTACCCGCTCAGCAGCAGATTCAGACAGGTTCGGAGAGGACGAAGAAGACGAGGCCAAAACAGGAGACGAGTCTAAGGCGGGAGAATCGGGTGGAGATGTAACTGGGCTCTTCGTGCCTAGCTGGGAGCTCGATCGCGAGCGTGAAATGGTACCGTACGCTTCCATCTCCGACAGACTGATGCTGCTTGACCTGGAGCCCATGCGTGAGGCAGAGCGAAGCTCGACATTCTCTCCCTCGATGAGTTTCAGCGCGCTCTTCAATGCCTCTCTCTCCTCCTTGGCTTCTGTCAACTCCTCCTTGATCTCGTCTCGCATGCGTCGGAGCTTGACCAGCTCGCCCTCGGCTTCGGCGCGCATCTTTCGTTCGGTGGCTACCATCTTGTTTGCCTCCTCGAACAGGGCCTGGCTGAGCGACTCGATCTCCGCCTCAAGCGATGCTTTCTCCTGAGCGGCTTTCTCTGCCGCCTTCCTTGCATCCACCGCCTCTCCCTTCGCCTTCTCCGCGTTGGCCCTGGCCGCCTGCAGAGCAGCACTCAGCGCCTCCTCGTCTGCCGGTGCCCCATGCAATGAAGGCATGCTCGGAGAGTTGAGGTGGTGCGGTGGTGGAGCATTTGCTAATGTCGGTGTACCCGGCCGCGCATTGAAAAAGGTTTTGAAGAATCGCGAGTTGGAGCCAGAGGGTTCTGTCGGCGAGCTATTCGGACTGGAGCTACCGTTTGGAGAGTGCGTTGGGACATCGAATCCATCGGCAGACCGTGCGGATATCGGACCACCACTCGCGCGTCTCCACCCGACATCCCGCTGGCCGCTCCCGGCCTTGAGGGCCTCCTCCAGCATCTCGTTGTTCGCGATGACAAGCTGCAGATTTGATTTGGCGACATTCAGCTGCACCCCGAGATCCGCGTTGCTCTTGTATGCCTCGCTGAGCAGGGAGGACTGCACGGTGTCGTGTCAGTGACCTCATTGATCATAAACGCGACACACGCACCAGCTCCGTGACCCTATTGATGACCATGTTGAGTGCTCCTCGTAGATCATCCTCCTGGCCGTGAGCTCCTACGCGACGCGCATCGTGCAGCTCCTGCTCGATCGTGAGGAACATCTGCTGTGCGGGCCCCACAGCAGCTTTTTGCTGCGTCGCGTTGAGGCTGTCGGTCCGTCGCGGAACGCCGTTTCCCCCTGAGTTCGACAACATGGATGAAAAGTGTAACATTGCACCCGGAGTTTGTCGGTTAGAGAGCGGATAGCACTGTAATGGGTGAGAATGCAAGTGGCGCGATGACGAGGTAGCTACCTAGACAGGAAAACCGCGTTTATGTTTCCGCACCTACTTCCAAGATCCGGAACTCAGAACTTGCTCTCGGGCGAGAACGTCGGTGCCCGGAAATCGACTTGTGGCAGCAGACGAAAGTGCTTTGCTTTGGGCACGCTGTGATCATGATCATGATCGGATGACTGTCACGTGTCACATTTGCGCAGCGCCGTACATTTTCCCTCCCATGGGCCATGGGCCATGGTCGACACACCTCCAGAGATTATAGGCGCAATCCTGGGCCATCTAGGCTCCCCATTCTACCGGGAATAAGCGAGCTTTGCACTCCTATCGCGCTCGTGGCTATACTCGACACCTAATTGGTTGGTCATCCATGTGGATGGATGCTCATTGCTGATTTGGCGAGTGCCGCAGCATTCATCCAGCTCGTTGATGACCCCTCAGGCCCCGCGCCGAAAACCTTGGATAAACTTCCAGTCAATTGCCTTCAACGTAGCTGAATGAGATCAAGTTATATTGCGCTTAGCACGATTCCAAATTCTACGGCTCACTTGGTCTTCATGGCCCGAATCTCGTTCCAGAAAGCAGGCCTGCTTTTCCCTCCAGCTTGAAGAGACTAGAACTCTCTGAGACGGTGTTCGCTAGCGTCGGGACACTGTGCGGGCTCTAGTCCCGATGCCTGACCTGCTTTGATACCTACGACTTCACGGCGGTGAGTGGCAAAAAAAAATCCATCGCAGAAGACGCAGTCTAGGAATTTATGTCACCCTAGAGCTCAATCTTGATGACTCTTTCGCGGCTCCCGGATGGACTGTCTCCCTGGAAAACTGGCTGCATCTCGTCCGGACGCGTAATCTGGTGAATCCAATCCTGCAAACACTTTCCCCGTGAGGAACGTGCTAGGAAACCTGGGAATACGACTTGAGAATACGGAATATGGTGTGTCCAAGCTGGCAGGATCGGCCAGCTGCGTTTGCCGCATGTGTCTTATGACCCGGATATCCGGCTCAACTGCTCGAGATCGATGATCAAGACAATGTGAAGCTCGTCACGATTACCATCGATCTGCCTCTTCGCGTTACACAGTCGTTAATTCTGTGCGACTCCTCGTCCATTTAATTGCTGCTCCACGTAGCGATTCAATCGCACACTCGGATCCGCAACATCGGTTTTTATATTTATTCGCACGATGATCGCGTCAACATCATTACCGAGCTGGTAGAATCTTTCGACGCTGCTCTCGACCGAGTCTATGCCCGAGTTGAATAATACCGCAGCCTTTACTGGCGTTCCTGATGCGAAGCTGAATCCGTTGGTCAATCAGTTGTCGTTTGACTTCTCAGGTGGCATTCCGTGGATACTGAGCCGGATTGAACTGGATATCTCAGGACGGCGAGCACACAGAGGTCTCGGTTGAGATTTGATGCAGATTCATCAAGGTCATTTAGATGATAAACTTACCGTAATTATGGTACTCGATGGACTTTCTGGTATCTACGACCACGAGCTCAGGATTGAGAATTTTCATTCGCGCGTGACAGTTGACCACTAGGTATGCAGGTCCTTACGATCAATGAGCGTTGATCTCGAAAAAAGGACACGGCGATGATATCCCGTTACCCAGGCTTGCCGCCCAATTTTTCCTTTTCATTCATGTTGGTGCGACATCTGACTTCTCTCTCACATCCTGTGGACGAGGATCACTTTCTGTTTGAACCCAGGTCTTTCCAGGTCCCGATCATCCACACCTGGCACTGCTGAGTTTATGACGTTTTTTTGGGACCGACGGGGAGGCAGGTCATCGGGTGAGCATTCAAGCTCGGTCCAGACTACTGCGGTGTGGGCATAGGTAACGAGATCAGAGAATACACATGCGAATGTCGAGGATCATATGGCCCACAAACGAGGGCATCGAAAAACCCTTTCCTTAAAGCCTCGGGAATCACGTTGCGGGACATGCAATGCGCTCTGTACTAGTCGACATGGCTTCTGAGGCCCGAATGTAGTCTGGATGCCCGGGCTGAGAATCAGAGCAAGTACCTTCCCGCTGTCGGCTGGTGATTCTCAGAGTGATGGCTTGGCGTGTATCGAGAGTCCACTGATTTGGGAACGAATTGATTCCGGAGGGAGTAGGAGTTTTGGGGTTCGTATTGCACTGTGAACCTCCTGTGGCGAGTCATAAAAAGCACAAGGAAGTCGAATCGAAGCAGATCAACCCATCACAGAGCCCTGACCTGATTTTGGGCGGCTTGCTTGGCAGTCGGATGTTCCCACAGCAAATGCCGCTGACTTGATCTTTCTTTGGGTCGGCTTTGGCGAGGCGCCACCTGTGAGGTGTTCAGCCATGCTGCTCTCAGCAGGGTTGCGAATCTCAAACTCATCCACCCAGTCTCCCAGGCCCGGATCCCGTCTCAAGCGCCATTGCCGCAATTCTCGCGCAGCTTGGGGAGGATCAATCTCCCATACACACGTGTCTGACCGTTCCAAAACCTGCGAGGTCACGGAGTCGAGTGGAAAGACGTTTAATGTTCACGGTCTCAAGTCTTCTATTCCGATGCTGTTCGGCGGCCAGGCGTTCCCTGAGTTACGAAAGATCTTATACTTTGCTGGCATTCACCCCCGTTGAGATGTACAATTGAGAGTGTTCGAATGTTTGAGGCCTTTCGAATGATGTTCCGCGGATGGATAAACGGAATTCGACGAGACTGGTTTAATCGTGCAACACACGAGCCAGCCAGGTGTGTTACATTGACAATTAATGCATGGTCATCCTGATGACTCACATAATATCCGATTACTACGCCGCCTGGTATTAAAAAAATCATGCGTTGTGGGGGTGGACAGTCTGTTTGCACATGACGGTGGATCTCGAGGCGCGGATCTTCTCGGTTACGCCAAATCGGCCTGCGCCAAAAACTATGAGAACGTGATACCGGTGACCGACCGGGTCACCCAAATCGCCGCCAACTTGCTTTTTGCCTCTCATGTGCTGCACCCTCGACATCCCACTCGAACTCGTCGAAAAGATCCTCTCTCACCTGGCGGACGACGACCGCGCTCTTTCGACCTGCACTCTGGTCTCCCGTAGCTGGCTCAACTTCTCACGCCGCTGGTTCACCGTTCACATCCAGCCACGCCACACCTATGACGACGTCCTCGAGCTGTTCCATCTCGCTGGCCAGCAGAAGGGCACGCTATTCTCTACACTCGGCTCGCTCGATGTGAACCTCATCTCTCTGAGCGGTGGGTATGGAGCTCCTGAACGCACGACGCTGGCGGCGCAGAATGGGTTGACGGGATTCACAATCCTGTCCCAGTGCTGGCAGAGCTTCCGCGCACTTCGATCTCTGAGTCTCATGTGCACTATCCCCGAGCACTGCCCGAACCTCCCTCCCACGCTGAGACGTCTGGAGCTCGTAAGCACGAGATTCGAATCCATGCACACACTAAAAAGGCTGCTGTCCGCCTTGCCCCAGCTTCGCCACCTCCACTTCTCCGAGATCTCATTCCGCTTGAGCGAGCAGAACTGGGTGGAGAGCCTCTCCTTGCCGCCGCTCCAATTGGACTGTCTGGAACCGTATGTGCACATCGTCTTCGTGGGCGATCTGCTGGTGGATGTTTCAACCCGCAAGCTCATCTGGAAAAATCGGTTTTCGAGATATGTCGACGGCTATGCACATGTTGCAGGTGCCAGTCGCTATCTGAATGCCCAAGGGAGTCGGCTGGAGGAGCTCGAGATCCGTGACCCCGAGGGCTCATTCCGTGAGTTGCCCGCGGATTTTCCTCATGCCATTGAACACTGATGGGTATCCCGCAGAATACGAACTGTTTTTGGAGGTGGACTACACTCCCATTTCGAATCTTCGCTCGCTACGCCTGTGTTTTCCGCTGCGCCTCACAGGGGACTCACAGTGCGAATCAATATCCTGTGTTGCGTCCCTCGTGAACCTGCTCGAGCGAATCGTGGTCCAGTCGCATGCATCCATCTGCGAACTCGTTCTCGATGCGTTCATCCTACACCGAGATGACTTTCCGAATCAGTTCGATTCACTCGAGCACATGGTTGCCTTACTTGCGACGCCATTGTTCAATGCACTTGCGAGGTTGGAACTCGTCGTCAATGCGTCTGCGACACATTCCCACGCCGCCAAGTCTGCAGAACGGGTGTTCAAGGATGTGCAGAGACTGTTCGGACAGTATTTGCCGGGACTGGAGACTGCAGTGGACGCCCAAGGCCGCAAAAGACAGGTTGTTCTAACTGTCGGAGAGGATGCAATGGATTTCTACCGGGCGGTGGAGGGACTGGCTTGATCTCTGACTTGAGGCGAAGAGTGTGGATCTTTCTCATGACAGTGTAACGGCAACTGCCACATTCTTGTATTCTCGCTGCGCGAAACAATTTATTCTCCGATTTTGCTCTTTCCAAGAGTTACATTCCTCGTTTCTCAGTCTTCTAACCAGGCATCAAACCAACCGAAGTGCCTTGATTTTGGCAAATGTCCTCCACGACCCCCGCGAATCGGATTTCATTTGATAAAACCGGAATTCCAGCTGGTATATGGACTTGACTCGGCGATCGACAATATAACGCCGGTCCTCTAGTCTTTGTTTTCCATCCGGGAAACGTCATCTATCTCATTTCCAGATCTGAACTGAGGCCCTCGAAGGGTTGATGTTCACTCCAAGCAGTTTACAGAACATCAGCACCACTTATGACCAGGTTGGGGATAGCCTCAGACTGAACGGGCTCCATCCATTCCTTGGCAAGGACGCTTGTAACTGGCCCCAGATACCCATCAAGGTACATATGTACTACACCCGTGATAAAAAAAATATTGTGTGACACGTCAGTCGCTATGACACTCAATTGTCGACGGTCAGGTCAGTGACGTGTCAATGCTGGGCCCTGAAACCTTGAGGGCGGGAGGAGAAGAACTTCGAATATGTAGAGTGTGAGCGCTGCCATCAAGCGGCGGGTTGGCGTGACATGATGATGTGCGAAAATTCCTATTCTGGGATAGGGGTCTGAGGTAGAATCTTAAGCGCCGGGACTAGCAGCGAGACTCGGACAGGTGATAGCACGAGATTTACATATCTCTAGCAATGGATCCAGATGAAGTCCAAGAGAATCGGCCCAGGGAACCCCTCGATGTGTCTAGAGTCGGGAACTCGCAGATAATTATCATCTCACACACCGCCAGCTTTGCGGAAGATGTTTTCCAAGCCGATTCCTTTGGGTTACAGCACTCTTGCAAATATTGGACCGAGAATTCAATTGAGAAAGCGAGGCAGTGAACAGCAGAACGAGCCCCTCATAAGGGTGCATTGTGATCGCTGCGGTTTATACAGTACTAGTGACTAGCAGGTGCGTAGATACAGATTTGGGTGGCGGTGAACCTGAGTCGACACAGTACTTGATACATTACTCACCCCGAGGCAGAATCTCTAATGCGGGGCGAAGTAACCGTAGCGACAGGTTCTAGCATGCTGAACAGCGAGAAGCGCGGTGGTGGACTCGGCCACAACGACCCCCGCACGGTGCAGGTCACGTGTGCGATTTGCTTAGCGAGGGTTCGAGTCCGGTCAAGTGTAACTTGAAAAATCATTTTTGTTTATTAATGCGGTGTCTCAGGGACCACTTATTAAGGACTGAGCGAGCGTTTACCACATGTTTATGGTTCAGTAGTTATTTCTGTGTATCAATCTTGACGGAAGGCCCCTTGTTCGAGTCCAGTCAGTGTTTTTTGGCCTTTTTGCTGCTTGAATTGCCTTCGGCCGATACTTCCGACAGCCACCCGATCTGGGCGCGGACTGCTGATGCCTTGTTATCAATTTTTTTTCCGAGACGCACATGAGCCCCCCTCCCGAGCCCTTAGTGAAGTGCACTCGCTGTACATTTCGCGGTCCTCAGTCTGCCTTTCCCCAACTCCCGAGTCTCCAGTACACGAGGCACTGCCACAAATGTCGAGAGAAGAATCTCAAGTCCCGCGGCGCTGCAAAGGAGAAAGAGCCATCTGCTTCACTCCGGGGGAAAGACAACTCGGGGGGAATACTCCCTAAACTCTCCCGGGAGACACTTCTTGCTCTGATCAGGGAGCACGGCTCAAACAAGGCATTCGAGACTGAATGCTACCTTGATCTTGCCGAGATCAATCTGCGACCAGAGATCGCGTGCAGCCCGAAGGCAGTGGCAGACGAGCTTGCCAGACAAGTGTGGGAAGCAACAGGCTACCGATTCGTGTGCGTATTCCAGGAAAGAGCGCTATAGAAAGTTACTAACAATTTGGTGCAGATATAAGCAGAAACGCCCGAGCCGCACCAATCCTTCAATTGTGCGCTTTGAGTATCACTGTGCGCAGCTCGAGGGCGAAAAAACAAAGAATCAGCTCATTGCTGATCCCAAGAAGCGCCGTGCTCGTGTTACCATGGATTATTTTGCTTGCAATGGTTGGCTCAATGTCATTATCAATGAGCTTGACCTCAGCACGGGGACTTTTCGATTGTCACACCATCTCGCACACACACACTACACGAATATCTCCATTTCCGATGACATAAAGAGTCTAGTCAAGCAGATGAAGACTTCAACTCCAACTAAAGTCAGTTCTCTTCTTGATCGTTGGCTGGCCGGAGTCCTCATTGCTTGATATTAGATCTGGGAGGAGGTTGTGAAATTGGATCCTACTACAGAGTTGACAGAACGGCAAATCTATCGTTTCTGGTCGGACATCAATCAGGGAGCTTGGAGAAAGTGCGACGATCAGGTTGCATCTGCCCTTGCCCTGCTGCAGGAGTACGAGGATATGACTGTCGAGATCATTGAGCTCAAACAAGAGACTGGGCTGTCCTCAATCGCTTTTTGTTTCTGCGAGATAATCAACGATTTTGGAAAAGACACAGAGGAGATTGCGATGGATTCGACTTGTGAGTGTCTATTAAAGATTATTCTGTCTGTGCACTGATTGAGCATTGTAGGGAAAACTAATGCGGCGGGATATGAGCTGTATGCGATTGTTGCTGAAGCAAATGGCACTGCTCTACCGCTCGCATTTGTCTTCACTACATCGACAGGTGACAATGCTGCAGAGGGTGCCAAAGACCGAATGCTTCAACAGGTTCTGGGTGCAGTCTCTCGAAAATGTCCAAATATTCAGTTCGTGCACACGGACAAAGACATCAGTGAAATTAATGCCGCTAAAACCGCATTACCTGGTACCAAACATCAGCTTTGTATGTGGCACGGTCCTCGATATGTGAAGGAGCGACTCGCAGAGGACAAGCGGCCTGCTCATTACGATCCTCGCAAAGCACACATGGTCTTTGACTTTATTGACCCTACCTGGGCACCTGGGATTGATCGGATTCAAGAAGATGCTTCTCAGCATGAACAAAACAACTCGGAGCAGGAGGAGGATAGCAACAATGTGAACGGTCCAGTGAGCAGATGTTTGACCATTTTATGCGCACAGTCTTTCTGAGGATGGGATCCAGACTAAGACACTGCTTCCTCCGATATTCGTTCTTACTCAGGGCGACATCCGTCATCCGATCTATCCGAACCCACCTAAGGCTCGGAAGACCGATCTGGGAGTATTCTGTCCGCCAGAACATCGTGATGTCACTCTCGACCTCTACAAGATGCACGGTAGACTACATCCGGAGATTCCGGTGTACGAGCCGGATGATCCAGACTCAGAGGAGCCAAATCCATTTCTCTCTGCCGACGCTATCTATAACTCTGCTGTGTATGACATGTACTTCCACTGCTTCGATCTGGATCTCTCGCAGCTCTGGGCGTATATGTGGAACCGGTGGTACTCCCCCGCTCAGTGGAAACTCTGGGCGCGAGCATCAGAGCCGGCAATCCCACGTATCAATACCACGATGATTGTCGAGAGCCTCTGGAAACACGTGAAGCATCGGGATCTCGCAGAATTTAATCGACCGCGACTTGATTTGGTTACCCACGTCATAATCCTTAACCTTCTTCCTCGAATCAAGCGGAACCTGGACAGCATTCGCAAAATGCGCCGTGCTGGACGTGGCCCGACTCTCGTTGGGTGGCAGAAGGACTTCCGTGCTACGTGGGTCGATCTCAGCAAGTCAGATGATCATCGCCTCACCGAAAAACAACTGCGCTGGCTTAGGAAGCCGAAGAATACCAAGAATCGGGATGAGAGGCTCACCCAGTTGGATCAAGAGAGTAAGCGCACTCATGGCACATATTTCACATATGTGGACAAATGGGTCTGCAGTTGTTCCGCTTTCTTGATGAGCCGTTTTTTACTCTGCAAGCACCTCGTTCGGGAAGTTAACCAGACTTTGAGCAACAGCCCTCTTCGAGATCTGGCTCTGTTTGCGAACTTGCGGCGCAATCACTTCCCTCCTTACTACGTGATTCCCGGGATCCACGATATCGAAGAGAACGAACCCGAGCCTGAACACGACGTCGAAATCATGGTTCTCCACCGGGGCCACTCCCGTTCTCAATCGACTTCGAGTTCCCGGATGCAGACACCCGAACCCGACGACGACGAGGACAATGATCGGGCACCCAGTCCCGGGCCAGTGACTGGGCCTGGGCTCGATGACCTGGAGAGCATCGATCCGAGCGGAGATGATGACCGTGATGAAGACAACAATATCCGGGCTTTTGCCTCCGATGACGAAGGTACTGCGGGTGATAGGGTATGTCCAATTCGTTCGTTAGCTGTTAAATCTCAATGTTTATACCATAGGTATACATTTCCGAAGCTCAGAGGGAGAACCTCAAGCGAAGCTTCGAGGCTTTGATGGAAACCATCTCCCGGCCAAGTGGAATAGCACCTCAACTGGCAGAAGCTCTGCGGCCCGCTCTTCAGATGGTTGAGGATGCAGGTGGACATATCCAGGCGCATAAGCGCAAAAGAAAGAGCCAGAGAACATATAAAGACTCTAATAAGTACACAATGTTCACTGAATAATGCAAACTTTTTCTCTCTTTTGAATGCGAACTTAGAATTATTTTGATGTTTGGGCCGGGTTCGAACCGGCCAGAACACGTGACCTGCACCGCGCGGGGGTCGTTGTGGACTTGTCGCGGTGGTGCATCGGATGTTTATCGATGGCATCGTCAACGAAGACGGAGTAGAGGTGTGGAAGACGATCTTGGAAGCGCCTGATCACACGACCAGGATTGGCCTGGACGGCTGGATGGCGACATGCTTCTGGTGGACGGCCGGAGCGGGGCGAGATGGGGAGTGCGTAGGCGTCCTTGGCGAAAGGCTGGCGCAACTGCTGCCTGGACTCGACGGTTCGAGCCCAGGCAACGACGGCTGCCGGTAGTGGTGGCGATGGTGGGTGTGACGTAGACGCGACCGCTCATGGTAACCGTGTCCCCGAGACGAAGCATGCCTCTCCTCCTCCTCGACATCCGACAGCTCGCCGCCGACGATCCCAGCCCAATGCACCACCACCTCTGCCTCGCTCACGCCCAGCTCCCAATCGAGCACTGCAAGAAACTCGCGCTCAATCATGCCCACGTCAGCTGTGCCGAAGACGCCGCTGACCAGCGCCCAGTGCTCGTTCCGCAGCGTGCTGTCCTGCGTGTACTTGCTCGCGGCCATGAGCGCGCCGAGGAATAGGCGTTCCGCCGCGCCGTGCGGAGACGAGATCGAGAGGTGTGTGCGCGAGCGCGCGAGGTAGACGAGCGCGACTAGCAGCGTTGCTGGCTCTGCTTCGGCGCGCGTGACGATGAAGGATATGAAGTCGGCGAGGCGCGTGGCGCGGCGGGGTGCTCGGCCGCGAGTGGGCTCGATGTGTTTTGGGTGGTCGCGGGTTAGGGAGAAGGAGACGACGTCCGTCACGAATTGCGCGATGTATTCTGCGTGTGCGAGTCAGAAAGGAGACAAGGCCGACTTTAGCGAGAAGACACGCACCGACGAAGGCTTTCGACACTTGAGCATCGATAAGCTGTAGCATGGCAGACGAGTGCATTTCCGGGTCCACAAGAGATGCGGGGTGGACGGGCGAGCTTGAGGAAGATGATGACGAAGACGCCGGCGACCAGGAGGAATAGTCGTATTCGGAGCTGGCGGTCATAGCGATTTACGGTGGGCGTCGTCGAATGTGGTGGCAGTTACGAGTCATCTTGTCGAACGATGGGTATTATAAGATGTGCGGCGATTGGAAATATTTCGGGCTGTGCTGACTGCGAAGACCACGATTGCACGATTGCTTACTGCGCGATTGAAGCAGGGTTGGTGAGTCATGACTCAGATTTTGGGCACCCGCTAATGGGTAATCCGGATGACACGCATAGGTTCGTGACGTCATCTCTGTTTCGATGGTGAGAGCACACAGCGAGCAGTGCATCGACGGGTGAGATGACTGAGGGCTCTGTGTAACTCGGAGAGAAAAATCCGCTCGGGCAGGGATAAATTTTGGGTTTCCACAGCCTGCGGAAATCCACAAGTGCAAGGAGTGACGTCACTTGTGATGGGATCACCCGTAACTGAGGCAATCTCGGATCCGGATTACATCTCAAAGATAGAATAATATTCCGAACATCCCAAGTGTAGTGGGACAACTGTTGTCTCAGCATAGTTTGCCGGGAGACCGGAGATCTATAGAGACACGAGAATGACCACAGACGAAGATTAACATTTCGGAAACAGACGCCGCCAGCCCCCTCGTCGAGGACCCCCTGAACCCAGTCATAGGTTGCGAGCTAACGAAGTTGATGCATGTGGAGGCAGTTCCGAGAAATCGAAGACTGTAACTCCACCAACGAGGGTGCATAAGAGAGCGAGTTGTTAATCGACTGGATATCGATCGACCGACTGACTGATTAGGAACTTATGAATCTTTGCATGTGCTCAATGGGTACGGCTCCGACGATGAGATCTCGAATGGCAGACGAAGGAATTCCGCCGTGATGGGAACTAGATCCATGTGTGTACTAGTACAGATTGATCAGATAATGTACATTATGTTTTACATTCGATTGTCCGCAAATGCTGTTTAGTGGTAACGGCCGGTGCTGGGATCTAATTCACCCTGAGATAAACACAGTATTAATGCCTGCGGATGTAACTGAAACAGAGGGAGACGCACCTTACGCTCCTGACCACGTTCTTGGAGACTAGGGTTGGAAGCGAGCTTGCCCGCGATCTTCTCTGCAACGCCTGGGAGTAGGAAGAAGGAATTGAGAGATTAGACGAGGAAGTGCGTTGGGGAACAAAGGTCATCTTACCGATGATTTTGTCGCCTAGCGAGGTGCCGGACTTGGTGGTATTAGTTGCGCTGCCAGTTAGGCCCGTTCCAGCATCGTATCCAGTTGCACCAGTTGTTGTGCCAGTCCCGGCATTGTTGGTAGATCCCATGCCCGTGCCGGTGGTACGATCGTGCGTGCCGGTGGATCCGACACCAGGTGCAGTGGAATGATCGTGAGTCGACGTCGCGTCTCCAGTGTGGCCTGCACCGAAAGCACCAGGAACATGATGATGGTCATCACGACCAGCCCCAGCCCCAGTGCCGCTGCCGAAGCCAGTCCCAGTCCCCGCACCGGAACGAGTCGTATCGGTCCCATGGCCGGCCAAGGCAGCTGCGCCAGCGCCAACACCGGCAGCACCTGCGCCAGTAGCGGCACCAGCACCGAGATGATGGTGGCGGTCTTCACGACCGGCAGATGAGCTGTGGTCAGCCTCCGGTCGATCGCCGTGGATGTCGTGGTGCGTCGGCTTAACGGCGCCAGTAGCGGTGGTGCGGTGATCGTTCGAGCCAGCGCCAGAGCGATCTGTGAACGGAGCACCGTCGCCCTGTCCAACTTGCATCCGACTGGCATCGGTGCCTGTCGGGTGTGTGCGAGTGGACTGCGTTTGGTCGAATCCAGAGTTATCATTGTTGTTATTGTTGTGCTCGACATCCCGCCGCATGTTATGCTTGTGCTTCACCTCCTCCAAGCCAGCAACCCCGGTCACAGCAGCTACTGCATCGCCGGCCCCGTGGTGCTGATTCCGATGCTGGTCGAGCCGCCCTTCATCCCGACCCTCGAAATCACGCCCACTTCCATGCTCATGCCTATGCTCAGATCCCAGCCCTGTTTGACCAGCTCCACTTGGGTCGTAGCGCTGACCAGTCATCTGGCCGGCGTCCGAGTGACTCAAGTCCACAGCCCCTTCGTGTTGGTGGAGGTGGTGATGGTGCTGGAGCCCAGCCCCGGTGCCCGTCTGCTGCTGCTGCTGCTGCCCGTCAAGTGCACGCGCGTTCGCGGTCTCGCGGTTACGAGTGATGTCGACAGGCCCAGGGCCGAAGTGCATCGCCGTGGGATGCGCCGCCATGCCGGACTGTGCACCTGAAGTGAACCCTAATCCGCCGCCAGCGCCGGAATTGTCGTGCTGGCGCAGATCCCCGGTACCTGCGGGCCCGATAACCCCAGCGGACCCGTCCGATCGACCGGCGCCTGAATTGTCGTTGAAGTCGTTGTGATCGGGCCGCCGTGATTCCGCGCCGGTGAAGCCTGAGGAGGATCCATCAAACCGGTTCTGCTGCGCCTGTCCTACGCCTGTCCCCGATGTGGAGAAGTTGTTCCCGTGGTCGTTCCGGGAGACGTCGCCAGTGCCGGTGCCGGTGGTGGATCCACCGAATCGGTCCTGGAAGCGCTGCGACCCTTGCATGTCGCCAGTGCTGTTGTCGAATCGTGCAGCTTGCGTTTGGGTGTAGGCTGGGCATGGCTGAGTAAGTAGGCAAAGACCAGTAGTGACGGTACGCACGAGCACCCTGGTTTCTGTCCAAGTTGTCCGCCTGCGGGGCATGTTTCCCGGCGCCTTGAAGATCTTGAGCGGTTCCCGAGTTATCGAATCGGGCTTGTGCTGTGGTCGTGTCAACAGTGTGAAGCGGACGAAACGCAGCCTCGACCCACTTTTGATACCGGATTGCTGCTGCTGCTGCGCCTGAGCGTTGTTGTTGTAGTTAGGTGTGGATTGCATATTCGTAGTGGTGTACGTGTGCGTAAGTTGAAGACACTCTATTAGCAGCTGGGCGTATAAGTACCCCGAAACACGGAGCTAGCGCTGATGTCATCGTCGAGTCGCCGCGGTCTAGAATTGGGAGCAGGTCAGGGATGAGCGAAGGATGAACGAAAGAGCGTGACCACACACCGCACTCCCGCGCGCGAATAACCTATGCTCCGAGGGTGATCTCATTTCGAGTGGATGACGGGTCGTCGTCGTCAGCGCACGTGCAGGGGGCGAATGGAGTTGTCTCTCCCAATCCGGTATCGGAAGAGGCGTGCATTTCGATCCATTGGTGTCGGCGCTGCACGTCAGCAATTCGCTCGTCGAAGGCGCGGGAGAAAAGTAAGTAGCTTGGACACAAGCGATGCCGAAGTGTGAGCAATACCACGTGATCGGATCACGTCGTGGCTGGCGTTTGGATCAACATCAAAGTTGGGTTTTCCCTGTGCGCCCTAACATGCCGATTGGAATGCACAGCGCAGCGCACTGCTAAGCAGAATTTAATACGGAAGAAAACTGCGCGTCCAAGTGTTCGTACGCTCTCGTAACCCATAGCGATAAGACTTGTGCGCGGTATTCGTCCGGATGTCGCGGCCGAACCCCACGGATTTGCGTTCCGCATGTCTTCCATGGAGGAAACCACGATCCGCATGCATCCCCTGTAAGAATCAAACTGGACCCGTCCAGCCTCTTCCCGCACCGGAGATAGCAGCGCGGGAGAGCGACATTGGGATTGCGCCGTGGCTTGCTGCAGGCTCTGGGCGTCGCGACGACTCCGCTGAGCATGTGCTCCTGGCGTGCCGTATGACGCTCTGCAGAGTTCTATTGAATGCAGAGCCATGCCAAGAATGTGTTATTGCTACTGTTGGAGTGGGCTAGGGTGTGGAGGTGCATCTGCATGTAGCCATGGAGAATTTTGATCAGGTTTTAAATTTTTACCCAGATAGCAGATGGCTCGCAACAGTGCTCGAGAAGAATTTCCTAGAGCGTAGAAGTCGTTGGCCGGTAGTCCCCAGTGGAAAACTCTTCCGGTTACCTATCTCTCCAGGACATTTTGACGGGAACCACTAGTCATCCCGCATTTATTTAACCGGTTGCAATCGATTTGAATTCCGAGAAGTCGTGACCCCACTTTGACTTATGTGATCCCGGTTGGAAAACTAATGCTAGAGTTAACCGCCTCGGTTCAACTCAATAAAAACTTAGAGCCCCTTGGTCCTGACTCGGAAAAAAAAACGAGGTGCGTCATCCACCATTGATTGTAATATTGTCTCCTCGCATCTTTACTGATCGATCTGTTCCCGCGAACACGTTCAAGCCTGCCTTTCGGAATAAACCTCTATCTGCCAGGGGAATATCTATCACGCTCCGGGTCAGCTGTCTCACTTCGCGCAAGACCCGGATATCGTATGCGCCGCGCACGCGATGGACGGTGCGCCTCACGTGAACTGTTGTAAACTGGCAGGGATCGCGGTGGGTGTTCGCTATTAATATTGAGATCTAAACGGCGTTAAAACGAACAAGATATAAATATTTGTCAGAGTATGAATAAAACGCATTCAAGCCGATCAGAGCCATAATTACGGATCTGGGTACGGATGGCTTCTGCCCGCGAGATCGACGACAAGTTCGAAGGCCCGGAGTTCGCTTCTGTTTCTACGTCTATACTAAGGCCCGGACTTCTAATAGCCGCAAGGTTCTCGTTTACTTCATCCTAGGGATCGTCAAGTTATTTTTTCGCCGGCGCGTGAAATGGGGTCGTCTCGGCCGAGATGGGAAACCTTTTGAGAGGCGTTAAGAAACTTACGGCCGTGACGGGCATCATAAGGCCGCGTTGGGAGTAGGTGCATGCAGTCTGCGCCGATCGATGAGCTGGATGCCAGACCGCTTGCGTGTCACGTTGACAAATCGCCGTCGGTAGATGCATCGAGGTCCCTGCTTTTTCGCGCTGTGGCATGGTAAATGACGCATGCTTCAGCTTGCTTGATGAACAGACAGGCCCATCGGGAGACATTCAGTCTTCCATTCACAAACACCGCGACATTAACACTGGGCGGGGATCGAGCTTGCAGAATCAACGCCAGTCCGCAGTCCGCAGTCGGTGGATGAATGTCACCATCGCGAGCTCCATTCCGCTGTCTGATCCGGTCCGTTGACCCTAACCCCGGCTGCCTATGCGCAGTCCAGGCTTGCCGGGGCTGTGCCCGTGCCCATGGCCTAAGCCGTGCTGGAAGAGGCGCGTACGTGACTCGTGAGACTTCCGATGCCCTCGCCCACTTCCTTCCTGTTTCGTCCGGTCCTGGATTCGTTCCATGCGGGTGTATAAAACGTTCCTGCTTGGTGGGTAAATGTCCGACCCGGCCACATCAGCATTTCAAGCTTTCGTGTTTCATCATCCCTCCTCTGCCATGCCCTGCAGCATCTGCTACGATGAGTATACCGCCCCCGTGGCGCTTCCCTGTGGTGCGCCTCCCCCTTCCTTTTTTGTCCCACCGGTTTGAAGACTGACTGCTTCTGCTCTGGCTAGGCCACATCTTTTGCCGTGAATGCGTACGACGCACGGTGGACGCGATCAAGCTGTGCAGTGTCGAACATTTCTGCCCGACGTGTCGTACGCCTTATAGCGTCGGTGCGCCCCCGTTCGCGCCCCCTCTGTTTCCCAGCTGATCTATGTGCTGTCGTATTCCAGTCGGCATCGACCCCGCGCTTATCCCACCATACCTACGCCCACACACGCTCCCCTCGATCCGCCCCGTCTTTTTCGATCACCCCTCACCCCGTCCCGCCTGCTCTTCATCCTCCTCCTCCGCCACCTTCGCCTCCTCTTCCGCCTTCGCATCGTCCAGCTCCGCATCGCGGCCAGCACTCTGCATGTCGGCCCTACCGGCCCAGCTCTCCAGTGCACTGGGCCGCGCCGCCGCCGAAGCGGACGCCCTGCGCCTGAACGCGACGACGTGGAAGCGACGCGCGGAGGTGCACGCCGCGGCGAACGCGGGCCTTCTCAGCTTCGCGCGCGTAGCGAAAGAGAACGCCGTGCGCATGCGCGCGGAGCGCGACGTCGCGAGCAATTGCTGCGAGCTTCTGAAGGGTCGTTTGCGGGACATCATGTGCGTTGCGTCTCCGTCGGCTTCGGATGCCTTCCCCCTCGCCGAGCCGCTTCCTTCGCCCGTTACTGTATTGACTGACATACGCCGTGCAGGTCCTGCCCGAAATGGAAGGAGCTGGAGGCCGAGTTGTGTGCATCCTCACTAGCCTCGCCCAACGAGGACCCCGCGGCCGACGACTCGCACCCCGAAATGGACGACGAGAAGGCCAGAAACGCTCTGGACGTGGATCTCGCCGAGCTAAGCGCACGCGCAGCCTGCTCCGCACCGACGGGGCTGCCTGTCTTCTTCATCCAGCCGCATGTCCGGAAAGCACTCTCGGAGTCGCCCAGGTCGGATCTAGAATCCCCCAGCTTGTTCGGGCCGCCCATCAAGCGCAGGAAGGTTCACGATGATGATGCTCCGGCCACCTCCATACGTGCTCGCGGTCCAGGCTCGCGCAGCGCCCGCTTCTCGTCATAGTCTCGAACGTGTTTTCTCGTGCGCCTTCGTGGATATATAAACCAAAATCTAATGTATACGATCACGATATTTACTCGAAGAACATCAGTGCATACCTCGCCTTATTAGCATACCCGTCATCCTCACTCAAAACTTGTACTCACCAGAACATAAACGTACTGTTTTTTTTCAGTCCTCAGTGGTTGAGGATCCATTTTGGCTCGTCGGAAAAACAATCCAACGCCGTGCCTGCGAAACACGTAGCGTCTCACTGTGCGAATCTTCGCAAGCGTTCGCGTTTGCCGTAGTGAGGATGAAACAGGCTCTCATCGTTTCTTCAACAAAGCGGTTAGAGATATCGAAATGAGCCCCTGATAGACGACGCTTGAATGGATGTGTTTGAATTTGAAAACGCCAACTTCAAGTGTTCGGACCATGAGTCCATAAATACCAGTGCTATAAATGACAGGCGAAGAGTGAGCGAGAAGTCTGAGGGGGGAGTAATGTGACACAGGTTGTTCCCTCCGATCGACATTCTGTCGTGCGGCGATATCACAGTGCAAGCCCAGGACCATGACGTCAGGCTTGTGATCTTCGAAGACGGCGCAATGGGTTGAAGACTGTTGAAGAGATAGCTATAAGGGGAGCTGTGCGATGAAGTGGGATCCCATGACGGTCCGCGCGGTACATCTCTTATTTCCAGCCGGATTAAACGGCCCCAGTTTACTATCCTGTTTAACACGAGGTCATTTTCAGGGGGTTAGGTGCATTGGGGTGACGCCCTTCTGTTCGAAACTGGGGCACATGAACATGTGATATCCCGTGGGACGGACTGGAGGCACCGAACAGGCCCCCCGGCAACTCCCTCATAGAGCAATTCACCCCAAAAGGAGGATTTGCACTTGCGAGTCAGCTGTCGCACCCTTGATTGGCACGGGATCGGACTGAAGTCTGCCCAAATCAAGATGGATTCAGAGCTTTTTATAGCATTGTGTGCGGGGTTACGTCCACCTTGGTCCACTCTCTCTGCCTGCAGCGCGTTCTGCAAAACCGGAGAGATCGAGGAGGCGGAATGACATGCTCCTGATCGTGTTTGACTCTCAAAGAGGGGGACAACTCCCCAAAGTTCCCTGGCTTGCCCTGCGATTTCTGCGCCTCAGCGCCCAAGATTTCTTGTTCCCAGCCCGATTCGCGGCCATATGACCGCGTGCCCCGGCGATCTGTACGATTCCGGAGGAGTAGCCGGGGGCCTCGCCGAACGCGTGCGGTCACACTTCGATCAGCAAGAATCTGTGCTGGGAAACCGGATAAAAGTCGACCTTCACTCTATCGCGTTGAACATGCGCAGCAGGAAATGATCGAAGTTCTCAGCGATCCAGTTGTTGTGCCATCCCCGAACCTGGCCGTGAATACCAACGGAATCCAGCGGATTTCACACGCGGTGTGCCGATCGAGCACACGAGGCCCTCACGATCCCACCACTCTGCTCGCTGAAACCAGTGCCAACTTTTGCACGGGAGACGGAAATGTACCATCGTTTGTTTGGACAGTGCATGTAGCACACAACCCATATCATCCTTAGTCAGGGAAATAAACCGGTGTAGAGCTGTGCTTGAAGGTCGTGAGAGTGGAAGCGGACAGTTGCCGGTTCATGACTAGTCAACTCCGTCTCCGCCCCGCACTCAGCAATAAGCAATCGTGTCCAGTCCGAATCCGCCGGGCCCGTCGTATTTTGAATGACCGAGCGGCCTATAATTCAATGTTTATCTCTCTCTGCTTGCGCAGAGATTGAAGGTGAATCGCTATGTCAGTCAGCTGCGGACATGATTATTCCTTGTGGTCACCGGCGTCCTCGTCCTCGTCTTCGTCGAGCTCGCCCATTCACCCCGCGTCCCTGGTTGATACGCAACTGCACTCTTCTGCCTTGTTGCAGCTTATTGACGCACCTGTTTCACATGCTTTCCTCGGTGCGTGAGTTCCCCGCAGGAACTTTCTATCTCCCATTATTGACACACTCTCAACTAGACTACATCGCAGAATACGTCGCCGAGGTCGTTGACTTCGCTCTAGGCTGTGATGACCCCAAAAACGCCGAGCCCACGCGGGGCCGATCAGGCCGCTGCACCACGCGCCTCGCTGACTTCGTAGCCCTCACGGTCAGCCGCGCCGAAGCGAGGACATCCACTCTTCTGGTTGCGCTGGTGTACATCGCACGCTCCCGCACGCACCTCGCGATCTCCTACCGGCACGGAGCAGCCGAGCGCCTGTTCCTCGGTGCGTTGATGACCGCGAGCAAGTACACGCAGGACAATACGCTGCAGAACGTGCACTGGGCGCTCATCAGCGGCGTCTTCGGCACAGCTGACGTGGGGTTAATCGAGCGCGAGTTTCTGGCGGTGCTGGACTGGGAGCTAGGTGTCAGCGAGGAGGAGGTGGTCGTACATTGGGAGGGGATCATCGGTGGCGGCGGCGTAGCTATTCCCGATATAAACGAGGCGAAGCATCACTCTCTACCGAGGTGCCACCGCCCACGGCAGTTTCGGCTGCACCATCACCGGCAATGGGCAGCGCCGAGCCGGAGCCGTCGAGCCCAGTTAGCGGTTTCGCCGCCGGGTCGAAACTGCCCACACCCGCGCATCCCACTTCTCGCCCTGCTCCGGCTATCAATCACAAGCATATCGTCACCTGTGTGCTCTCCTGGCCGTTTGTGGGATCGGGGCCTGGATCGCTTCATCCATGGACACGCCCACTGTGTCTTTCCGAACGCGTTAAAGTGACTTTTTGACGGACAATGGATTTTCACTCCTAGAACTTTGGCGCGTTGAGTATTTCACTGACCGCGGTGTATCGATCTTCTGCGACTAGGCAGCCTTACACCCGCCAGTCATGGAATTTTTCTGGTATTTCCACGATTGCGACGAAGCCCAGTTCCCCGTGGCTGGACACCGTTTCAAAGATTGAACCCCGAGGTACTTACGAGAGATATCAAGTTCGAGAATTTCATTCAAGGACAGCTGCTCTACAACTGTGTACCCGCCGACTCGTCTGTACATCCAAGACTCATCCCGAGTCTGTGGCGAGTTGCTATTAACATTCAGGGTTTGAAGCAGACACACAGATCATCTTCAATGAGAAAAATCGCACTCATTGTCTTACATGAGGTGGAAACCAAACATCTGGAGTCCTACTGTCGCGCGATGATTCATTTATTTGATGCTTGCCCATGTCATCACACGCACTCCAGGTCTTACACAGGGCTCCCACAAAGCAGAGTATCGCGTTTTGCCTTGGCTTAGGTGAAAATCAAGTATATTCGGTTTTGACGGGAGGGAATGAACTAGTATCTCACTGGCGTTCGATTACAGTCGGACATTTCTTTTGTACTTGGCTTGCAAATGTCATATCTCCTCTCATATTTTTCTGCTCAGAAAATGTCTGAAACCTTGCGCAGATAAAGCCTTGAAGTACTCACTGGCACGACGAAGACCCGCGTCCGCCCATACAAAGCCTGGTCATCCATGCAGTTTCCTTCTCTGCCGCATCGAACGTTTCGTAGATCAGGAAAATGTGTGATTAACCTACGTTCCGTCGCTTGTCCAGATGCCTTCTACGGGAACACTTCGATAAAGGCCAACTGTAGCGTCATTTCACGAGCACTCTCGCCGAAAATCAGCCGCAAATCGAGCCCCTCGGAGCGCAAAGTCTCCAGAGCCTCCCTCACGTCGTCGGGCATGACGCGTTCGGCGGTATAAAGCAGCACGACGCTTCGGAGATGACAGTGCGGCGAGCGCCACCTTGACTCGATTGCTGCGATGATAGGAGCATGAACCGCATCGTACGGCCAGCTCACGAGGAGTGAAGTCATGCCCGGCAATACGGGTCCCGCCGCATCTGCTTCTCGGACGTGCAGGAACCGGCAGGTAGGGAGGATGAAACCGATGTCAACTTTGGGGAAGACGAAGCCGAGGTGCGCGACGTGCGGGAGGCAGGCGAGCACTTCCATGTCGTTGAGACTTGGGAAAGAGGTCGAGACGGAGTGCAGTGATCCCGAACACTCAGACCGCGCGACAAGCGATAACAGTTGCGGTGCGTCAACAGGCGAGTAGTTGTGTCCGAGAGAAAGCGCCGCCAGAGCCGGTGTGGTGATGTGGTCGAGGCACGCCCAAGTCGAGAGGTGCAGGCGTTTCAACTTTGGAAGAAAGATGACAGTGTGCGGCGGATCCATCGGCGGCTCAGTCACATCCAACGACAGCTCGACCACGTTGATGAGGAGCTGCACGATCGGCTCATGTTGCTTCCAAGTTCCCTGGGCTTGATAGCGCGTCAGGCGGTGCCCGTGTGCGATTCCAATCGGCGGGTAGATCGTCCAGCACAAAACACTCAAATTCTGGAGCGCCGTAGCGGGCTCGAAAACCCGGGCGATCTCGCGCTCCGTCCGGGCTGCAGCCTCGTCGACGTCATCGTCCATCAGATCCTCGATGCGAAGATGCAGTCTCGTGAGAAGTGGAGCCGGGCCGCGCAGTTCGAGCAGGCGATAGACCAGCTCTGGGCATATTTCGAGGGACACGTCGCCCCAGCGCGAGAATAATCCGCATACGGCGTCGAACACTGCCCTCTGGCCATCGTGCAAGAAGGCCTGCGCAGGCCATCGATCGGGGCTGAACCGCGCGCGGATGCGGAACCGGGTCCCCCTCTCGGCCAGGAATCGCAGGGCTGGGAGTGGGTTCAGAGTCGTCAGCGCTTCACGGGAGGCCTGCGTCGAATAGTAGCCGCCACGCTCGTACTGCAGGGGCATCGGAGGGTTGCCTTCATGGATGACAATCTGTGACCAGAGGGGCGGAGTCTCCAACGCGAGGTGCCTCCAGCGCCGACATACACGAACGAGGACCCACGGAGCCGAGTCGTAATCGATTCGCCTTCGATGTATCTCCTCCCGCACAGACGGTACACAGGCGATGAATATCTCCGCCAAGATCTCAGGAGGAAGCGAATAGACAGCGGAGGGGGGCTTTCCTTCCTTGTTAGAAGTGACCTGAACGGCGAGGACGTCTGGCTTCATCATCGTAAGAGAAAGGAACACAATGGCACGTGGGAAATAGACGGTCAATCAGAAGATTCTTTCTTCCGATCACCGCCGTAGGGTTTGCAGAGCAGTCAAATATGAGCAAGGCAAGATCCCAAGCTTCGTTCAAGTAGCATCACTTGAGCTGGTCTGGAACTTTAGGCATTAAATTACTTGTATTTGTTAAGCTCATGGTTCGAATTGCTGGTTTGCAGCCCAGCAGTTTATGTTCACGTGACCGATCAACACGATCTCTGTGCGCCCTTCCAAACGACATCGAGACAGTCTAGTATGCGTCGCGGACAGCCATTATGCGCTCATGCATTCCTTTGTGTTTTATCACTTTAGAAAGCTCGAGGCCAATGACAAATGTCTTGCCCGGTGTGGCTGTGCCAGGAGTCTAGAGCTGGTCTTTCCTAGTTTAGACGGTACATTAGTCAGACCACCGTTTTTCGGAGAATACACCCACCTTCCCGACATCTGCGGGCACCTGGCGTGGGTCCAAGTTCACACGCGCGTTCCAGAGGCGGCTCCATTTGGTGATTGGAGGGATCGAATACCACACCCTGGCACCTGAAACACCGTCGTACCTTTCGGACCGACAACTCCGCCAATACGAGCGGATCCAAGCCACGCACGCACTTGAAAAAAACGCACGAGAAGCTCAAAAACAGCTTCGACGACTCCGCCTAGCACGAAGGACAGCGTCATCAGAACCCATTGGTATCAACGCGGACCACACAACTGGGCCGTATCAGAATCAAGTGCAAGAAAAGACACTGCACAGCTCACAAACGCCACCAACATCAGACGACGAGGACGAGCATAGTATGGGCCCGAAAACAGAGCTCTTCAAGGGGGACGGAACAGCAGAGAAGGCGAATGTCTGGCTAAGACAGCTAGAGCAGATGTGGAAATTCGATGCGAAGGATGACGAAAAGAGGTGGAGGTTCGAGCGGGCGTTGTACCCAGGGAGCCCCGCGGAGGTCTGGTACAAAGCGCTACCAGCAACAGACAAGGCAGACTGGCAAAGGATCACCGCAGCCTTCGAGAAGAAGTGGCCGCCGCCTTCTTACACCGCACGGGAGAATTCCGAGGTAATGAAGGATCTAAAGGAGAATGTGTTAGAGGAGAAGGCAGTAGGAGAAATGGTGGAAGATGAGGACGGGACGCGCATCCCAGCACATCGGGCATGGGCGCAGATTGCGAGACGCCTTGTCAACGACCTACAGGGAGGGGACCCATCGATGCTGCTGATGGGCGAGATACGGGCCACCTTGCCCCCCGGATTCTGTCGCTTGATCTCGGAGGAGGCAACGAAAAAGACCTGGGATGCCTGGTTTGCGGCATTCGAGGCAATATCAATCTACGCCATCAACAATTGGATGGCAGAGAATCGAATAGAACGGCAGGAAGGCCCAGCGACAACCACAGGATCAGCACGGGAAGGGGCGGAGTCCATTGTAGCCAGCTTGGCGCATGCCCTAGACGTCACCCACATCCTCTCCCCGACCCGCCCACGCCATCGGCAAGCGTTCCAGCTATCAAACACGCGCATTCAGGCCCCGGCATTCATGACACAAGCAGCGCCGACACAGACACAACAGCAGGCGCAACAACCACGCTCAATGTTCACACCGACAACACCGGTACGACAGCAACCCCCGCACATGGGCACAGCAAGCCAATGGACGGGCACGACTATACGACCCACAAGCTCATTCAGCAGGGACGTCTTTGCCTCGCCAATCAGCCCATCAGCAGGACGCAGCCTCATCCCCAACGCGAAACCCGCAATACCGTCGCTCGGGAATGACGAAACAGCACGGGCGTTGACACAGACTACCCACCTGTACGCAAAAGACGCACAGGGGCTCCGCAAATACCAAACCGATTTCGCTGCCTGGCAGACCGGGAACAAGGACGTACTCACCTTCCCATTTACGCCAGGGACACTCCCACCGGGGTCACGGGAATGCTACCGGTGCGGCCTTCGAGACCCACCCCACGGCGCTGGAAGTTGTGCTGTGCCGCTACCGCTACCAATCATCGAGTCGAACATCCGACGATGGGTCCACTCAGTGGTATTCCCTCCCCGTCAGATGGGAGCGGTGCCAATCAACGCCATATTTGGTGAGCTGGATGCAAATGAGCCCATCGATTTCGGCGAGCAAGAAGAGAACGAGGAACAGGGAAACGGAGGGGAGCACACCTTGTAGGGGGTGGTGTTGCTCCAAATTCTCCAAATCCCCCGGAAAGAGACCATTCAGCACGGAGGCGCCGGGAAGTTTTTACGCGGGACACCAATTCGGAAATACGATTTGTATTAGGCCAACCATCGAATACACGGGTTCTCGAGTATAGAGCACCCCTGCCGAGCGCCATACTGAGCATAGGATCCGACCCAGACACTGCTGTCGAACCGTTCTACCAACGGATCCGGCTCGCCAATGACAACGGCAGCACGGTCCGCCTGACGGCGCAGATCGACAACGGCGCCATGCGCAACTGCATCTCGGCGGAGCGGTGGACACAGTACGGACAGTGCTTGGGCAGGCTGGCCCAGTCGAAGACAGTCCTCAAGGTAGCGAGCGGTGAACGGATCACACCAAAAGGAAGGTGGTGGGGCCAAGTATCAGTAGGCGGCGTGACAACAGGAGCGTGGTTTGAGGTCTTCCAGGGTGGCGGAGCATTCGACGTGATCCTAGGAAAACCGTGGCTGCATAGCGTGCGAGCTATCCACAACTACGGGAACGATGAGATACGCATCACAGCGGCAGGACGTGAAACAACCCTGCAGAACGAGCCGAAGGACATACCACATGACGCCCAACCACCCCGACCACCCCCCGAGCAGCCACTTCCCCCACCCACCAGGACAGCGCCAAAATGGACACACCACAACGGCAACGACATGAAGGAACAGAGTTCAGCAACAAGGGAAGACGACATGGTCAACGACGAGCTCACACGTGTCCTGCAGATCCAGTCGTCGAGACGGGGAGCCGAAACAAGATACGCAAAGTACGGGGACAACAGACCAGAGGAGACAGCGAGGGAGGCCAGAAAGAAGCAGACAGAGGCAGATGCGGCGAAATGGAGGACAAGGCGAAGAGAAGCAATCATAGCGGCGTTGTGGCGGACATCAGGTGGACAAGACGACGAGAACAAGCTTCGCCGATCGGACCACCGACTTCGACACCTCCGGTCGAGACTGGACGAACTCAGATCCATTTGCACGGAACAAATGGCAGACGTGGACAAGGAAGGGGCAGGGTCCACACCAGACACAATATTCACAATGAGCACGGCCACAGGCTCAGAGGGCTTCAAGATTGACAGAGGAACAAATAGATCGATCCGTGCAACGGACCCCTTCAACGAGGAACGAGTCAACAAGATAATAGACGCGGTCCAGATTGGGACGGACCTGACAACGGAACAGAAGGAAGAAGTGGTTGCGCTCATCAAAGAATACGCGGATGTGTTCGCCCTGTCCATGTCAGAAGTCCTATTTGTGGACTGGTGGAAACACCACATAGACGTCGACCCGAATATCAAGTTGCCGACCCGCATGTCGCAACGCCCGCTCACGGAGAACCAGAAGTCTTGGTTCTACAACGTCCTAGATGAGATGGAGGAAGCGCACGTAATCCAGAGGGTCCCAGGCGAGTTTCTGAAATGTCTGAATAGCACGAATTTGGCTCCCAAAGACGCAGGCAAAACCGGACTCACAAGAGCAGAGGTCCTCAGACGAGTGAACGAAGAGTGTGTGAAGAACGGGTTGCCGCCCTTTTGGGAGGAGGTCGAGACCCAGAACCAAGACACGAGCCGAGATGAAGCAACACTGGAGGCAACAGAGGAAGACACCGGGAAGGGCACCAAGACAACAAAGTGGAGGGTCTGCCACGCTTTCACGGCCCTCAACAAGGCGTCCCAAGTACCGCCGTTCCCACACGGGGACATCGGAGCCAAGCATCAATTTGCAGCCGGACACCGCTGGGCAAGCGTGATCGACCTCGCGTCTGGATACTACGCGGTCCCCCTAGACGACGAGACGGTTCCCTATACGGCATTCTACGTCGAAGGAAGGGGATATTTCGTATACCTGCGCATGCCATTCGGTCTCACAGGCGCTCCAACCACCTTCTGTGAGATGGTAGCAGCCGCACTCGAGGACATGATTGGCCGGGAACTTGTCAATTGGATGGACGACATCTGCCTACCAGGTGATGTATTCGAAGTCAAGTTAGCCAATCTGAAGCGCTTCTTTACCAGATGCCGCGAGAAACAGCTATCACTGTCACCATCCAAAACAAAGCTTTTCTTCACGGAGGTCTTGTTTGCGGGCGCGGTAGTTGGACCAGCGGGCTTGAAGCCGAACCTGGACAAGGTCGGTGCAGTGGTGGACTGGCCGGTGCCCGAGAATGTGTCCGACCTCATGGGCTTCCTCGGCATTGCGGGCTACTTCAGGAAAATGATCCCAGCCTTCGCACGCATTGCAGCCCCACTCACAGACCTCACGCGAAACGTGGAGGTAGCCCCACCAAGCTCAAACTGGCGTGTGCGGAAAGGCGACTACAAACGGGCCCTAAAGTCAGCGTCAATAAGACACAAATGGGGCGATGCTCAACAACGTGCGTTTGTCACCCTCAAATGCTTATTATCACAGGAACCGGTGTTGAAGACGCCCCAATACGATGGCCGGCCATTCAAGATCACGACAGATGGCTCAGCAGAAGGCTTTGCGGGCTACTTGGCGCAGGAGTTCCCCCACACAGACAAGAACGGGAAGGAATCAAAACGATGGCACCCAATAGCGTTTTGCTCCAAACGCACATCGACGAGCGAAGCTAAGTATGAACCGTTCTTACTCGAGTTTGCTGCCTTGAAATACGCACTAGACGAATTTGAAATGTACACCTACGGCTCCCCCATCGAGATCGAGACGGACTGCCAAGCCCTGCGCGACACGCTGATGCGGGAGAAACTAAACTCCCACCATAGCCGCTGGAAGGAGTCGATCCTTGCGCGCAACATCATCGACATTCGACACCGACCCGGCATTGAGAACCCGGTGGCAGACGCGCTAAGCAGGAAGTGGGCGAACCGGGACCGCACAGAGCAGGACGGATCAGCGTGGTCGGTCCTAGCAGACTGGGAAGCACCACGAGGGGTCATAAGGGACGTGTTTACAGTGGCAGACACACACGCGGCGAGTCACCCTCTCCAAGCTCTGTTTGCTGACGACCTATTCTTTGCCCCGGTAATCGACTACCTGCTGGGGTATACAGTCGGGGATTCGATTGCAGAGCGCAGAAGACTCGCGCACCGCGCGGAAGGGTTCATGATTGCAGAGGGTAAACTCTGGCGAGTCGCGGATACGGCAGCGCGCCGAGTAGCACGGACGGAATGCATCCCCACAGCGCAGGGCTTTGATCTAGCGATGAAGGTCCATGCGCAGAACGGGCACTTCAATGTGGAGAGCACGAAGCTCAAGCTCTCAGACCGCTACTTCTGGCCGGGTATGGACACAGACTGCCGGTCGGTAATACTCGAATGCCCGCGGTGCAAGAGCTTTGGGGCCCCGACTCGTAACTCACTGCTGCAACCGATCCGCCGTACACTTCCATTTGCCCTGATTGCAGGCGACTATCTCTCGTTACCGGACGGCAAGGGTGGATTCAAGAACGTGGGTCTCTACGTGGATGTGTTCTCCCACTTTGTGTGGGGGACGAAACTGAAGTCGGCGGGCACCGCAAAAACGACCATTGATTCGCTAAGTCATATCTTCCACGAACACGCGGTGCCTGACGCTTTCATGGCGGACGGGGGGAAGCATTTTCGCAATGACGCAGTGTCAGACTATTGCGCCGCTAACAACGTCAAGCACATTACGACACCGGCATACTCACCGTGGGTCAATGGCCTCATCGAGGGAAGCAACAAGATCTTGCTCAAGATCTTGAAACGACTGTGCGCACCCGATCACGATGCAGACGAGGGGACGGTGGACCCAGGTGATATACCGAGGAACTGGCCAGATCACTTCGACGAAGCGCTGAGCATGATGAACGACCGGATCCTGATTGCCCTCAAAGCCACACCGAGGGAGCTGCTATTCGGACGACCCTTCACGCGGGACCAGGCCATACCAGACCAGCTGAGTGAAACGACCGCATCAGACGCGGACATTCACTTCGCGATAGCAGACAGCATCCGCTGGACAGCACACCTCAGATCGCTCCAACGGGCAGCACAACAGAAGTCCAGTTTCGAAGCAAACTCCAAAATTGTCCACTTCAGGATCGGCGACCTGGTGCAATGGTACGATTCGGAAGCGGACAACAACCGCCTCTCGGTGAACAAGCTAAAGCTGCGCTGGTCTGCGCCGGTGCAAATCTACGCGCAGCACTTGAATTCGTTCTCCCTCTGCAACCTAGAGGGCAAACCACTCGCCAATCTACAATTCGTTCATTCGAGACGGCTACGACACTACATCCCGCTACGTGATTCTACCCTGGACCAGAAGCACCCGCGGGATACGACAACGCCAGATCCTACGACCCAGGACCTGGAGATCGCCGCAGCGGAGGAACGGATGGCGGAAGACGCGTGGAAGTCGAGTCTCTAAAACCAGTGGGCAGCTGGGGTTGCGTCGGGCGAGTAGGGCCGCAACTGCGGAGCCCAATGCGTGGCGTTTCCATTGACAAGACGGGGGGACATGTCCGAGGACGGACATCGCTTGAGGGGGGGCACCTGTGGCTGTGCCAGGAGTCTAGAGCTGGTCTTTCCTAGTTTAGACGGTACATTAGTCAGACCACCGTTTTTCGGAGAATACACCCACCTTCCCGACATCTGCGGGCACCTGGCGTGGGTCCAAGTTCACACGCGCGTTCCAGAGGCGGCTCCACCGGAATTGGCTGAGGCGAACACGAAAGGCTCGTGTCGGCAGGTTTTTAAAGGAACTAGATTCAACTGAGCTGCTAAAAAACAAATCTTCACAGTCTTCTTTTGTGCGTGTGTGTCCAACGGATCAAGGTGCAGCACTGTCGGTCGCTCATGAGGAAAACTCATGAGATTTTCCGCCACCATATCCCGTGTGTCGCTTGCGAACAACTCCGACAGATGTCTCTTGGAAGCAGTGCACATCAAATTAGCACTATGGTCTCCTGCCGAAATTTGAGTCTTGGCTCGTTCACCGGTATTCTCTCCGGATTTGCGCGCACGACGGGCGGGACCCGACGAAGAGTGATGCCGGATCAGTGCGTCTCTCAGGCACGTGTTTTTGCGAGCAACTCGAAGACTTCGACTGGGACCCATGCTGTATGCATATCTTGTCGTTGAGCGAAAGCTTAAAGATGGAAACGCAACAGAGGGACCTTCGGGTCGGGATTGAACTGATGAAATCGCTTCAGTGTAGCGGCACCGCATACTCGCTGAGTTGGAATATGCTGAGACCCCCTTCAACTGCATAGCCAGGATGTACAGATTGGACTGGAATACCATGGAAAATCCCTGACTTTGATAATGGCTGGCGTATGTACATCCGATCAGGCTCAGATCACAGAAAGAGTAAAATCGGACAATCCCCGAGGCTGTTGAGCTCAATCTGCGACTCTAGTTACTGGAAATTTTACATGTCTCTCTTAAGTAAAATATCACGATACACAAGATATTCTGAGCTAGTCCTTGCCGTGTTGCTGGTGGCTCGCGGTCGCCAATTTCTCCCAACAAATATCCTGGGATCTGCTGCGAAAACATACATCAAGGGGAGTAAGTTGCAAGACTAGGTATCTGCGACATCGCCGACGGAATTCTCAGTGCTTAAAAACTCCTGAATCATCCCTATGTATTAGATCTTCAAGCACACCTCCGAGAAAGCCCTCCCTGAGTCGTTTCAAACTTCAACAACAGAAACCGGACCGCCGGACCGCCGACGAGACAAGACCGATCAAGTCCGAATCGACCGGTCCGACTTTCCAAGCGAGACAGGGGTAGGGTCAACCCGTTTTTCTTGTGATCGAGGAGATACGGGCGGCGCCAATGTGTTCCCATGAAGGCGTCTCTTCGTGGATCAGTCGAACCTGTCTTCGATGCATGCTTTTCTGTTATTTCGAAGCACGGTGGTGATCGGGGAAGATTTACGACATGCGGATAGAGGATGCTTCTGGCGTGCAGCGTTGATAGACAAGATACTGCAATGTGTCCTTGCATACAGCGACGGTGAGAGTTGAGAGTGTTTTCCCCATCGATCGGTGCGGTCAGGAGGCTCTCTGAATGCTTGGCTCGGACGGTCTCCAGCAACCACAGGGTCACGGAGATCATGCAGCAGCTTCTCTAATTCAGATAATATGACCCTCTCACGTCTACGTGGTAACGGCATCTTCGCAACCCGGATCCGGGTTCCGAATTTGCATGTTATCATGCCGAGCTCCGAGTCAGCGTGTTTGAGAGCCGGGAGTGATGGGCAAAAGATGTGTGATTTATGGAGAGCCTCCACGTTACGTGGAAGTCGTTCGGTAGATATCTACGTAAGACGGAGAGTGTGCTATTTTTAAATCGCGACAACGACTCACTCACCCTGGGGAGGGCGCGCACTACGATGACTTTCGGTCTGCACCCCAGACTCTACGTGCGAACAGACGTGGGACCATTCCAGGCACGCAGGGAACTTCTCCCCCGGCGCCCGGCTTGGCTGCGGGGATCGTGGGGCCCCGCGTTCCCCCTTCATCGCCTCTGACAAACGAGATCAAGCGAGTGTGTAATGTGTCAACACGTTCAACGGGCCGCGTTATCGCCCGCGCAGGCAATCAGGGGTGGACCGGAACTTGAGTCCGATTTGTGGACAGAAGAACGAAGACGGAGGTAGAGGCGAAGTCGGACGGGGATGAGGATGAGGATAAGGTCAGTCTGCCACTGGAAATCCGGCGACACCGCGGTGTCAATATTCATCCGTGAAATTTTGATCATCAAAAGCATAAAATAGACGACGAAACTTCAAGGGGATAAGTCCCTGCGCTAAGCGGATGGCATATAAAAAGGTCAGCAGGGCGGCACTGGTTAGATTGTGGTGCCTTCCGCTTCTCACCCTCCCCCCACATCGCTCTTCGTGGTTCTGATCCTCCCTGATCACCGCTCAGAACTCGTGAGTTTCCACTGGCTTACTCGGTCGGCAGACACTGCGGCGCCCATGTGGGACTGAAACTGACTGCTGCTGCTGCCTCGTTCTTCTCAGATCCACGAACGACCATGTCTGACCAGCGCACGTTCTTCACGCCCCTCCGCCTTCCTCCGCGCCCTGCTCGGCGCTCAGAGCCACTGTACAAGCAGCTCGCCGCGCTGACGCCGATGCAGTGGGCGTTTTTCTGGGTCGGCTGGCTCGCATGGACATGCGACGGAATCGATTTCTTCACCGTCAGTCTGAGTGTCCCGGAGCTGTCGAAGACATTCAACAGGCCAACAACGAAGATCGTGCGTTCTTCCCTCGCTCGTTATTGCATCTGCTGACACGCGGCTAATGCAGACGCAAGCCATCACTCTCACGCTGCTCTTCCGCTCCGTCGGCGCTGTGCTGTTCGGCGTCTTCAGTGACCGGTTCGGGCGCAAGTGGCCGCTGGTGTTCAATCTGGTCCTGATCTCCATCCTCCAATTGGGTGCGGGCTTCACGCAGACGTTCCGGCAGTTCCTCGCTGTCCGGGCTCTTTTCGGTGCGCAGTTCCTGAACTATATCCTTAGTCGACAGCATGCTAATTGACGTCGGCGTCGACAGGTATCGGGATGGGCGGTATCTGGGGTCTCGCGTCGGCCACCTCGCTCGAGAACGTCCCCGTCGAGATCCGTGGTCTCGCTAGCGGCGTCATGCAGCAGGGATACGCGGTTGGCTATCTTGTGCGTAGCACACACTGATCCAATGTCTTCGCCCGGCTGACCGCGTTTGTTCGGTAGATCTCCGCAGTCATCTCCTTGCAGCTAGTCCCCTCCGTCTCCGTCGGCTGGCGCGCGTTGTTCTGGACCGCCGCTGGTATCTCGATGTTCGGCGCCTTCCTGCGAGTGCTGCTCCCCGAGAGCCCGGTGTTCGCGAAGGCGCGCGCAGCAGCCGAATCGCACGGTGTGGTGTCTGAAAGCCAGAAGACGAAGATGTTCCTACGTGAGACGAAGCACATGCTGAAGACGCACTGGCTGCTGTGCATCTACGCCGTCCTACTCATGACCGGATTCAACTTCCTCTCGCACGGCTCGCAGGATCTGTACCCGACCTACATGCAGAAGACAAAGGGTTTCAGCCCTCACTTGGCCACGATCGCGACTATCATCGGGAACTGTGGTGCGGTCGCTGGAGGTGGGGTCGCGGGATGGCTGTCGCAGTTCCTCGGACGTCGGATAACCATCGTGTGAGTCGTCGGCCGCAAGTCCCGATCTCTGTTCGTCAGCTGATCGTATATCCCCTGACAGCACCTTTGTCTTGCTCACCGCCGTCTTCATCCCGCTGTGGATTCTGCCAAACGACTTCCACGGGCTCGCTGCGGGCGCGTTCTGCGTGCAATTCGGTGTTCAGGGCGCGTGGGGTATCGTGCCCATCCACCTCGCCGAGATGGCTCCCCCGGCGTTCCGCGCGACGTTCCCGGGTGTCGCGTACCAGATGGGCAACATGATCTCGTCTGCCAGTGCCCAGATCGAAGCGAGTACGTAATCATTCCGTCCATGAGCGTTCACATTCCTGTTTTCTGACATCGGCGGGTCAGCTGGGGGTGATCACCTGAAGACGAATATCAAGGGTGTGGTCGTGCCAGACTATGCCAAGGTTCAGGCCATCCTCATTGGCGCCGTCGCCGCTTTCCTGATCTCAGTCACCATCATCGGGCCTGAGTGCGTTGTCCCACTCCCTGTCCACTGTGTACAGTCTGCTCACACGCACATCGCAGGAACCACTCCTCTGCGTTCGAGAAACACCGCGCCGCATTCGACGAGGGCGGCGCCGAGGATAACGCCTACATCGCAGGTGACGCGACGCCCTCCCCCGTCGCGCGCGATCTCGAGGAGAAGGCTGAGGACGAGCACAACGAGAAAGTCGTTGTGTGATTTCATGCATGAGACGAAAATGTACGAGTACCACGATGGATGTATAACGTTAATGAGCCTACCATTACTTTCGATTTGTATTACTTGACGTCGATGACCTTTTCATACGGATGAACGCGCAGCATGAGCGAGGGAGCGAGACCTGGTATGGTATGTAGGGCACCGCGACTGGCCTGCCGGTTATCTTATCGTCAGTCCACGTGCCAATCGATGTGATGAAAGTTCTCTGTTTTATCCATGCCACACACATGCTATGAAGTGTCAAAGTGCGATCTGGAACATCACACCCCTTCTCGTGACCAACAGATAGATGAAACTTCACACTACCACGTCTTAACTCATCTTCTCACCTATTACTGCGGCAGCTTAGCTCCACGGGAGAAATCATGTATTAGAACCCCATAGGCTGGCTGGCTGGCAATCTCCAGGAGTCTTTACGATCGCATAGCATGTTATAATTCTACCAAATCGCCTGAAGCTAAAGCTTCAACAAAGTCCTCTTCCTCTGGACCCCAATCTCCAGCACTTTGAACTCGGGCTTCGAAACCCTATGAGTATTGTTCTAAGCAATATAATCTTCAGTCTTACAGAGATGTGCTTACGGAACGCTCGATGGAGGTAAATTCGCAGACGAAGGATGACAGGGCTCCATTATAGTCTCCGCGCTGAGGCCGAAAAAGCGATTCCTCGATATGACTCAAGAATCTTGCACTACAGTCGTCCGTATTCTGGATCATGAAATTCACAAGAGTTCATCTCACATGGCACAAGGGACTGTGATGACCCTCGAACGGCGTTCATCTGGTTTGTTGTCCGAAATGTGCTTCAAGATGCCGGTAGTTCGTACATGATGGTGGGTGGGGTGATTACGAGTCACTGATTCTGCCAACATCTTGTAGCGATTAGGCCACAGAGCGAGGGAGAAAGCAGGCTCGGTATCTCGGTAACCCTGGCCAGGAAGTAGCAGGAGCGGCACAAGTAAGTGACAGGAGGAGGATAGTGTGCAGACCATCAGATTCTCTAAATGATACATACAACATACACAAGAGAAGATATCCAACTGCTGAGCGCAGGGACAGTGAACCGCATGATAGTAAGTATCCCTAATGAGTAATCGAGGAGCAAAAGTCTAAGTACGACGGAAGCAAGCACGGAGGCATGCCCACACGCGTGGCGATAAGTGGTGAGATATCCGGATATAAGATAGGTATGGTGGTGGATGGCGAATGGCTTTTGGGGGCAGCTGTTGGTTGCAGTAGCATCCAGACCGATAAGAGGGCACGGGGGCTCTGACCGGCATCGAAAACCGGTCGTGCTCAGATCGAGAGGGGCAATTGCTGGTGGCATGCCCGGTAGAACTACCCCTGGTGTGGGGATCCGCATATGAGCGTTGTCAAGTGGGTGTCAAGCTCGTTATAAGATGCCCGAGTCCTTGAGTGCGTTTTGGAGGATAGTTTCTTTCACAGCGACGAAGACGAGCCGGATGTTCTTCGTATTCGTTGCTTGTGTAACACTGGGCATCGAGTAAGTATAGAGAACATCTTGTGCCGGCGACACGCACTGTGGATAGACCGTGAGCTTCGCCCGGTTCTCTTGCATGAACTTCCAGAGAATGTACTTGGCAGCTTTCTGAAGGTCGTTGCCGCCCGCATATTCAGGAAAGTACCGTCCCAGGGGTATCTTCGGCAGCTTGCGTTTGAAGACGTCGATTTTGTTTAGGAACAGGATCACGCTGGTGCGCAGGAACCAGCGTGAGTTGATCACAGACTCGAAGAGGTATAGCGATTCGTGCATGCGGTTCTATGCAAGATGAGAGTGTGCATGATGGGGGCAGTGCATAGACTCACCACCCGACGTTCTTCCTCTAGAACCTGGTCGTATTCGCTCAGTGCTGTGCAGAAAATGATGCTGGTGACGCTGTCACGAAATGAGATTCCGTGGTGCGACTACGAGCCGCTGTACGGACCTTTCAAAGCAGTGAATCCACTTTTTCCGTTCAGAACGTTGTCCACCGACGTCAAACATGTGTATCCTGAGCATGGTCAGAAGGGGGCCAAACACTCGCACAGAACAGCGCTTACGATAGGTCACCCATCATGAACCGAGTCTCAATGATAGCAGTACTCTTCAGCCTAGCCCTGAGCACATCTTCTTCTGAAGGTACGTATGTAGCTTGTGCTATTCTGTGGATAGAGGAAAAGAAGCTGGGAATGAGCGTCAGTAGTGACAGCATGCAGCGAGTAACACACGTACTAAGTGGCGCTGTCCATGAGATAGAAATCGGCCGGGTTCTCGTCCACCACCTTCTCTACGACCGGGTGTCGTGCGATGTAATGTATCGCATCTGCCAGCAGAGGCGTCAGCACTGCGTGCGTCTGTGCGAAGACTTCGGCGGCATCGGCGGGCACAACGTCAGTTGACGAAGGCCTTCGTCCCAGTATCATTTCCGCTGCGGATGGCCGTCGCTCCTCGTCATTCCGTGTCCAGGGTATGGGATCGATGCCCACGTCAAGCGAGCCGTGCCCAACAGTAGACGCTTCGTCTTCGCCATGATATAACGCATCGAAGTCGGCTGGAGCTGGAAAAGCATCCAGTATCATCTCCGCCCAAGCCCTTCCGTCACCACCGCCGTCCCTCTGGCCCTCACCCAACGCCATATCCACCATAGCAAACGCATCCACTCCAACTCGCCGCACGACCCGCGCCAACGTGCGCACGCTATCCAGCACGTTCCTATACACAATGGCACGGAACTCCCGCCGCTCGCGCTCGTCGAAACCTTCCTGGTGGATGATCTTCATCTGCTTCACAATCGTCGACTTGCCGGACTCGCCCGACCCGAGCAGCAAGATCTTGCATTCCTTCTTGTACCGCTTCGAGTCAAGCGCGATTTGGCGGTCGATGAGGTCCGAGCGCGCGCGCGCCGCGGAGGTCGAGTTAGGCGGCGGAGAGCGCGTCGGATCTTTCGCTCTCGAAGAGCTCTGGCCCATGAACGAGGACGGGGATTCGAGTCAGAAGCGAAGGCGGACGGTGGAGATGTCGGGGTCGTGAGCGCGTATACGTGTATATGCCCGTTGCTTCGAGCTGGCAAGATAGCAGAATGCGCTGCTTCTGCGGTCAGGCGTGTGCGTGTGCGTGCGTCGACCTGTGCTGGTGGCATAAACGTCCAGCGGTAGCAATCTCCCGACGTGTGGCCGTTGTCCCTCCGTTGTACCCGGTCGTTTTGCCAGAAGATGGTCCGTGGCGGAAGGAGCGACAATAGGACCCCCACGAGGCGCTGGCCAGTCCAAAGGGGCTGAAGACGGGGACACAGCGTGACGGTGACATCAGGTGACTAGTGCAAGCGGATCTGTCATCGGTATTGTGGCGCTGCACTTGTGGAAACATCCGGGACCATTGGGAGTTTTCGCTTCCGCGAAACATAGCTGGCTTTGATGAAATGACGCCCGAATAAACGAATAAGGTCATGAACGAGTTGACTATAATCCCTGAAGCCAGCGGCTCAGCGGCTCGCTGCATGGAAAACAGATGCTCCAGGCACACCCCGAACCGGCATCAATCTCCCCATCTTATCAATTTGACATATTAGATTTTCGGTCAAAGCAGCGAGCATCTAAAGGAGCCGGCATCCACCGTAATCATTGGTTCATGAACAGTAGCTGCGCCAGCAGTTCTTTGTCGAACCGAGCTCTTGGGTAACAAGCATATGCACCATCCACTTGAAAAAATCCCAAGTCTGAGTCAAATTCGCCCAGGTTCAGGGGTGCACGAACTTACTTTTGACATGTGATTGCACAGAGCTAGTTCAATGAACTGTTGTGCATCATGAGGATCTCGGCATCAGACTAGAGTCGTTTGACAGGCCAAAAACGTTGAATAACAGGTCCCGAACTTTATGCTTTGGGCAATATCTCAAAGAAGTGCTTGCGTGACGCATAGAGATGCAATTCTTTCGTCCATGCTCAGTTCTCTGCCCTTCGAGGGGATGTCTGGAGCTTCAAATCTGAAACTCCACCTTGGTAGCTGCGGAAAAGAGTGCCGCGCTTCCGAGTGTCGGGAGGTCAGAAATGCTTCGACTGGTGATTTTACTGCCCCCAAAGAAGATTGCCTAATCTTAGTCACAGTCCTCGGCGGATTCTCCGAGAGAGAAGGATGCCATTAGCGAGACCTGCAATGTTTAGATGCACGCTGTAAGTTCGATGTGAATTCAGGATTTGGATAGTCATAGTGCACACCCCCACGCACACACATACACATGTATATATACCAGCCGTTTTCAAATAATGATTTCACATTCCATCCGTCCGGGCTTTCCGGGCAGGCAAAGTGTGAAGTTTCCTCGTGCCCTGCGTCCAGTGCCGATACCCGCCGAGAGCGAAATGCCGAACCGAGTAACCGCGTCGCAAAGAATTGATGGTGCAGGGCCCAGTTGGCGCGTAGATGACAGCCGGCCACAGCCGACCCGACGCATGTGGCGAGCGTATTCTTCCATTCAGCCTGAGTGGGAGTTGTATTCATTCAATGTGTCCCGCTCGCACTTGGCAGCACGGGGAATAGATCGAAGCCTCGAGTGACCGTACCTCATCTCAATTACTCACAACATTGATCTGATCAATTCGCACCTCGTCACAAATCAGTCACAGATCACGAATCACATCCTGTTCGAAGCCAGACCGACCACGACCGGGCGAGTTTCATCTCGCGGGCTTGCATCATGACAGTTGAGCCTTCGACGGGTGATTGCGGGAAACGATCCGAGTGCGTGTCGCTCGGCAGGTAGATCCCTCTGAGCACTGCCCATGTCATGCCCGCTCATGCTCGATCCGAGGAGCAAGGAATGCTTGACATAACAGGATCCATCAACCCTAATCGCACGGGTGGGCTATGCAGACGTACGATGGAAGAGTCTGACGCGCCCAAATCCTTCCTGTCTGTTATCCCTGGCCGATCGCCTTCCCTGCCATTCCGGTGCACCCGGTTCTCACATTCACCGCGCGCATAAGTATGAGGATTCGTTCGGCGTCTATGTGAGACCGAGAACGATCCCGTCTTCACGTTCCCTCTCCCTTTCACTCCCTCCCTCACTCGTTCCTCCACTCCTCTGACATGGCGACACCTGCTCATCCACTCCCGCTCCCGCCGCTCGATTCGTCGCTGGGCGCGATCGAGGTCGGCGCCACTGCCGGGATGTTCTTGTTCGGGATCGGCACGCTACAGACGTTCTACTTTTTCCGCAAGTTTCCAAACGATAAAGCTCATCTCAAAGCAACGGTGGGCTCAAGCAAGAGTATCGATCCGGTTCTGATGTTGACGAGTGCTCGAGGTCGCGCTGCTGTGGATGCTGGAACTGGGACATACGCTCTCGACGTCGCATGCTGTGAGTGCGCGCGAGAATGTTCTTGACTGGCGGGGGCTCTGATCGAATTCGGGGACGGCAGCTGTACTCGCTGACAGTCACCTTTTACGGGCAGCCGCAGCACATCGAATCCCCACCCCACTCGTTACAGATGACCATCCTCTTCTCCGCGCCCATCTACTTCATCGTCCAGGTACTTTCAGCGCCCGTGCTATATATACCCGTGCCAACCGCGGAACATTTGGCAGATCTTCTTCGCGAACCGCATCCGCGCTCTGACCGGCCGGTGGCCCATCACGGTCATCTGCTGGTTCCTCACGCTCCTGCGCGCGGTCTGCACGCTCGCAATCCTCGCCGTGACGCTCCGCCCCGGTGCGACCATCACGCAGCTGGAGGGGCAGTTCCAGTGGCTGCTCACCGTCGCGTTATCGCTGGGCGTCGCGGTTGACGTCATCATCGCAGCGGCGTTGTGCCATTGTTTGTATGGGCTGCGGGGGAAGAGCGGAGCTGTGTGAGTGTGTTTGGCTTGTTCGTGTGTGGGACTGTGTTGATTGACGCTCGGGTGGATCGGCAGGACGAAGAAGATGGTAGATACGATGATTGTTTGGACACTGGGTGAGTAGCTTATATTCCATCTTTTGCGAGAAAGGAAGACTAACCCTAGTCCAGAAGCTGGGACGTTGACTGGAGGAACCAGCGTTGCGACTATCGTCATCGTGCGTTCTGTTCTCACTCAAGTATGGATACATGTTGATACTATGTAACATAGTTTGCCATACGACATGATCGTGTGTACATCTGCTGATGAGCCCTTGACCCATGACCTTACATCATTTCTTCCAGTCGCGTGGTTCTCATTCTACCTCGTACTTGCTAAATGTACGTCCACTTCCATAACGAGTATCGCGTGCTCGCGTGCTCACTTCTTTGGACAGTGTTTTCCAACTCGATGCTTGCCTCGTTAGTCTCCCGCTCCTCTGAGGCCATGGCTCACCATTTATGATGCTCCAGGTTGAACGGACGGCAACATTTCCGCGCCGCCATCAAACCCACCATCGTTCTCCAGACAACGCACACGCACACTCATTCTTCTTCTGCGCAGAGTCCCAGGACGCCCACTCGCCACAGCGTGAGTCGCCCATTGATCCTCCGCCTTCGCTGAGCTGAATGACAATCGATCGCAGATCTCACAATTTGAGATGCACGGGCTGGGTGACATGGATGAAGTCAAAGAGGACGAGTCGATTCAATATGTTGTAACCCCGAAAGTGAGTTTTTTAGCGCTCGGTCAAGGTGTTCGTTGCTCACCATGACGGGTAGAAGGATATCGAAGCTGCGGATATAAAGCAGATGTTCAGAGTAGTGTGAGGGAGCGCGGTTGTAAAACAGATGTATTCAATAGACTAGGTTAGAGCGGCATTTAGTCCTTACCTTCGAGCGTCCTAGACACAGCTCGAGCACCCCACTGTATCCGACTTTAGCTCAGTTGGAAGAGCGCAAGACTGTAATGGATAACACATTATCTTGATGCCACCCGTTCGATCCGGGTAAGTCGGAGTACAGCTTCGTGATACAATCTTGATTTTTGTACGCTGGGATCACGGCATCGGTGATTTCACCGCAGCCATCTGCACAGCATCCGCTTTTTCAAAGACGCAAGTATATCGAAATTATTTGCCTCTCTCGACCAATCATATTGCTTTGCCGTGCGTCAGTCAGTCAGACAGCACACTCAGTCGTTTGATGCACAGGCAAGCTTGCCTCCTTTCGACAGCAACATTCCCTGGTATGAAACACCTCCAGAAATCATGATGCATGCTTCTATAGTGAACTGGAACGACATTGCTTCTATTCTTCAAGGATGTATGAACATCACATGTCTGGAATTCCGATATGTAGTCAGCTTGATGTGTGGGAGGTACTAGTGAGAGCAAAGATCAGATGGGCAAATGTCTCTAGGCAAGTGCGAAGCTACCGTATGTGCGTCGAGAGCGGTGGGAATACGCACGTGCGCGCAAAGTGAAATTTGCTTGCTTACACCTTCAACCTCTCGGGCTACTGAATTGCTGCTCCCAATGACAGCGGTCCAGATGCGTTACAATTTCGGATGATGGGTTATCCGCGAGGCATTAGTGGATCACAGTAGCCTGACGCTCTCGTTCTTCATTGCCTGAGTCTTCCAGCTCAAGAAATCTCTCGGTCATTCAATATCTAAAATAGGGCTCATTTGACAGATATGGGTAATAGACGACGGCCACGTGACTGAAATCGAGAGCTAGGGTTAGGGCTACAAACATCGAAACGGTCACCTGTGCCTTTGCGGAACCCCTGCTTGCTTGTTCCCGAGATTGTCTCTGAAATCTTTTCCTACTTCTCTCGCAATGCTTCGAAGTTTGACCGCCGCACCCTCACGGTCCTAGCGCACACCTGCCGCAGCTTCTCTGACCTGGCGCTGGATCTTCTGTGGGAGGAGTTGCACACGCTGGAAGAGATCCTGATCAACCTTATGCCTTCTATCGCAACTGGTCCACGCCAACCACGGCCGTACAATCGGCCTCTGGTGCGCTCATTTTCGTCCGTGCTTTGTTTAACCAACATCACAAGCAGGTATTTGCCCGTGCGGTCACAGAACACGACTGGGACCTATGGAGGTCGAAAACTACATGCTGATACGCGGCGCACATCTATCACAGGTGACATGATGAAGTGATCAACAGTTGATTGATGCACATCAGAGACCCCGTAGTGTTTAGCCACCAAATGCTGTGCACCTTAATGCGTCACAGCCACACCACTGATCACTTAGGGCGTTTCAATGCTTGTCAACATATATAGAGTTTACGGGGGAGAATGAGTCTCCCTCCATAATAATATACCCATTGCCCAAATACTTTCGCTAATCTTCTTGGAGAGAAGATAACTTGAAAAACTCACAGTATCTAGAGCAGACATGCTGCTCAGGGAACTGCTCAAAGAATTTTCCGTAGTTTCCTCCACCAAAGAGGCCACCATCAAGGGAACTAAGCAGATTCAAGCAGTGTTTGGAGTTCCGGGTCATTCAAGGACTTACGGGGATGTCATAATCTGCGGATCAGTCAACAGAGCACCGGATCCTAGTAAAAGGTGGGTTAGAACCAAGCCGTGAATATATATCCAATCCAGAATACTCACCTTGCAGGTCAGAGAGAAAAACAAGACCATCCGTTTGCTCATATTGAACATGTTGAGTGAAGCACAGGAACTCTGCAAGAGAACGCCTATCAGGGCTGAGAGATGCAACCGGAGTTGCACTATTGTTATTGAGGTATTTGACAAATTTGCCTGAAAATAACTGTATAAGGCAGAGGCTTTAACTGTGAAAATCTCCTTACCTGTTCCAATGAGCTCTTCTAGAAGGTAGGTCCGTCGAAGAGAACTCATTGTCTTGCTAGAGCTCCCAGCTGCCGCAGCTTCATGAACCATGGCAATTCCAGCTTCTACAAATCGAATGTCGAATATGGGAAGGTCATCGGGCGGCGCCCCGTACTTGCCAATGAAATTGTGAATCCAACCCATGGTGAAACGAAGGATGGCTGTGCCCCAGAAGAGCAAATTAGCCTCGGAAATGGTGTGTTCATACTCGTTCACAGGGTCAAATCGCTTCAACGTCTCTCTGGTCCTGAACATGCGTTTAAGCGCAACATGCTGACCAGGGGAGGCACCCAATGGGGTATCCGAAAGTCGGGTGAGTGTCAGGTAGGCAGAATGAGCAGATTTGAATGTTCCAACACCGAGAGGAGATGCTGATGGCTTTAGAGCCAAAGTACCACCCTCGGCTGCGGACATCTCAATCTTGAATGCTCGATTTTCCCTGAGCAAATCCTGGAGACCGCTGGGGCGAATCCGGAAGAACTCAATTGTTTCAGATGTGTGAATGGCTGAAAAATGTGTTCATCAGTGACCAGTTAATCAAGATAATCAACTCACGAGCACTCTTGGAGACAGTAACAGAGGCACCGCCAGCATTCAGAGCATTTCGCAATCTCTGCCTGTCCAAGGGCTGAAATTCCTCGATGTCAGATTCGGCAGAGCGCTTTTTTGAAGGAGTATCAGCAGAAATCTAATGTAAAGTAGAAATATAAGTCAGTATGAGTACCTTCAGGCCATGATTCACTTACAGAGTTGTCATTGGTGTTTTGGGAGATGATCTCTGCATTGTAGAGCTCATACTGGACATCCCGAGTTTGATCAGAGACAGATCCTTGCATGGATTGAGTTCGAATGGATGACCGAGGCTGTCTCATGATCAGTAATGGTGAAATACTGAATGGTTCAAATTGACGCACCACTGTCTGAGTCGTCCTTGAGTTTGATTTCCTTTGCGAACGAGTCTGCATACGTGATTTGGACTGTGCAGGCTCAGTGACCAGAGGCTCTGTGGCTTCAGTAAATTCAGCCTAAGAAATGGATAAGCAACCAGACTTTGTACTCTGAGAAAACGGACTTACCTGTAGATTAATTGAACTACCTTTGGACTCGCTCTGTTCGATTTGCTCCTCCTGGAAATTGAGGAAGCGCTGCCATTCCTTGTAAGGAATGACAAGGACAAAAACAAGCGCCCTGGCAGGACGATGAAAGTCCAGGGTATTCTGTTTTTTGCCTGTGCCTAGCTTGAGGTAACGGTGATACAGGAGTGGTTGGTGCGGCGGCTCTTCATGAATGACGATCCAGCCTTCCAATTGGCGCACAACAAAAGTAGTGGTGTTGAACACAAACTGAGAAGCGGTCTCCTCTGCAATTTGGGCAGCAAGCTTTCCGCCACCAACTTCGAGCACAAGTTGGATGATCTCACTTGCTGTTGCTCGAGCACTGATGTTTTTGCCCTCGTTGATAGTCTAGAAGCAAAATCAGTGCAGGAGACTTGTAGGGGGGACAATTTTGCATACCCCAAAGACCACACCGTTTGGTTTCCCAGGAAATTCGTGGCGAACACCAATATTTAATGTGAGAAACTCCCGAGATAGACCAGAATAGGCCATATTTCCCCACAGAGAATATTGAGACCCATAGCTAGCATGTGCAGAGGAATATCCCTGACTGTTGAACTGCGAAGCAGCCGCAGCAGAATTTGGAGCAGCCACAGCCAGTTGACCAACCGCCAACTGATTAGGCACAGAAATTCGTGGGACTAGAAATAAATAAAAACATTTGATAGATTCGGTTTGGTTAAGAAAAATGCACAAACCTGATGAGCCACTACTCTGTCTTTGCGGAATTATTGCTGGAGGAGCCATCAAACCAGCACCAATGGGGGCAATTTGACCTCCAAGAGACTTGTCTGCTGGATGTCAGAAGGGAAATACATCGAATAAAAGCCAACACATACCACCGAGCCTCCCCTCAATGTTCTGGCGTCGGATTGCCTCTCGTTCAGCTTCCAGGTTTGGAGTGGCAGGTGGCGGCAGCAGAGGACGTGCTGCTGAAGGACCTGGTGCTAAGTAGGAAGAATCAGAAAAGAAAATTTGTCAACTGAGAAGTGTACCTCCTCGTGTACTGGTGCGCTTCCCATCATAATATACATAGCACGCTTCACAAACAACCCGGCTGCCTGATACCTGAGATGCGCTCTCGACTGTGAATCGGGGTTGGCCTGGCATGACTATGAGACCTTTGGCAGTATCAGTGCGCAAAGTCGATTTGCAACGACGGCCAGATCGACATTCAAAAGGAATATCAACCGTGGCATCACCCGTAGCACTAGGATTTAGCTAAATGTTATGGCTCTTACCATGGAAATCCCATCCTAATGTATGGTGCTTACCATGCCATGGCAAGAGCCATGCGTTTGCTTCACATCTGCATGTATCACATGATGCACATCACTGATTCCATTGTGTGATCTCCATCAGCCGCCCACAAGTGATACCCTGCTGTGTCCCTCCTTCTCGGACTTAAGACAGGTTCGGGTTTGGGATAGGGTTAGGGTTTGGGATAGGGCTTTGGGTCCCAAGAATCATGTTTTTTTACTAGCTAGGGTTCGGGTTGGTTAGCAGTCAGGGTTGGTTAGAGGTTAGGGTTGTTTCCCCTACTTAGGGAAAGGAGCCAAGGAGGCTTGCTCCTTGTCCTAAGTGGGGGAGATGTTTTTTGGCCGGTCCTACCAGGGTTGTCCTTGGAAATATGCTAGAATATTATATGGTGTTATGGCTCAGTGGTTACTGCTCCACATTTCTATAACTTTTTGGAAGGGTCTCGAGTTCGATCCGGTGCCATGGCTGCCATTCATTAATCACTCATCATTAATCACTATGATCATCAGCTACATCGCCGAACGTGCCGCTGCTTGGTTCACCTGTATGGACACAGGGGGTATACATAGCCACTGGGCATGGTAACTACCATACGTTAGGATGGGATTTCCATGGTAAGAGCCATGGCTTTTTATCCTAAATCTTAGTGCTATGGCTCGTGGCATCATCGGTGAATTCGGCGTAGAGCACACCAGCGTTTGACATCAAAGAAAATTGGAAGGAAGGCGAGTTGACCACGGTCCTGAAGTGAATATCCCTCTCACATTTTATGGTCCATGCCTCACCTCTGACCTCGTTTCCGACTTCTCCCGATATCTCTCAACATCCGGATGTGACCAACGTGAAAATAAATAAAAATAGGCAGAAGATCATTACGGATCAACACATGCAGATAGTATGAGATTATGCGCGCTCAGATATACTTTTTGTGCTTGCCTCCATCATTTGGAGACCAATAATTCTCCTGTATGCTCCGAGCGGCATTTTTGCCATGCATACATCATTAACATTCCCCGTTCCCATTCTCCGTAATCACCCGATTGCCTGTGAAGTGCTCCTCTCCTGAGCACTTCATAGATCCGGATTGCGGCGAGGCTAGCTCATTATAAAGACTGAACATTATACTCATGCATTCTCAGGTTAATCCCACTCTTCCTACTGTCGTCACATTGCTCTTTGTTCTGTCATCTCAGACCACGCTGCCATGGGGCGGAATCAGCACAAGCCCATCCGTGTGTTATATCTATATACATGATTTTTGTGTTGTTAATCTGATGAACTGCGCTCTAGCTCCTGCAGAGGACCTTCAACCATTCATTGCTAAGTACTGGAAGCAAAATAAGTCCGATGTTGCTATCCTTGCTCTCCTCAAGAAACATCATATTGATCTCTCCAAGTATGGACTGGAGTGAGTCATTATCTTATCAAGAATTTTGCGAATTTTTTTCTCTAAAACTCAACTCAGAATTGCATCGTTCCGTAAAATTCGTGAAAAGTTGGGGTATATTCGAGCTCGAGCACAAGGTCACACGGTTGAATCTATTGTGACTCCGATTTCCAAACTTCGCATCACTTATCCAAAGGCTGGAGGTCGAGAGATGGTCAGCCTCCTCTTTCATGAGGAGAACATCCGGGTTGCACGGTGCGTCAAAAATTTCTTGGTGGTCTCCCAGACCTGATGGATCATCATGTAGTGAGACAGTGATGCACTATTTTCGTGTCTATGAGCCAGATTTAGTCCGAGAACGCCGACAGCGCCATTTCAAACGCAAGCGCTTCTGGGCTGCTGGTGCTAATGATATCTGGGCTGTAGACCAACATGACAAGTGGAAGTACAAGTTCGGTCTTGCACTTCACACCGGCATCGATCCTTTCCTTGGTCTCATTCATTGGATGAGGATCTGGTGGAACAATAACAATCCTCGACTTATTCTTAGTTACTATCTTGATGTGATCAAGAATCTTGGAGGTATGTGATTCCCAATTTATTTTTTTATCGCACCTGTACTCATTATTTGGCATGTTAAGTTATGCCACTTGTGTCTCAGAGTGATCCAGGCTCAGAGAACGTTGGGCTTGCTAACGGACACACTCAGCTTCGACACTATCAAGATCCCTCTCTGGTTGGAACATCACAACATTGCTGGATGCGCGAGAAGAAGAATGTCAAGCCAGAGATTACTTGGAGCCAGATGCGTCGCCGATTCACACCAGGCTTTGAGGATATCCTCGATTTTGGTGTGAATCAAGGATGGTATGATCCTGGTGTTCTTCTTGAAGCGTGAGTATCTCCGATTATCTTCCTTTGATTGATGCTGAAAACTTTCACTCAAGTCTCGTGTTCCGCTGGGTTTTTATTCCGTGGCTACAGGCAGAACTAGACAACTACCGAAATCGCGTCAATAATACTGCCAAACGACATGACCGCAACAAAATTCTTCCAAATGGTGTCCCCAGCCACATGTTCGAATTTCCCGAAGACTACGCAATTCTCGACTTCAAGGTACGTGGATGGTCTCACTGAAAGGATTGTATTTTTCATTAAATTGTTCAATTCAGATCAAAGCTGATCCTGTCGGGATTCAGAAGGTTCGTGACATGTATGCGCCTCCCGACCACGAGATTTTCCAGCTCGTTCCATTGGATTTCGAGGTTCTCATCTCCCAGATATATCGGGACATTGGAGAGCCTCCGGTTAATCGGAAGAGCTGTTGGGAGGTGTATCGACGACTACTGTCCGAATTCAACAAGCTCAATGAGCTTCACGTGATGCATCAGAGCGCACACTGGACCCGGGCATTAGAAATGGCGTCCAACGAGTATCCAGACAAGATTGAGGTCCTCCCGAACCTGAAGGAGCTGCGAGGAGGTGAAGACGTTGTTGGGCCTGGCGCGTACATGGGCGGCGTCAATCAGGGTGCTGGATTAGGCAAGTGCTCTTCCTCCGAAGCTTTTGCATCCGTCTCTGACAATGTTTATTCTCAGATCCCCAACATTATGCAAGACTCGGTGAAATGCTCAATGAAATTGAGCCAGATCTCGGCCCTGTCGAAGAGGAGCCTGAGAGCTTGTATGCATGGTTTTCGGACGAGGAAGATGATTTAGTAGCAGACGGGGATTGGTAATTAAAAACGTTGTTTTTACTTATGCTCTAGTCTACTACATACATCGTTTGAACTTATGCTCTAGTCAGAAGGTGGTCCCGGGGGTCGCAATCACTCAACATTTGATCTTATATCACTTGCCGAGGCGTATCATTGATATATAGACTCGGTTATCAGCATGTAGTTTTCGACCTCCATAGGGACCGCGTTCTGAAGTATGCGGGGCGGGTGAAACGGCTGTTGACTCTGAATTCGGGGGAGCCCCCTTCAATAACTCAGCGTTGCATGGAGATGCTCCACATGACAATGCCTCCAGGCTCGGGGTCGTTGCTCTTCCCCCACCTCGTCTCGCTATCATGGTGCGAGTCCCAAGGCATGACACACCTCCATGTCCTCCTTTCGCCCCGCCTTCGAACGCTCGTGTTGCGCTGCCTGCAAGCTGACCAGCAAGCACTCTTCTTCTCTGCGCTCCCTATCATTGCTGCCCGGTGCCCGCTGCTGCGCGACGTAGTTTTGGATGTGGATCTCGACGAGCAGGATCGTCTCTCGGCAGACAGCGTGAATACGTCGTTGGTACACTTATTCCGGACTTTGGGGAACCTCGAGCGATTGGATGTGCCCTTACTCGATGCGAAGACGCTCCAGGCTATCGCGGCGGTGTCGAATCTCAGGAAACTGACGCTATCAGTCATCCCCGGAGCAGACTTCACCGACCTGAGTGAGTGGCCGTGCAGTTTCGTGCACCTGCGTGCGCTGTCTGTTCAAGAGATCACAATCGACCTTGCTGTGAAACTCGTGGAGCTGTGCGCTGGATCACCAATGGAGGTACTCCAACTTACGTGGACCTCTGGACCGTCCCCTGGCCATTCGAATCTGCCCGCCTTGACGAAAGCCATGGCGGCAAACGAGGAGTGGCGGCACTCGCTGGTCTCATTGACCGTTAAATTCGACCAGTACGTCACGGAAACCCCGGTAGCCACTCCGCAAGGCATCGCCTTCTCCGTCCTCGAGCCTCTAATCGTCTTCACGGAACTACGCACCCTCTGCATTACTACGCCGGACCCCCCGTCACTCACGAGCCCCGAGCTACGCGAAGCGACCGCCGGCTGGTCGCGTCTGGAGTCCCTCACGCTGGAACCGTGGAGCCCATTTTGCGCTGTGCCCGAGACGCACATCCAGTCTCTTGCCTGCGTTGTGCAGAACTGCCCTGCGCTGCTCACCCTCACCATCCGCCCGCTCCGAACGGCCGGGCTTGTGCTTTCGGACGCACTCGCAGGCTTCAAGTACGAACCGCCGTTCTCCCCACTCAAGACGCTGGATGTGGGCCGGTCGCCGCTCGAGTCGGAGCCAACGCCGACGGACATAGCTCAGTTCTTATCGGCGTTGTTTCCGAATCTGGAAGAGCTTTGGTTTTCACCAGAGATCACGGAGCCGATTTTGCATCCTGGGAACCCTGCGGCGAATGATAGTGCGTGGAAGGGACGCTGGGATTGGGTGCAGCAACTGATACTTGTGCTGTGTGAAGTGCGGGAGGAGGGGAGGACAGGTGTCTTTTTCTGAACGAGCACTCCCACGAATCACACGAGGGGGTATTGAAACCTGGCTCCACTGATACTGTGTTTTCCAATCTTCCGATCTTATCCGTAGAGTTGAGCTCTGGTCTTGGATAGTGAAACGGAGCCTTGAATGATGTCATCGGCGTATGGACGGCGAAGTCTGACGATGCATGTGCCCCGAACGCCGTTTTGCTTTCATTTGACGCGTCGAACAGACCAAGTATCCTCGTGGTCCCAGTACAGGTCAATAATGGTCACACGTACATCCCGCTTGACCAAGCGACAGTTGCTCACAGAGGCACACACAGGATTATCTAAGACGGTATGGCGCAGAGGATGTGTCTGCTTACGCCGTCGGACCGCCTATTTATACCCCAGCAAGCAAGCCATGTGTTTCCGCCACGGATCTGTGTGGATGACAGCTGGCTGACGGTCGGTAGGTAATCCGGATCCGGAAACAGTGCGGGGACAGCCGCTGCTGTAAAAAACGGCACTAACTATGTAGATACCGGTCTCTCGTACAGCCTTCCCATCTCCCTACCTTCTTCTTCCCGCTTCTGCTTTTTCACTATTTCCTTCTCTCGCTGGGCGCAGAGCATCGTTTCTCCTGTTTTCCGCTCTTTTCATTCCTTCCTCGTGATATTCTCGTCCCGGCGCGCTTGAGGCGACGTTTCTCCGCCTCAACGCACACGACACGTCGAAGCAGCAGCATGTCGATGAAGAGCCTCATCACACTCGACCCGTTCGATGCCACCCACGCGCTGGTCACGTCGCCGTTCGTCTCCCCGCGTGCACTCGCGACCGTCCGCCTTGCTGTCGGAGTGTACACATTCTGCACGCTGGTGGTCAGCCTCATCGGGGATGGCACCGGGTGCGTGTTTCATCTCCGGGGCCCTGCATACAGCTCATTGATCGTCAATTGGCGCACGCAGGTTCTTCTCGTACTTCACACATCTATCGTATACGGGCTTGTGCGCATACTTCTTTGCATCGGGAACGCAAACGCTCGTGTATGCGATGAGGCTTGGCACGATGAAGGCGCGGATGGATGTGGACGTGGAATACCCGCTGCAGCGCTGGCCGCGTGCGTTACGGCTCCTGCACCTCGCGCTGCTTTCGACAATCAGAGTCTTCCGTGCGTTGCTCGTTCTCGATCGCCGGCTTTTCTCATTTTTATGGCGTTTTTTTCTACTTCGCTAGCGATTCTGGTCTCTGTGGTTTTCTGGGGTGTGATCTCCAACGGACATACGTTCGATAGCTCGTATGACAGTGAGCCCGCGATACCCATCCCTTGATCGGACCGCTCATCAGGCAACCAGCGTGGTCCGCAATCTCCGTTCACTTGCTGAATTCGGTCTTCGCTCTATTCGAGATATTCTTCACCAACACCCCGCGCTCCGAGTGGATCTTCCTTCCGTTGGGACTGCTGCTCCTGGCGATGTACGTCGGCGTCGTGTACATCACACATGCTGTGGAGGGTTTCTACGGTTCGTGCACTCGAGCTATGCCCTATCGCGTCTATTTTGTTCACTGACGATGTTATAATCTTGCAGCGTACAAGTTCATGGCACCGAACGGCAAGCCCCTGTCTCTTGCGCTGCATATTCTCGCGGTGGGCGCGGCTTACGTCGTCTGCTTTGTCGTTGTCCATGGCTTCGTGGCGGGGAGGCAGTGGCTCGTTGCCAGATCGCGGAGTGCTTCCGATCAGAACAGTACACTGCAGCGAGCTGAGTCTGATCTGAGCGAGATGGGGGAGATGAAGGTTTGAGGCGTTTGTTCCAGTGCTTCTATCTTTGGACTCATTTAACTACTTTCGTATGGCATTCCTTGTCCCATTAGATTATACGCGGACGGAATGGGTTCAGGCTTAGATAACTGCTTACTGGATAAATGTGGGGAATGAGATAACCCTGGCGAAAACGCCGCCCTATCCGACTTTAGCTCAGTTGGAAGAGCGCAAGACTGTAATGGAAACCCAACATATCATCTTGATGCCACCCGTTCGATCCGGGTAAGTCGGAAGTTCTCTTTTCCTGTCAAGGTGGTTTTTTGATCCCATCGTCGACATTTATGTAGACCCGTTACGTCTCTACAATTCGTCGCTATTACTTTGACACCGAGGCTCCGCTTCGGAATGAACACAGGAGTATGGGGGTACCTGAGGTCACTGAGCCTTGAGATCTTCTCCTGTGCTGTTGCAAGCGTTTGTCGATCATGTTGGCGTCCGGAGTCTCGTGTTCTGTGTCAAGTTTCATTTTAATTGGAGACGCTGAGAGAACGAGAGTCATAAAAAGTTTCCTGTTTTTTTGGAGAAACTTGAGAGGCAGGTCAAATGGCAGGTACAAAAGCCGCTGGCAAGAACGGCTGTTATCATTCTTGTCTTACTTACACCAATTGATCCCGAGTGAGGGCAGGTTGGAAGGTTGCGGATCAACAACATGCGGATCGAAGCCCGTGGCGTTGCGCATCCGATTTTCTCCGCTCTCACACATCACGTCTTGAATGCTCGTCATGAAACATCCGTACCCGCGGTACATAAAGGATGTCGGAAAAAAGATATCCGCTCCTCACACTTTTACGTTCCACATCTCTACCTCCGAAATCTCCCTTGATCATGCGATCTCCGACTCTTGACTCCCTTCTGCCTATAACAAACGTGGGCTGGAACGGAATCGAAATTCAGGACTCGGAGTCACCTTCTTCGAGTCTGTTCAGAACGAGCTTCTCAGACGGGCGTAAATGGACTGCGCTCGAGCCGGCGCCGGAGGAGAGGACGCCTGCGGACCCGAGGGTGAGTGCGCGTGCACTTGTCCGTTCCCGATGAAATCTCATCGTCAGTCCAACTAGTCGCCGATTATCTCTGAGGCTACGGAATGCTCGGCCAACGCACCCACTCTGGAGCTCCTCACGGAGGAGGTGAGTATTCTCTGCCCGCATCTTCCCCTTCAAGCCTCATCCCGTTGTCTCATACAGAATTTGAGACAGTTGGATCATTCCACTGCTCTCGCCCTCGACCTATTCCGATTCCAAAACTCAAAGCACGAAGCGTGTCTCTATGACGATCACGAGCTCGACCTATTGTCCCAGCTCCAGCACCATCACGCACCGGAATATTCATTATCTTCCGGAAACTCCTGTCTATTCGACCCCTTCAACGCGGACGCCGGTGAGCCGTTCTTAGACGACGACTCTGAGATATCCCCGGTCATTTTCCACACCGACACCCTGGACCGACCCGTTTACGATCCGATACCTCTCCCACCCGATTATACGTACCAGCCGCGCCCGCGAAGCTGCGTCCGCACCCGGAACCGGACGCTCACACGTCATGTATCCGCGCACATTATGTCGCCCGTCTTCGAGGACTGGGAGTCGACTGGGACAACGCCGTTTGGACGGCACGGCTGGGACCCGCTCGAGAGCTTTGAGATCGCGTTTGGGTACCGGATGCCGGTGGTCGGGCCGTGTATTGGACGGGAGGAGAACTTTCGGGGTGATATGTATTATGCCGGGATTCAGGGCGTGGCGATGGAGGAGTCTTATGGCTATGAAGATCTGGACCAGGACGCTTTTGTCATCTACGAGACGGGGAGGAATTGATACAGTTTCTCCATGACACGTCATGTTTGTGAGAGATCTCGCTCGCAGGAAGGTATTGCTCAGTTCATCAGCTCGAATTGGGTTGAATCGACGCTCAAGTCATCGCGCTACTGAGGAAATTACAGCATTTTTCTGAGCCCTTGCCCATGTCGCCTTGTTCGGTCGTGACTGGGGATGGGAGGAATCGGATTAGAGTCACCGGCCCAGCTCCGTTCAACCTAGTCTCACGTGAAAATCACAGCCACCTCGATGAACCTTGGACATGTGAGCAATTGATTGATTCAGCGCCGCGGACTTTTGTGGACACCGGTTTTGCTATCCCACGGGAATTATTGTTGTGGGGAGCGCAACGGCGAGAGCGGTAAATGCTTAGTGATTACCTGCAGAGCGAAGATATGGTTTTGCAGCTGTCTACAATCCAGTTCAACTGCTTTTAGTGCGCTTCTCAGAGGATCTTTACAATTCGGTCGAACTGTCTGAAACAGCCACGCGGCGTAAGCGGGGTCGAATAATGTTTGTAGATTAAGTTAGCTGTGATATTGCGCTGATTTTATGAGTATGGAGAGGTGACAGTAGATATGAAGGCTGATCGAACGCTAGTCCTTTCACTGGTAGTGCGTGAACTTGGGCTTGATAGTGGGTTTGAACACGGGTAAAGGGTGTGCCTGTGTTCATGTCAGAATCGTGAATGAATGAACAGGACTGTGAGAAATGACCTCGGTGTTGATGACAACCTCTGTAGGTCGACTTTTTCAGAGACGGAACCAAAAAAAAAAAGACGAGTTATGACATACGATGGAGATCCAAAACATTCTCGTCCGCGAAAATCATGAACAGATACTTGAGTGTCTCGCTCTATCGTAGCGAGTGGCGGCGTATCAAAATCAATTAACGACGAAAAACACGAGGCACGCACCAAGAAGAACGTCTCCTGCTTGTCCAAGTGCGTCACGGGGACGCTATCCACGTCCAAGACGGTGGCATACCCACCACTCTTCAACCGACAGTACATTTGGATCGCAGAGAAGATATTCCATGCGTGATCGCGGTACTTTTGGTCGCCTGTGAGCCTCCATGCAAGAAAGACGGATTCGGATATCTCCGGACGCAGCATGTAACGGGCGTCGTAAACGGGATTTCGGCTATTTGGTCTGCAGATGCGTCATGAGGACGAGGTATGGTCGATTATCGGAGTCACGCACGTCCAGTCCCGGATATACCATTCTCGATCCATAGGCTTGTCATTCTCCGTCCGGAAATTGACGCCTTCGGGGGACAGGCCGCTGTTCCCGGGTTTGAGATGACAGAGAAACTGGAGATCCAGACACTACGCACGTCTTAGTCTTGTGCGTATCCATGCACCCATCGAGGATGCGGACGCCGTTCATCCAGTCGCGGCGACCAGTCAAAGTCAGCTCTTCGTCAAGGTTAGGGGGAATCGACGCTCGCGAGACACCCGGTCGCAGATGTACTCGGGTGGCGCCTAGCATGAGTGAGCCGGCTAGGAAGCACGCAAGATGTTCTTGTTTTGGTGATGGTGTCCACGAGCTGCAGATGATAATGAGAGAATTTTTTGGATGTGTCAATCGTCGGTTCGCACTTTTTCCAGTCCTTGCCTGGCGAGCGCAGGAGTTCTGCGATATAGCTCACGCCACCAGGGGTGCGCTTCAAGAGATGGTCGTTAATGCCCTGCATCGAGTCCTCGTACATCTAGAAACATATCAGCGGTGATGGAATAGATGGCCGCATCCAATTGAACACACCTGCAGGTATACGGGTTCCGTTTGATTCTGCACAGAGAGCAGTCAGTGTAATTTCACCGGAGAAAAAAGAGTAGGACTCACAGTTTGTAGATATTGTTTCAGTAGATACTCATAATATGAATCCGCGTTACTTCCCATCCGAATACCGCTCATGGCATACTCTCCTGTGGCCATACTGGATTAAATAAACATCAGCATTACAGAGCACTAGTGGTTGAGAAAAATTTCTCACTCTAGAGCGTAAGGCGCGAGGCCATTTTCCAGCCTTCCTCGATTGAGCAACAACATGACGTTTTCCGCCTTCCACCACATGTCCTCATCGTCCGTCAGGTGAGCCAAGTACCGGAACTCGAGTTGCAGCGTCGACACTTCTGACACACTGATGCCCGCTCCCAATCCTGCACTTGGCCCGAGGTTGACTTGAGGGTATGGCATCCCCGACGGCGAGCCTCCAAAGGCGCCCTTCGAGAGCCGCGTGCCAAGGTCCGATGCATGTCGCAGGTACAGAGAGTCGCCGGATAGGTGGTACGCCGAGAGCAGTCCGCCGAGGACACGGATCGTTGTCTGGCTGAGACGTTCACAATACAAACATAGGGGGGAGGTGGGTGCGCACCTCGAATGTGCTGACGTATCCACCTTTGCTGAAGTCGAGGCTCTTCTCAACCCAGGCGCGGGCACGACCGTACTCGTCCTCGAGCCCCATGAGTAGCATCGTATCGAGCGCGTCGACGACGGTGTACCCGATCCCGTTTGCTCCAGCGAGATTGGAGCCCCGACGCGAGATGGGATGGTATTCGTCGAAGCCCATCGCGTCGCGCTCGTATGCAGACCAGGCATACTGAAGTGGTGGATGTCATTCGGAGCGGATGATCGGGAGTGGAGAGGTGTGGAGAGAGCATGTGGATGCGTCAAGCCGATGCGACGGGGAGGAAAGAAAGTCCCGCACGCACCTTGAACGCACCAACAACCGACTCCCTTTTTTCAATATCTGCGCCCATCCCATGCCCCGAGCCAGCGGGCACCGCTCCTGCCCCGGCCCCTACTTCCTTGATACCCGAAGTCTTTCCAGCTCCTACTCGAATATTGCCCGAGTCCTCCCCCACACCCTGCACCGGCGGCAAAGCTACGCCTAAAACGCCTTTCCCTGCGTCAGCGCCAGCGTATCCAGGTCGGTAATCGAGGTCGAGCCAGTCCGGTGTATGTGGCAGCGACAATGGGTCCGGGCTAAAGTACTGCCGAGCTGTAAGTGGCGGAAAGGCTGGGAGAAGCCAGGGAGGTCATTCCCCGCACTTACGAAGTGGGCACAGACGACGACGACGGCAAGGACGACCAGGTACTGGATCGTGCGGCGGCGCATCGGAAGAAGGGGTATAGGCTAATGCCACGTGAACCGAGACTTGCCTGACATGGTGATCGATCTGTTTGATCCGGGACCGAGCAGCGCGTCATTTATTTGGAAAATTCTATGGAAACCCGGAGAGGTCTGCTCATGTCAAGTGGTTATGCGACGGTGATCATTGATAAGCGATGTCAAGACCCCGGAACCATCACACTAAGCGACATTACGAGCACACAGACTGATAGATTCAACAAATACCACCACTGAACAAAAAAAAAGCCAAATGGAATCGCGCACGTAGGCGCCCAGTGCTCGCTCCAATTCCAAATCACATGATGTCGAATTCTGTAAGATACCCACAATCCACCCTCGACAAACATCACGTGGCGTTATGGTCACACGTCCGCTTTCATCTCACGCAAATGATGCACTGTAGATGCTCGAGGGAATGCGAGCCGAGGAACTTGTCAAAATGTAGACATGCCTATACGGCCCTATAGAATATTCAACACATGTCATTGGTGACTGTTTGAGACCCACTCGAGCACCAGAGTGCATATCTCATGCCCAGTGTTGCCGCGGTCCAGTTCGGTCCGGCTTTCATCAAATTTTCTGAACCTTGAACCAAACCTGGGGTCCAGTTCAGGTTCGGCCAAAGTGGGTGAACCGGACCTGCGGTTCGGTTCCTTCCGGTCAAGTTCAGGTTTGAACCCGGTTTGAACCTTGAACCTCAGAGCAAAAGAAGAAGAAAAAAAAACACAAAACAACTATATCCATTCGGGAGAAGAGGTATGCGGCACAGAGTGGTCCGAGAGCTCGGTCCCAGCAGAACGACCACGTCAGGGCTTTGCGGTGAGTTTCAGAGATGGTGGAACAGCAGGAAGCGAGTCTGCATGGTCGGGATCTTTGTACCACTCGAACTCGTCGGCTGGGAGAAGCTAGTCATCGGGGCCCAATGCGCACAGCTCATTGGACATGGTAAACAAGGTGTAGAGGAACAACCCAGATGAATGACTGACCTGAATAGAAAAGCTGATCCCGACCTATTCATTCTATGTTGCCATCTATATCGACACATCGCAGCATGCTGATAAGCTAATCCAGCTTGATCTGGAAAAATGATGGTCAACGACAGGCATGGCACGCTGTCCTGGCCCACAGAGTGCCATCGTTGATCATAGTGGTGTCACCATATGGAGATCCGACATCACTAGCGTGGAATTTAGGCGCCCAGATTGGCACCCGAGTGTACTAGAGTTGTTATGGTCAAGTTTTGCAGCCTCAGAGAGAAAACTCGATGACACGCTGTCGAGTACATGGGGAAAAGCACCCTCAGATGCATAGTTCTGAGCTTATTCCACGAGATAAAAACTCAGATTTGAACGCGTTCGGACGCGTCCAGACTTCTTCGTCCCCACCTGAACCGTGAACCGAACCATCCGGAGTTGGAGAGTTTGGACGCGTCAGATAGTTGCAAAACGATAGACTCGAGGCTGGATACACAATGTAAAAGCTCGTCAATTGTTTCTGCCGTTGTTCCGGAGCTGGAGCTAGGGTGTGCAAGTCAGAAGACCAGGCAGTCTTGGCCACATATGTTGCGCACGCACCTGTCAGTTAGTGCCGGGTAAATTTCCCCCTCGTAAATTACCAATGATACAATACATGTAACATATGTGTAAAATACCATTTTTACCAAGTGACCTCCAGATGGGGCGTATTCAAATGTATTTTTTGGCCATCGGCCGCAGCTTTTCGGGGACAAGTCCAAAGATTATTTTTCTGCATTTGAATAGGTGACAGTGCTACTTTCCCTTGCGCCCCCGCCCCCCCCCCGTCACAGATGATGCAAACAGTCCGCTTGTCCAATCTCTCGCGAATCTCAATTGAGACGTATGTCAATCTGGAGGCACGTGGATTACTCGATCGCCTCCATCCCGCCGAGCAGAAGTCCGGAGATGCATCCAAGGTGACAGCGGGCAAGCGTCCGCAGCGGGCAGCGCTGTCAAAGCATGCTTGGAAGCCATCGGACGCTGCTTGGTCCGCGAGCGATGTCTCATGGTAATTTTACATTATTTACCAATTTTACATGCATAAAGTACGGTAAAATACAGTAAGATGCCGGAATTTTGGGGCCGGTAAAATACAAAAGGTACATACGTACGCTATACAGTACAGACGGCCCCTCCAGAGCCGGCCGTAATATACATAGCAAATATGAATCTATCGGTTCTGTGTGCTCGTAATGTCGCTTAGTGTGATGGTTCCGGGGTCTTGACATCGCTTATCAATGATCACCGTCGCATAACCACTTGACATGAGCAGACCTCTCCGGGTTTCCATAAAATTCCCTTCCAAGCGCTTACACTTTTAACACTTCATATAGCTCTGTTACTCCTGAGTGGTTGCTCACACAGACGGGAATGCACCAACCCAGTATCCTCGGTCAAAATTTAGAACAGTGCTGAATTATGATCAGACATCCTCAGACATATACAATGCGAATTGGAGTAATGTTCTGTGATGGCATCCGTTTTCTGGACTCATAGTCACGCATACTCGTGGATGGGGGTGCTAGGTAATGCAGATTGAGCAGACCGTTCCTGTCACAAAGCACAGAGCGCATATCATCATTGAACAAGACGATCGGAACTGGATGTATTTGTTCCGATTTCAATGAACATATATAGGCTGGCCACGCCATGTTCTCCAGCTCATCAAACTAGCGGCGCATTTCTGATCTTCATTCCAAATCTGGGGTCATAGGTCGGGGGTGTTGAGAATACGGATGCCGGGTTCTGGAACGTATGTGAGTATGTGATTGTTGTCAACTCATATTCAGCACTCTTGCGGTTAGTGCATACGCCAGCTTCTCCGCGGTTATGCAGTTGCCCTTTCCCAAGTAAAGAGAAGTGTTCTGACTTTATATCCAATTACGTGTTCTCAAAGTGCGTCATGAATACCATAGCTGAAAATATTTAGGGCCGTGTACAAGATTGTAGCCCCCTTTCGAGTGCGTCAGATTCGGTGTCTCTCTGCAACATAATAAAAATCAATTTAGTTCTAGGAAGAACAACTTGTCGTTGCAGACCTTTTTGCTATGCATCACATCCTGAATAGCCCAAGCTTTGACCAAGCACCTACTGTTTCCCAGAAACAGTTGATGCTATTGTTCGGGGACAATAGCATTGAGGTCGTTCAAAGTGCGTCCTTTGGACGCGATCAAATTGTCAACTGAAGCAATTAGGCGGAAATGAACACCAATGTCTGGGGAATGTATTGAGTGGCGGATTTACTTTCCGTGGTGCCAACTTCGGCAGGGATATTGGAACAGGCCGCTCAAGAGGGTAAGTGACGTGAACCATCACACAAGGGGATGAGTGTTCCAATGACTGTGCCGTGGAAGAGGCGCGTCGAGAAATTTCAGTGACAGAATATCGACCAAAACAATGATGGTGTCAATGACAAGGGTGGGATTCGAACCCACGCCCGTGAAGATTAGAGTGGAGTCAAATTCATCCTAAATCTAACGCCTTAGACCTCTCGGCCACCTTGCCATAGAATGCAGGTTTACCATCAATATCCCATCCGAGCTGCATTCGTTCGTCCTGGAACGGAATCACCGGGCCTTGTCTATCCAGTTCAACGAATGACCATATCATACAAGCGTGTGTTACGAATCAGTGAACTCAACTGTGCACGTCAAACCTCGACATGCGACACTTGTAACCTGTCAGAGGGGCATGAAAGGGAGCCTTGTGGCACTCAGGTCAGCGTGAAAGCTCTATGGGAGCAAAACTAGGTTGTGTAACCCAATGTTTTGGCTCGGAGTTCGTGCTGGAAATCACGTTTGACCCTTGCAAGAGGATGGAAGCATCCAGAATGAACCGTGGGATCTGCGCGAAGGGGAAACCAGGTCCAGAGATTAGAGATCGTCAATATATCTTCCAAGTTCTTGTGCTTTCTAGACAATCACGAGAGAAATCAGTCAAAAAATACCGTTTGAGCGTGAAATGGGTGAGAAAGTGATCGCAGTGCTTGCAATCAAGAATTTAGTTGAGGTCCGACCTGTAGCCAATCCACTTCCGTCGTCGTCATGCAATCCCTCAATATATCTCATTTCGAACACGATCCCGAAACAATATTGACGCAACTTCTGGACGGAAGAGACGATGGCAGCCTCCGCCTTGCTCAACCCCAACGAAATTCTCGCTCCCTGATCAAAAGCTTTCCCTATTGAGCTCAGGAAGAATGCGAACGAATGGGGCGGATTTCGATGTTTCTATGTCTTCCGTTAGATTTCGATTTTGTCTGCTCCCATTGGCAACTCATCGCTTAGACGACCCGTTAGCGATAGACCGGGCTATCCTCATTTTATTCTGTGACATTCACGGATCTCTTGCGGCGGGAAATCTGATTTGGCGTCCGACTAAGATGAGGAGGAAGAACGAAGACTAGGGTTCACTGAAAGAATTCCTGAATATCCGGTACCTAACCACTAATTTCAAGATTAGTCACAAGATGATGACAATCAGAAGTAATTATCGGCATGACGTACAGTCTTTGGCCCAGCTTTGCCCCCCGGATTGAACGTTCAAGCAAAGGACGGATTTTATTGGGCATCTCAGTAACATCTTCTCACTAATAGTTCTACGGAGAAGGTTCGTCGTCTGTCGACATTCCCTACTAGACTGGACGGTGATTCAGGTCAAGTGTACAATGATTTAAGAACCAACTCCGGTGCTTCTCCGAATCTCCCAGTAAGTGTGCCTCCGCTACTAATCTGCAGACGGAGGCCCTGTGGGAGCCAGAACCTGTCGTCATGGTTGGTTCCTGGATGCTAGCCGTCTTTCTCAACCGAACGTTTTATGTAACAGGCATGTCGCGGCCCCACAGCGCGACTGCTTTTACCTCGGAGACGACGTTCCTTTGACTGGTACGACAAGACAGCCATTGTAGCTGACATAGTGCTAGTGGATCCGTCCACTTTGTGGCGCGCCGACGGCGGCCCGTTACACGGCGCAAAGCTTATCCCGTGCTGGCCGCCCCGAGGCGAGTCGGATTCCGGCTCAAGTCACGCGATGTCAAGGGTGTACTATGTACTTGGAAGGCCCGCGCGTTGCACCGCTGGCGGGATCGCCGTCGTTTCACAGACGAGGATGATCAGAAGCCTGGATCGACCATACGTTCTGGATTGGACCCAGAAATTCGAGAGTCCGCCAATTTGCGACACTGGCGGCGGAGCAGGATTCAGCAGGTTTTCATTCGGAGGTGGCTTCGAGGCGCCTCGAGGCGATGGTGTACTTCTGGCGGCTCCGGGCATTCGTCGGTTTCGCACACTTTTGGAGATCGATGGACAGCCTCGAATGAATTCTTTTCCAGGCACAGTTCAGCAATGTGGCCTCGGGACCGAATCCACTCATTCCCTCATAGGGAGACATCGTGTCGTTAATGATGACGCATCACAGATTTGATGCATTCGACGATGATGCGCCATCAGTCACATCTCTGAAACAACCCTTGTCTGCTTAGTATAAATGCTGGCTGCGTCATTCATCGAAGACTTTGAGCTGAAGTCGTTCAAGGATCAATCCAAATCCTAATGTTCTTACCGACTTCTCAGGCGGCACTAAGCTATTAATAGTCTTCTCAAGAGCCAAAGATGCGTGCGTGATAAAAATGAAGCTTAAGTCATAGCGATCTTTCCACTATGACTGAAGGATTAGCAACCAGCATTATCTAGCATATAACGGATGAGGATCCAACGAGGTAGGATGGGAGAGAGACTGTAGATGAAACACCCTGGGATTCGTGTCGGTGCATATCATTTTAGCTTCCTGGGCCAGAGTCTCACCTCGTCGTTTGGTCGGCCAGGTCATGGCTCACTAAACCGCATTAGGTCTTCGATAAACCTAGAGCCTAGACTTAGACATGAAACCCTGGGGCTGCAGATAGAATCGCTCTCTGCATTCTTCGAAGACATGGGCAGGGCAAGATGCGCGCATCCATGTCTGAGGAGCATCGCTGTCAAAGCTATCGACATCGAATTGAATGAGTGCACATGGTCAATTTTCGAGAGAGTACTCTCACCATGCGCGCGAGAACAAAGGAAGAGCCCTGGCCGTCCACCGTCTAGCAATAATTGGGCGGTCTCGACCCCGGAAATCCCCGTCAGAGCTCGAACGCGAACTCGGCTGAAACACAATTCAAAAGCATAAGCGGGAAGTAAAGTGACATCCCGAATTCACTTGCCTCTTTTGCCAAGTGCGCTTTTTTCGATTGATCCAAACGTGGACTGGACATATCAAATGATAGCAGGGTGAGCCAGACGGAGACTCTCACGGATGAAGGGACGGCTCGCACTTAGCTCGACATGCAGCACGATCGCCGGAACCGAGTCAGAACCCGGGGTAGCTGACAGGCGCGTTCGATGACAGCGGAGACAGAGAGACACCGACGCGAAACGTCGCAGCGGCTGTGTCCCCTCGCGTGGTTGCACGTGCTGAAAGGCCTCAATCGGGGACACAGCCTTGCGACCAAGCCAAAGTTCCGCCCCAGCTTCGGTGCCATATCGATAAAGGCCAGTCAAATTTAGACAGCGGGTGGAGGGTATCACCGGGGCACATAATAAGCACCCCAACATAAAATCCATCCGGAGCATGTCATGATTTGTGACTCATGGAAGCTACTTGGAGCAAAGAGAATACGTTGACGGATTCAGAATGACGCACGAGCCCATGCTTCAGATGGAATGAAGCCCACGGCCTACTCTACTGACGTTGAGAACTGAAGCTGCGAGACTCTGCCGATTCGAATGGAGAGCATGAAGGACGAAGACACGCCTGCTGGAGAGAGATTCGGACAGGAAGATACGTAGCCCAGGCATCGAATACCCACTTCTTGAAAGCAAGAGCGTAATAGGACGTAACAAGGCCGCCGAGCAAACCCGAGACGCAAAGTCGGGGCTCGCTTCGTCCCGAATTCTCGAAGCACGACGTCCAGGCCATATGCATGCTTCGACCTCAAACACCAAAATCAGCGAGCGTGTAAGCTATCGAAACGTGAGTTGGCTCACCAAAGAACAAGAGGACAGGTTGGGACGACAGAGAGCGTGGAGCTGCCAGTCCATCTGTCGGATGACAATGTCTCCTGCCAAAAGCAAAACAAGAACAAGAGCTCTAACAATCCATCTTGTGCCAAACCCACCGGATCCCGAATGCCTGCAAATTTGAAAGCCGGTGTGATCGAGACAAGCGCCGTGCCCAGCCGAAGAGGACTGAGGCTGTTCAAATCAGCATGGGGAGTGTCACGAGCGTGACTCATCTCGATGGGATCTTGATTTCGATTCCGTTGATCGTGCCTCCTCAGAGGGTCTGGACCGCTGACATAAGCTTTCCTCCGTCAGACCTGTAAAAGGACAAGCGAAAGATCACTCTGCTTTGGTTTCGCCTTTCATCCGACTTGGGATACGGCAATCTTGTCCTTGTACTTACTTTACTCTTCCTCGTACATAGTCCCACCGCTGGACCCCTCCTCCCCCTCCTCCTCCCCTCCTCTCTAATACGCCTTACACATTCGCCTAATCTCCACTCGCCATCACCCCGCTCACCATGCTCGCTTCGCCAAGTCCGTCCCCGCTTTCCGACTACGAGCACCTCGAGCTGGAGTACGCGCTCCAGCAGCAGCAACAGCACCAGGCCGCGATGCATGCGCACCATCAGGGGATGTCGTCGTTCCCACCTCCCCCGGCTGATTACGACGCATCGATACACTCCAGTCTTCAAGGGTCCGCGAAACGATACCGCTCCGCGCCGGCCAAGTCGTTTCAGTGTACGGGATATGGCGATTGTCGGATGGTCTTCAGTCGCTCAGAGCACCTTGCGAGGCACATAAGGTGTGTATCCCCCCATGTTTCCGATAGCATATCCCCCACCTCCTTTTCTTCTGCTTGGTCCCCATCATTCAATATATGGTGTCAGCTACTCCCACATAGGGAATGTGAGCTTTCTCAGGTCGGGACCCGCACTTCACCTCTGCTTTCAGGCATGGGTCGGCGTCGTTTGTGTCAGTTCGCTCACGGCGAACATGGATACGAGCGAGGTCGCGCTCACTGACAGTCGTACCTTGTTGGCGCGGCAGCTCCGAGACCGCTTTCGCTCCATCCCATCGCATGTTTCCTGCTCCTATTTTTGTCCCCCCTATCGCCGGTGGTAGCACCTCCGGTCTGACCCTCCTGTTTGGGTGGATGCGTCGAGTCGGGCTCTCCTTTCATCCTACTTCCCTCAGCGCCCTCGGCAGCCGGACTCGCTAATGACTTGTGATCTGACACATTGACATCGCGAGCGGAAGATTGTCGCACCGCGCGATCACAACAAAGTCGTGTCTGTCGAATTTATCAGGGCATTCGCCGAGGCCGGCGGCCGATTTTCAGGGTGTGCGGAGGGCTGCGGATTTCTTCTCCATCACTTCCGTCTACTGCATGAGACTGACGTTCGCGCAGAAAGCATACGGGGGAACGCCCATTCACATGTCATTGTTCCAAGCAGTTCTCTAGGCTTGACAATTTGCGCCAGCATGCCCAGGTCTGTACTGGTCATCTCCAATCGTCCTCAACCGCTCACACTTTCCAGACGGTCCACTCGGCACCCGAAGACAAGCCGCTTAACGAGCGTATGATGCGAGCGCTTGTTACTGTCAACGCAAGCATGATGGCTGGCGTACGCGGGCGACGCAGATATGGCGTTCCGCCACCCGAGATCCCTCTGCCTCCTCAAGGGCTGTACCCATCGTCTTCGACCTCATATCACTATGCAGGCGCAAGCCCACTCCCTAGCCCCGGCCTCTCGCTCTACCCCGGCGGAAGCCCGCTCGGCAGCCCAGCGTCCGGTGTCTATCCCAGCTCGATGAGCAACTCGCCCAGTCCACTGAACCCGACTTTCGGGCCCGCTGTGCATGGGTCGGGGTACCCATTACCCGTCCAAATGCATGCGCACGGTGCTCACAGCTTACCGGCATCACCCTCGTATGCGACTTTTCCATCCTCCGCCCGGGCGCCTCTCCCTCATTCTCATTCCCATTCATACTCGCATCCACACCCGCAGGCACCGAGTCCGCTGTACGAGTACGATGGCCCGGACTATTTTTCGGCACCGTCACAAGTCAAGCAAGAGCAGCCGGATCTCGAGGGGTTCTACCCTCCCAATCATAGCCCCCGAACACATTCCATCTCACATCATGGTTTGACTAGCTATGCGTCCAGCAGCTCGCTTTCGTCGTTCGCTTCTTCGCCACCGTCCGACCGGTCCGCTCATTCGGCTTCGCCCCCTTCGGAGCAGCAGTATTATACAGAGGATGTCGGTCGTCATCATGGGTTGCCCAGTCCACCACACAGCCCGAGTTACTACGGCCAGCAAGTCTCGAAGCACTCGCAACAACCGCCGGCGCACCAGCACGCATCTCAATATGGATGGGCAGAGGAAGATCAGCACCTCGAGATGAGCAATGCGCAGTACTATGCGGCTATCCAGGCTGGTGGAGGTTATTGAGTGTCAGTGTCGTCTGCTGTAAGTGCTGCTTTCTGGTCCGTCGCAACCCGGTTCCCTGACTAGCTCTTGTAGAACGTTATTACTCTATCTGCGACGCAAACGAAAAGAGATCGGGCACTCGTGCTCACCGCTGTACCACTGGCCTCCCACCCCCATCGACGGTCTATATCTATCTTGGACACCACGCATGCACACTCTTCTTGGGACTCTTTATACTTCGTGTTTTGAAACGGGATCTCACTTGCTTCATCGTGTACTCTTTCCTTCTCACACACGCACACACCCTCCGCCTGCTCATGATGATGACCACGACCCTTCCGCTCGCTACTCTACATCGCTCTTTGATCTCACCGCGCCATTCATTGCCACTTATTGTATGATATCACTTGGTTATTATCATTGACTGCGGACTTTTGCACAAATTACCTGTCACTCCGCTTCTATTCAGCTACATTATTGGTCATTTACTCGGTCTCATTCACGCAGGCGCGATATATTATTACTTTTTATTGTTTTCTTTTCACTTGCTATCGTCGCGTCTGCTCTCTTACTTATGTATTCTCCACCCCGCTATGCCCTTTACTTATATGTGCTTGGTAGTCGAGATCAGGTCGTTTATCGTCGTCGTCGGTTGTGCACTCGTGGTCGAGCATTGTATGTACAATATCCACAAAATCATCCATGCACCCTGATCAGTTTTCCGTGTGTATACTGAGCTTCAAGTGAATGAATGGCGCCCGATGAAGGCCAGCATGTTCCACAAATTCTTGTCAATGTTTCCTTTCGGGACAAGGATTGCTCATGACGCTCCGGTCGGACATTCATCCCGCCTGATGAACCTGCTGAACAAGTTGGGCAGGGTAGTGATTCGCATAAACAAGGAATGCTTCCTCGACTTGGCATTCATTAGACAGACGGTACTGTCCATGATATGATGGCACGAAGGGTGTCAGCTGTGGCTCATGCGCCGATCACGAACCGCAATCACAACGACATGCGGACATCATTCGGTGGGTTGTGCCATTTTGCGTGGAGAGTCACCGTCTCACAGTGCTAGAATCTTTTGAAGGAGGCTTTTTTCTTTGCTGTCACGTCGATCGAGGGGACTGATGTCCACAACTTCGTTGGCCCTCGAGCTGATTGCTATTCTAGACTCATTCATCGATCCAAACTTGTCTGTTCTGACACTTTCTTAAGCTTCCGTTCTGCGCCGCTGAGCACAAAGAGAACCACCGGCCGCCGTGTCATTCAACCTGTAAGCACATGCAACAAGACATATTCTGTTCCCGATTCCCCCGCTTGACTCCGGTAGTTTGGCGGGCGGGGCACCGAGTGGCCGGGTATTTTGTGAAACTGACGGTTGCTTCCATGTGAAGGTCAAAAGAGACTGTTCCGCTTGGGAAATGCAGATCCCGGCGGCTGCGAGAGAGGATGAACCCCTACCATGCCATAGACGAGCGATCTGTCTCTCACCAACTCGACGTTGCGAGCATCCTGTAAGCGTGGAGACCAGTCATGCGGTGGACTCAGCCGAGGCTCACGGCGACGGGGACTGCTCCAAGAAGCTCGTCGGAGGAGGGCACGTCGGACATTCAAAGACGAGCACTCGCGTAGATGGGTTCTGCCAAAGTATCACCTATCAGACAGATGGAAGATGCGTCAATATGAATGCACCCACGGGTGCAGTCTTCCAGTGCATGCGATTCTGGACTGCTCGAGAGTCATAGGTCTGATAGTCAACAAGCATGCTGTCCGGTCGAGACGGGTCTCATCGCTTGACTTGTGAACTGGGCAAAATATAGAGTCTCTGATTCGCCACAAGATCGAATACAGGGAGAGGGTCTGAACCAGCCGAGCGTACGTTTGGGAGATTCAAACATGGGATCAATTCCAAACCTGCTCATTTAACTGTAATGCATCTCATCTCCCATAACGAATTTATCTCGTCGCTGTTGTCCAAGTAAGCGCTGGATGACACCGCACATCAAATATCGCCTTGTTCCAAATGTGGATATCCCCGCGAACACCCATCTGTCGTTCGTGAGAGACGGAGATACGGGTCACCGGGGCGATCAGCCGGAACACTAATGGTGCCAAAAGTCCAGGCCCGTTCAATTTGGATGCGAAATTTCGTGGGCCCGCCAAGAAGATTCGCGGATAGAATGGACGAGCGGTGCTCGGACCCGTCTCTATCGTACAGTGCCAGTGACCATCATGGAAAGTCATCAGCCAGTTGCGGGCTCTCAAAGGATTAGGTGGTCAGCTTTACAATAGACCGATTGACCGAGATAAGACACCAGTGCTTCGAACGCAGGAATCAGGATGCCTCGCTGTCCAATAGCAAGCGTGAAACAGAACGAGCTCAGAGTAGATTCTGCGGCCCATGTGGACGGGGACAGCATGCGATGATGGACCGATTAACATCCCCCAATCAGCGCGCAGGAGCTGAACGGCCGACCGACCAACACGGCAGCAAGAAATGGCCAAATTGGACCCCAGTGCCAGAGATGAAGTGGGCGCACTACAAGTCGGGTTCCTGTGATGTAATGAGCATCCACTGGCCCAGGCACAGCTGTCTGTGGGCGAGACGACGGGGGGGCAGACAAAGATTATCGTCGTCATCATCCTCGAGGCCGTGAGAAGAAACCCGAAAGGGTGCAAGGAAGCCAGACACGAGGCGATGAAATGGGGTAAATGGGTGATTGTGTGTGCACGCCTGTTTGCATCTACTGGGCATGGATCGATAACAGAACTCTACGGGTCCGAGAGCAATGATCATATGACAGCCGCAACCTATGCATTGGCGTCACTGAAACCAATGCGCTGAACTTGTGTCGCAAGAGAGAAATCTCGGAGAGCAAAGTCACAAGATTGTATCCCGACTGCATTCCGGCCGATCAACCTTCTCAGCCTATCAGATTTACTCCGATAAATACCGGAAATATCCCTGAACTTACGAACACCACACGCGCTTCAGAACACTGCATCTTAAATAGATTTTGGATTTCAACAGCCACAAAGTATCTCGGGATCCGAACAAACACCCGTTTGCTCTCGGAAGCAGTTATTTCGTTTCTGGAACGCTCAAGACCTGGCGAAATCGCCGCTGTGAACTACTTATTTTTTGTGGTTTGATCGATTACAGGCGCTGATGGCATCCCTGGCTCAGTTCTCGTGACCAAGGGAGGGGAGCAGAACCCCGTGATATCCCTAGCAGACTGAGAGCCGACAGAGAGCCGACATGATGTAGAATCGATAGTTGCCGCGGCTACTTGCGACTGCAGCGCTCCTCCGCTTGAACTTACGCCGCTGGCGCCAGGCTCCGACGTCTTTCTGAGACTGTGTGGGGACAGCCCTCGATCGTCACACATCTTTTCGACAACCTGACTCTCCCGTGGTGCCCCTACATGACACCAGCAGCGCTTCAGTGCCGCTCAGTACAACTCCGCTTGCTCTCGCTACTTTTGGACACAATTTCACCAGCTCTACTGACTACTAGAGGCATGTCATCGATCTCGACAAGGTCATAAGTTGGCGACTGGATGCTGCCTAGCACTTTTATCTGATCCTCCTTAAACCTCCCTCTGCCAATTGAAAATCATTCATCATTTGCACCAGCTACAAAGTCCCCCCCATCGTTTCTCTCGTCAGTTCAGGTGCGCTTTTTCTGTTGTTTCGACTGTGAGTAGGTATCTGAGACCGGTTGTGGCTAGGGTCGGATTCAGGTTTGTCGATACGAGCGAATCTTGTTTTTTTCTCCGAATTCCCAAACGACACACCAGTAGATCGCGATCACGAATTCGGAACTCCAGCGGCCAGAAACAACCCGGCTCTTCGTGAGTCGAGCACCGACTTGGATTGCGTCAAATAGCGAATCATGTCGACATACCCACCTCTGATCTTCTTCGATTGTTTCTTAGTCGAGTAGACGCAATTGGTCCAAGTCGTTTCGAGGCTGCATGAGTGACAGGAAAAGGACTTCAATGTCTTCTGATGCCCGTAAACTGTGTTATCGCACTGGAAATAGCTGCGATATCGTGTAGGACGTTGGAGTACAACAAGCATGTGCCCCGACGTATCCGAAAGTTTGATTTCCCGGGCTAGACTTGAAAAGTTGCGTTTCAAGCTGGCGAAAATTTTCTTTGAATTGGCAAGATTGTCCTGTCCAATTTTCGAGCCGTTCTCGCGCAAAGCAACATGATGTGAGACGTGTCTGCCGACCGAGTGGAACACGAAGCGATTGTCATCTTATATCCCGAAGGACCTGATAGCAGCTATGACTCATTCACGGACGCTAGATCCGTCTCGGGGTTATATCCTTAAAAACCTTATCTATCTCACAATTGAAGCGAACACTCCGCTCGATCTGTCCGAAGAGCCGAGCCGCACTCATGCCGGCCGGAGTTCCGGTGACGATTCGGATATGATCGGATATGTCGTTCTTCATGCCCATGATATAAAGGGTAGAGACAGGGCATCTTTCCAGTACATAGTCATCTGCTCATGATGCCCCAGAATCACGACACCCTCGCAACCTCTAACGACGCTCGAGACGGCCCAATGGGCGTCTCTGACTCTCCTGTTCACAACGCTCTGCCACTGACCGACGAGATATCCAGCACAGGCGAGCAATCCGTTCCATACAGCATATATACGGCTAGAGAGAAGTGGATTATCGTGTTTTTGATTGCATTTGGTGGATTATTCAGGTGCGACTATTGTGCAACTCACATGCTGATAGATGAACTGACTGCGTGGGCCACCGCCCTCCAGTCCACTGTCCGCGAATATCTACTTCCCTGTCATCCCGACCATTGCCCTAGCATTTCGCAAAACGACGGAGCTGATTAATCTCACGGTCCGCACGCGCTGATCTGGTGCTGACGGAATTAACACTGAGTAAAAGGTGACGATGTACATCATCTTCCAAGGATTGGGTATGCAATCGCCACTAGCCATTTTCACAGTGCGACTGAAAAGATTGCACCTCCTTAGCTCCTATGTTTTGGGGCACGCTTGCAGACTCATTTGGTCGAAGACCGATATTCATCGCATGTCTCGTCCTTCTCGCGGTATCATGTGTCGGCCTTGCGCTCGTTCCAACCAACGCGTATTGGCTGCTGATGGTCTTGCGTTGCGTTCAGGCTGCCGGATCTGCAAGCACTATTGCACTGGGTACGGCATATTCCTACTAGCGGCGTGCGTGAGCTAACGTCTTGCAGGCGCGGGCGTCATTGGGGATATCTCCGAACCGGCAGAACGTGGGGGTTTCTTTGGCTTGTACAATATCGGACCCATGGCTGGGCCATCGTTGGGTCCGGTCATTGGCGGGCTGCTAGCGGGGAGCTTGGGCTGGAGGTATGTACTGTCGCTTGGGTTATTGTACAATAACGGGCCGACTAGCTGACACGCATCTCCAGGTCCATATTCTGGTTTCTCGTGATAACTTCCTCTGGATGTGCCGTGGTTCTTCTCCTGTGTGTGCTTGAGTCCTGCGATAGAGCGTACACTCACACCGGTCCCCAGCCTACTCCCTGAAACTCTGCGTTCCATAGTCGGAAACGGCAGTATCCCCCCGTCGAATCCCCTTTTCTCGCGCCCAGTCCTACCGCTGCTTGGTAGCCCAAAATCTCGTCTAGACTCAGCCGGAAAGGCTTTATCCCGGAAGCCATTCGAAAACCCGCTGAAGATTCTTTCCAATCTTGACATTCTGTTCCTGCTCCTGTTCACCGGTATCATCTGCGCCGTGTTCTACGGGGTGACTGCATCGATATCGACCATATTCAAGGAGACTCATACAGACTTGACGGAGACTCAGCTGGGGCTATGCTATCTCTGTGCGTGCAATGTGAGCAAGGTCTAGGGATGCTATTTATATGACGAAAGCGATCGGTGGAGGGATGCTCATCGGATCAGTTACCGCCGGGAGGCTACTGGACTGGGACTATCGGCGAGTCCAGAACGCAGAACTCGGTGACGTAGAAAAGCTATCGAGGGATATGGACTCTTTCCCGGTTGAAAAGGTCAGGATTGCTGATACCTCATCTTCCAATCTTGATTCTCAATTTTGTAGGCACGAATGCGACTCATGCCTGTGCTGTTGTGCGGTGTCATCGTATCTTGCGCATGTTATGGCTGGGTGATCGAACGCAAAGTTCACATAGCGGCACCGCTGATTTTCGCTTTTGGAGGTTTGTTTTCCTCATCGTTACGTGTCCGGCCCTTTGAAATTGTTGACGGGATTTAGTTGGGTTCTTTTTCATGGCGATCGCGAATGGTACTCAGACGCTCATCATCGACCTTCTCCCCGGACAAGGATCTTCAGTGACCGCTTGTGTATGATCTCACTTCCGTCCTCTTGCTCTTGCTCAGTATTCATTCCGCAGAACAACCTGATTCGATGTTCTCTCAGTGCTGCAATGGTTGCCGCGATTGAACCCATCATCAATTCCATGGGCATCGGATGGGCTTACATACTATTAGCAGGCATTTGTGCCGCATCAGCACCCTTGATATACATTGTAAGGAAGGTTGGTCCCCAGTGGAGGGTGAGGCGAAGGCAGTTAGCGCACTTTGAATCCCTTTAGATAATCATTCAAGCTTGGTCCTTTAGCAATTAGGGGACGCCCAGCTTAAACCACGACCGAATTACGATTGAAAAACGTGAAATCGCCGTGGAATCTTCTCACAACGTGCTCGAGTGCCCAACGTGTGTTTCAAATTGACAATTGCGCATCTTGATCAGTTTCTCGCTGTAGCCGAGGAACGGCTTAGGGACAGTGCGTCTGGATGCTTAGAGGCTAGGGTTGGGGTTAGCCCTAACGGCCACGAGAAAACCCATCGGCCCAGTGGGTCCATCGCGTCGAACGTTTTCGCTGGGATCTACTGGCAGTCGATGTTGAGATTATTCTCGTTAGGCCAGCCGCTTCGGCCGTTCTCCAAGCCAATGGAGGCCTAGCTTCCGTCGTCATCGTCATCATCGTCTTTGAGTTTTGGGGCTTGTCGTCTCATGGTGCGTGGGAAACAAATCGGCGCGAATGGTCAACAGGCCATACATGCAGTCTGTTCGAGTCGGGACGCATGATGAGCTAATCCTATCGTGCTTCCAATGAGTGCGCAGCTCAGGATGTAGAGTTGGTGGACGGTGGGAGGTGTGCGGTGAAAAACAATTCATCGGCCGCCCGTCCTCCATTCGCATCCTCACAGCGCTCCACCACCACCTCAATCCCACTACAGAAACCTCTGAGTGATCAGATGCAACCCGCCAAGGTCATTAGATAGCGCCAGCGCGTTGTAAAGGAAGTACAAGGTGCAGGCAACAGCACGACGGACTAAGTGTGACACCCAAGAGTGTAACCTTGGAATCCACGTTCCTTCCACCAGATCCCACTGAGTTACGAAAGACGGCGGCGTGCGTTCAAACTTGCGACAAGTTCACCAGCCGCGCCGATCAAATCCAGCTATGCAGTCGTTTCCCTCAGTAGGGTCGTTCCAGTCCGGAAAGTCGGATCCCGGGCCTACCGTGTCACCAAGCACGCCGCAGTCTATCGTTTTTGTGTATCCCTCTGGGCAGTCGCGCTTGCGCGCGTCGTCCTCCATCCCTGGATTCAAATTCTTGAATCGGCAGCAGGCGAAGGCCGTTGTCCCAAGCATGCCGTTATCTCCGCCCCCGTCCATGTCACCACCGGTGTCTCCCACAGCCAGCATCCACAGTGCACCTGCCTCTGGCTCCACCGGGAGCGGGAGCGCCAGCATCCGCAGCTCGCGGTCGAGTAAAAACAGCCAGAGCACGCCGGAGCCCTTGGTGTTTCCGGGCGGTCCGATCCGCGCTCATCCCAAATCTTCGGCACCTCTTCGAAATAGAAAGAATAAAGAAGAGGCGGACGCGAAGGCTGAGGTGTTTAGAATTGCGCTGGGCCGGGAGAAGACGGGTGGACCCTCCGCTATCGGTCTCTGGAATCGTCCGTAGTCCATCGCCGGAACCGGTCTTCGCCATCGAACGCGTCCCCGTCCGTTGAGCCGACATCCCCCCACCGACACTGTCGCCAAATCCATGTCTCCTCCCTCGCACATCGTGTCCATGGTCGGCTCGTATCCGCTGGATGCCTACGATGTTGCCCTGATAGCGATGTGAGTTATCGGTCGTGGACGGAAATCAATGAGACTCGCTTCTCATCATAGGGACCGCCGAACCTGTCAACTCCTACGAAGAATCAATGCCAACAACACTCCCTCGTTCCACAACTACCGGGACCAACCACCACAGCAAGTCCTCGATCTAGGATGCGGTGTGAGCGATTGGTTGCTTCACGCTGCTGCCGCTTGGCGCTCTGCCGGAACGCAAATTGTTGATTTTGACATGACTGATACGACAAGAGCGTTATGGCCTCTAGCACAAACGCAGGGACTGAAAAACACCATGAGATTCGTAAAAGGGAACTTGTGCGTGCAGTACGCACACTTTGATCCAACGTTAACCACGGCCATCCGGCAGTATTGAGCAAGCCCTCCCCTTCCCCGACGGGACGTTCCAGCTCGTACGAATGGCGATTCTAGCTCTTTGCATCCCGCACGAGCAATGAGAGCTCGTGCTGAACCAAGTCTGGCGGGTGCTGAGTGTTGAGGGATGTCTCGTGTTCATCGACGACCATATCCTCTTCCCGTATGGCCATCCAGCGATCCTCACCACCCGGCCACTGCATCTGGACACAAACATTCCCTCGACGGCGTTCTCGCGCACCAGCTGGGGAATGTGATGGGAAGACAAGGCAACGACGGGGACAGCATCACCTACAGCATGGAAGAGGAGAGCTCTGATACAGACACCATTCGCATGTCCCCATGGAAGGCGCTTGGGATAACCAGACCGCCGGCGCACGAAAGTTTGAGGACCTCTTCGAGAGCACGATTAACGTCAAGTTCGGAATCCACCTCCGACCGAGCGAGTTCGTGGTCGAGAAGACAGTGTGCGCCTTCAGTGGCGTGAAGGAGGTCACACTCATGCATTTGACCGTAGCCCCCGTGGCTGACGAGCACGACTCTGACGACGCGTTGGCCAATTCGCCGGGGCCAACCCTTTGGCCGTCCACATTCATCCCCTCGAAACCTGGAGAATTGGAGATCCACGCGTCTGAATACCAGCGGGTGCTGCTTTCATGCAAGGCGGGGCTGATCGACGAATCGGCAGAGATTCCAGACATCAGCGAAGGGGGCACACAAAGCGACGCCGCGAAAAAGGCGCTGTGGGACTATCAAAAGTGAGTTCCAAGCCATATTTGAGGTGCTGCAACATACCAACGCGACCCAGACAGCTTCCTCCACGACCGCGTCAACCCACCACCACAGCTGCCAACACTGCCCAAATTCACCGCCTTCAACGACACGGCCAGTGTGCGGGACTCGGCGTGGTCCGTCGCGAGCGGTGCATCGGACGCCATGCTTGTGTACCAAAACGAGCTGAACTCGCGCTATGAGCTGTCCTCCCAGTCGTCGTCGTCCATCTCCTTGCGGTCGTCAGCAGGAGATCTCCCGCGCATGAAGTCGATGAAGGGGTCCCTAGACGTGGATTCGGTAAACTCGAAGTCGCGGGGAAGAGAGGTTGCGCATCAAATCCGGCCCGGGACCGTATGTATGTTCCCAGAACTCATCCGTATTTACTTGCGCTCTCCCGTCTTGTTCATGGAGGCTGCGCTGCCGCTAGAATTGATCGAGCTCATACTCGCATACGTCGATGACTCGGGCCCGTCTCTGAACGCACTTGCTTCGTCTGCCCGGTCTTTCTGAGCCACTGTCTGCCAGCCCCGGATCTTCCATTGGCTAGTCGTCCAAGACGCTGCTTCTGGCTTTCGCGACGACTTCGCCCGCCTGGCCTTGCTTCTTGAGGTGTCCCCGAGGATCTCCTTTTGTGAGGGGAGCCTGAAGCCGCCGCTCCCCAAAGTCACATCCAAAACACATGCCTTCTATAACGTCGTGCGCGCGCTGAGGGAGGCTGGCTCGGTCACACGGTGTGTCGTAACGACTAGAGGGGACTCGACTGGTCGTGCCTGCCGCGCGTGGTGCGGGATGAGATTTCAGAACCGGACGCGGGCTCGCCTGCGTACACTCAACGCCTTTTGCGGCATCACCAGGCCGCGCAGCTTTTTGCGCTCTCCTCTCAATGCCGATCGCACACCCTCAACAAGTCAGCTCAACAATCGACTTTCGGCGACCGGATCAGCGAACGAAACCGGGGAAATCGATCCGAGGGAGGTGGTGCAGGAGAGTCGGATGGGTGGATGGGGGCTAGGTCCACCAGTGCTTTCCTAAAGCCTGCCTCTCACCGTCCGCTCACACTACATGCTGCACCGCATACTGATCAGAACTTCTCGAGCATGCACTTTTCATGCGCCCGAACTCGAACGTGCAACCTTAGGTCCTGCCATCCACGTCATCGCACGCACCCTGCAACTGACGACATCTCACCGCAAGCTACGAGTGACCAGCAGAGCTCCATTCCATTCTATGATAGTGGTTCCGTGGGAACAGAGAGGGGCTCGGAATTCGGATGGAGGGGGGTGGAGCGCTGGAATAATGCGGATGAGGAGGTCTATAGGTGAGTTCTTTTCTCCCCCCGACCTTCCACTGTCTGCAAACTCGACATCCTGCCCTGTGTACCGCTGACATCAGACGCGACGGATTGTCATTTCGACATCATGCGCCAACCCGCTCACATCTCACGACACACCGAAGCGCACTGTATTCATTCGGACGTCACCAGGATGTGCAGGAAGGGGGTAGAGTTTCGGGGCCGATCTCGGGATCACACACGGCACTACGAGCTCGCTCAACCGCACCACGCAGCATGGGGCAGTCCGCCCATTACCCTCCTTTGACACTCACTAGGATGAGTCTCTTGTACCCCGAAATCGGACGCTCTGTGTCACCTCACGCAACACCTCGCGGTTTTTGTTGTATCGCAAACGGCGCAGCGGTCCGCTCTTCCATCTGCCTTGTACCCATTGCACAGCTCGAATAGCAACGCCCAGCGCTCAAAAACGCAACGTGAAAATGTATTGGGGAGACCGGAAGGCAGAAGACATGGATGAAGAAGGGGTGGAGCGCTCTGAGAACTCGGATGGGAGAGCAGTTCGCAGGTAAGTTCTTTCTCTTTCTAGCCCCTCACTGTCCGTCGTTTCGACACCTCTTACTCATGCAGTCGTCGTGGGCCTTGGGATCGGACGCGCGGTGACTTTTCGCACTACACATGATGGTTTCACAGCATCGCCCAGACCGCGCATCGACAATCACCTCTCTGCAAGCTAAAAACGATTGGGAAACTCCCTCAGGACACCCAGGACACCTCGAGGGATGTCTCGTGGTGGTGGAGAGCAGTGAATTAGATGGGGTGTGTTTTAAGGATGCGGATCGAGTCCGATGCCCAGTACACCACATCACATCAGTAACAACATCACGGAAGGTTAGGGTTGGGCACATCTTCCTACGCGCCGACCACGATGGAGAAAGACCACTTTACGTTCACCGTGGGGAAATTAGGTACGCAGGCTGTTGTCGAATCACGAAGAAACGAGCTGAATACTCGTGCATAGATGCAGGCATGGCTGTACGACTAATGGTCCACGCGCTTCCACCGTTTACAATGCCGCTCTCCAGATCCTTCTCGGCGAACGCGCCCACCTGATCGAGTTCCCCTCCGTCCTACTTCCTCCCGGTGCGACCACTGGATCCATCGTCAACATCTCCGTCCTACAGAACCACGCCGAAGAGAAGAGGAGAGAGGCCGCGTTTTGGGCGCTGCAGGATGAGATACTCGACGAGTTTGGAGTGCGTATGCCTGAGCCACCGAAACTCCAGGTGCGCAGTCTGTTCTTGCAGAAATGAATGCATGCTCATAACCTCCTTTCCCCCCAGCTGCGCAATGTGACACAGACGTCCGTGACCCTTGAGTGGCCCCCCATCGAGCTGGCCACGGCCAAATTGCGATCGTTGGACCTCTACCGCAACGGGCAGCGCCTCGCACCAATCCCGAACCCGGCAACCAATACCTCCAGCAAGATCTCGGGACTCGAGCTCGACACCGAGTACACATTCCAGCTCATCCTGCGCACGACCGCGGGAACATTCCCCTCGCAGTTGCTTCGCGTACACACGCATACCATGACCGACACCTCTGGTGTGCGTGTATGTTTCGGGACCGTCGATGACGCAGGGCTCGTTGAGCAGGCGAAAGAAGCCCTGGAGCGCATCGGCGCACGGTGGAGCGAGAAGATCGATATTGACACAACGCACTTCGTATGCACCACACCGAATACGCATACACCGACTGGCGTGCCTGAGGTCGAGTATCAGCGAGCTGTGCAGCTGAGCATACCCATCGTCCAGCCGCATTGGATCTTTGCGTGCCAGTCTGAGCGTCGGTACGTATGTTTGCGCTTTTTCTTGTTCGGGAAGCTCACTGGCTGTAGATTAGTTCCCATCGCGCTGTTCGGACTGGGAGCAACACCGCCTAACGCGCTACCCTCTCGGCGCCCACAGTCCATGTCTGCCGCATCTCCCACCCAACGCTCACCGGCCAGCGCAGCCGCTGTGCGACAGTCAATGCCACCGACCGTATCGCCCATTGGCCAGCCTGCGACCTTCGTAGGGCAGTCGGTCAGCAATACCCCACCACCAACCGTGCCGGTCGTCACTGTCGAAGAAGCTCATTCGGAGGATGAAGAATCTGATGTGGCTGAGCTGGAGGCAAAACGGCTCGCCCTCATGGAGAAGCGGGCAAGCAAGACCGGGACGATGAACATGCAGTTCAAATTCCCGCCTACGTCTCCGACAAGTCCCGGCCCTGAGGATTCCGCTGCCGCGGATGTGGCCGTTGAGCCGGAGAGTATTGAGGTTCCGCCGCCGCCGGTCGTGGAGAAAGAGACAATATCTGCTGGTTTGAGGAGTGAGGGTGACGTTGATGATGATCTGGGCGAGACGGAGGACATCCCGTTGTAGTCAGTAACCTCTCTAACCCCTTTGCTTTCTCCTTCAGCCTTGGTGCTACTCTGATCATCACGCATGTACTTTTCGTCTGGTGATTGTGCTTCCCAGGGGATGATTCGGAGGACACGTCACGGGTAACAGCTTGCCTCCCTTGCTTCGAGCTCTGGTGGTGATATTGCGATCCGTCATTGAAGGTCGGGAAAGGAGCACTCCATTTCGCGTCAAAACAATAGACATGGCTTCTTGGTGACTCTTCGTGGTTACTTCATCGCGAATGGGAAAACTGTCGAGGCCCAAAGCTATGCGCCGCGACACGATACTCTCACCTCCAGGTCACACCGCGCAACAATGCTCTACAGCAGAAATCTCCGGTCTACTACCGACGGTTGCGCCAGAAGTGAGTCCTCCTCTCTGGAGGCGAGAGGAGGTGCGGGACCACTTATCCGCCATCGTGAGCCAGTCGGGAACGATGAAAAGGATTTCTGAGGAAGCCTAGATCCGACCAAGGCTCCGGAAGAGATACCAACCTGCGGATGTCATTCACCGCACTATGTATATTTCCCCTCCCAGATGCGATCCCGTTGCAAACGTGGATCCTGACCTCATTTCTCCACGAAATTTTACGAAAATTATATCCACATGTAGCTTAAGGTCCCCTGGACCCTATGTATATTTCCCCTCCCAGATGCGATCCCGTTGCAAACGTGGATCCTGACCTCATTTCTCCACGAAATTTTACGAAAATTATATCCACATGTAGCTTAAGGTCCCCTGGACCCGGGATCCACATGGATCCATGGGTCTGAGGGGGTGGGGCTGCTGCGCAGCCCCACCAGGAAGGCGTCTTTTTTGGCACCCTGGAAAACTGGCGCGATGATCAGAGGATGGATCCCAACCGCAGTTGACTCAACACTCACGATTTTTTTTGCGCATTCTCACATGGACATATGGAAGATTCCACATGCCAAGTTTCATATTTATTCAACCAGCCGTTGTGGTGGAATATCAACATCTTCCCCCAGCACCATCAGAATCACTGATGCTGATTAGACGATGGATCCCAGAGGCAAACCTCCTCGAATCTATTTGCTCATTTGGGAAATTATGTACTAAAACACATGTACTATGCATCTGTCCACATGAAACAGCTGTCCCTGCATTGTGGAGGGATGGGAAGCCAGAGCAAGGTGAGGAGACGAGAAATGATGGGAGCTGTCAACGAAGGATGGGAGAACCCGGCGAGAATCATGGATCCCAGAGTCAAGTCCTGGACAATGGAAAATCCTCGCCACTCAAATTGAAGGTCGGCACAAGCAGAACACTTCTGGCGACTCAAATTTGCCGCAAAGTGCGCCCAGAGGCCCGATTCCACGCACTAGGACAGCCCACGGAGGGTGTGACGATAGCGTCACACCCTCCCACATCCTCATCTTGCACCTCACAGACCTCATCTTGCGCCTCACGGAACTCATGCAAGACGCGCACAGGGTTAGGGTTAGGGTTAGGGTTAGGGTTAGGGTTAGGGTTAGGTTAGGGTTAGGGTTAGGGTTAGG